CGCTCTTTCTCCAGGATGTCATATATAGAAAACAAATATAGGACAACAATGTCGAACCATCGACTAAATCATTTATCAGTTCTTTCCATAAATTGTGATTTAACGAAGGACTTATAATGTGATGAACAAATAAAGGAATTTGCAGCACAAAAATGCAGAAAGGTTGCTTTATATAACATAACTACACCTAACCTGTCAATTTCTTTTGCAATAATGTTGTACAGTTGCTGTTTGTATAGACAAATAAAAATAAATAAATAAAAAAAATTAATAAAATTATTTTATTGTCCTATTTTTTTCTATATACTTATCTACATCACTATAGAAAACAGTTTTTTGACAAAATGGCTATTAGGGCCCCAAAGTAGTTTCAGCCCAGGGCCCCACAAATTCACGATCCGCCCATGGTCTCACACAACAACGCCCCCTATAGTTCGTTGCGATCGCGAATAAAATTTCGAAGTTGCCTTTCATAAGGGAATTCCCCCCTTTAAAATTCGATTTTTAAGAAAAAATCATTTTGCTTATAAAATTTATGCTTGTTATAATTTTATGTAAGAAAATTTGGTTATATGTTAATTGTAACAAAAGGAAGGATTACTTGGATTTGTAAAATAATCAACTGTACTTGAGAAAAATATTTATTGGAATAGAGAATGTGTGACGAAATAAAAAGTAACAAATGAAAAGAAATTTCACTTATTCATCTATAATGATTAACTTCTAAAGTATAATCAATAACGATAAAATTCTTAAGTATAGCATTCAAATAGGAAGCGCTTTTTACATCTCTTGAGTATTTAATAGTTTTAAAAAAGTTCGGTATAAATGATGTAATTTATAATATCTGGCAGCATCTAATCTCTATCTTTTTTTTCTGTTTTATTTACTTATTTTGCTATTTTTGACATCAAGTCAAGCGCGAGCTTACATAATGAAGATCTCTCTGAAGATAAATACATTTTTCTAGAATAATGGCTAAATAATCATTATTTAAATCAAAAAAGGTGAAAAAAAAGCAATTAAAATTGCAATAATTTTCAAACAAACTGAAATTTCGAAAAAAAACTCAGGATAAGTTTCTAATTGAAAATGGCGCTTTCAGAATGACAAATTTCAACTCCAAAGTTGCATTTCAGCAAGATAGTATGTTTTTTTCTAATTGCAAGTGCAGCAGTTGATTATTCTCGAATAATAGAATATTGCATTTTTTAAAATTCCATTGTACTTTCTGTACATTTTTCTATTTACTTTCACGCAATCACATTATCATTCATTGAATTTTTATTTTTGATAATTTTAATTATCTTGGTAGTAAATTAAACAATACTCTTATCTTATCAAAAAACAAGCAATGTTCAAGTGCATAATAGATAAATACTTAATTCCAATTGATGATAGGGGATTTACGCATAGTAAAAAAAAGACATCATAAAAAAGCGTGATATTAGTTTTACTGTCATTTCGTATTTTACTGCTTTACATTTACAGTTTTTTTGAAGTAATGTATGACAAAAATTTGCTTTCTTATCATTAAGTGATCGCCTTGTCTACTGATAATTTTAAATATTTATTTAATAATGAATGAAACAGAGCTATTTATCAGAGAAATAATGTAAAAGATTTCTAATGTCTCCAGTTTACTTTTAAAAAAAATAGGACATCAACTTGTTGAATTCATATTTCTTGTATTTTTTAATGTATAGAACGCCAAAAAAACGACCACCTTGAATAACTTTTGGTCTAATTATTGTATTTTCATGTTGTAGAACTCAATCTTAATGGTTCGAGGGGGTGACCTCAAATATGGTAAATAAAAAGTGGAGACGATATTTTAACTTACGAAATCAGACACAAAAGCATACTTTCTCTGAATAAAAATACCATTTTTCAGACGGATTCGGATTTTTGACCTCCAAAGTATCGACGCAATTTGGAAAATATGGTCCTAATAGTTTGCTCAGGAGAGGGCTCCAAAGTTTGGACCGCGAAATGTTAATTTTATTTTTTGCGTATTTCGCTATATCTCGAGAAATTTTTAAGCGAATTAAAAAAGAAATCTGCACACAAGTATGAAATTCATTTATCAAAAAATAACTTTTATTAAATATTTATAATTTTTTATTATTTCATTCACTAATCGTCGCAAAACTTATTGATTGTAATGTATACATATTTTCGCATGATTTTAAAGAATGATTTTTTTTTCTTATTTTACAAGGTAAAATACAAAATGTAGGCAAAATGGGTCGAATAGATCCTGAGAAATTGAATTTCAAGAAAGTCAGGTGTTTAAAATTCTTAAGATCATTAGATTAAAAGTTATTCAGGGTAGTCCTCTTTTTTTTTCTCGCTGTACTGTATTTATATCTCTGTAAGCATTTCGAATGGAACAATATAACTTTTAATTTTTTTAAACTATAAACAAATTTAATAAAATGTATATCTACATAAAAAGCATTCTGAAAATACTGCATAATATCAAACTTTTAACCAAAATGGATTGAAATAAAAATATTAGTGAGTACATTCCTCTGAAAAAGTTTTTGTTTTGAAAAATGACCACTTAAATTTGTTGCTTGATAAAATCACATAAAATTTTACATGTTAATGTTAAATTTATTCTACTAATTGTTTTCTGTAATTTTTCTGCAATTACGCAACAAATGCGTGCCGTCAATTTTAGTTACTTAATGCATTGTCTAAATGTATAACTACTATTTGATAGTTTACAGAGTACTCATTTGAGTGTTCCGTAAAAAACCAATTCTGCCAATCAGGTTTTTGAAAGCGAAGAAAACGTACTTAAACAACATAAATGAAATTTGTAAGTCCTTCTTCGATTCAACGAATAATTTTCCAGAGTGATTGAGAATGGAATTTTCTCTGGAGATGTAAAACTGGTAAAAGTAACTCCAGTTAATGGTTCATGAAATTGATTGCCATGAAACATAGATATTTCTATCATGAAAAATCAAAAGACTATACAAGTAAAATATATTCTTTGTATCTTTTCAGGTTAAATATTCTCTGAAGAAAATGGGCTCTGAGGAAACGAGTAAGATGTCAGAAAAAACCATAAACAGCAATAATCATACATCAGATGCGAAAGACAAAAAGTATTATTGAAAAATGAATGATTTCTAATTCTTACCTAACAAATCAGTTTTCTTAAAAAAAAAATTTGTGCTTAAAAATATGTATGTACTTATATAGTGTCCGATTTATCAGAATACAACTTTTATAAAGTATTTATATTTTTTAACCTCTTCCATTTTAAACTTTTAAAACTCTTGACTAATTTTCCACTACTAATAATATTTATATTATAGAGATCGACATTCTCTCACATTTTTAGTCTTTATTAATAACTAAGTAAGTGTAAACCAGATAAAAAAAATAAACTGTCGTCAATCAGATTGACGCCTTAGGGTATGTTCGAAATATGCGCTAAATATCATTATTTCTAATTTGTAGCGAAAATGCCGATAATCAGCAAACAATAATGGTGCATAAGGAATATTTTTTTCATTTTTAATATTTCTTATTAACTATGACAAATGTCGACATTCAGTATGAACTAACAGGGAATGTTGGGAAAATCCCTTATCTTAAATAACATTATTTTCCTTTCACAAAAGAAGATGCCGACATTTAGCATGTAAAAATCGTTAAAGTTTAATTTTAAAAAAATTAATTCATCAATATTTCTCATTTACAATGCCGACATTTAGCATGCACTTATGGCAGGGTTCACATTTACAATGTCGACATATAGAACGCACTTTGTCAGGATTCTCATTTACAATGTCGACATATAGAACGCACTTATGGTAGGGGTCTCATTTACAATGTCCACATGTAGAATGCACTAATAGCAGGGTTCTCATTTCAATGTTGACATGTATAATACACTGATGGTTAAAGTTTAATTTTGAAAGAATTTAATTCATCAATATTTCTCATTTACAATGTCGTCATTTAGCATACACCTATGGCGGGGTTCTCATTTACAATGTCGACATATAGAATGCACTTACGACAGGGGTCTCATTTACAATGTCGACATGTAGTATCCATTAAAGACAGGGTTTTCATCTACAATATCGACATGTAGATTCCATTAATGGTAAGGCTCTCATTCACGATGTCGACATTTAGAACGCACTGTTGGCCGGGTTCTCTTTTGCAAAGTCATCATTTAGAATACATTATTGGCAGGGTTCTCATTTACAAAGTCAGCTTTTAGCTTACACTGGTGGAAGGGTTGGGACTAAAAAATAAAATGATGTTTATATTTTTTTATACAAACTCTCAGAAGCGATGCTTCAAGGGTTAAGGCAGTAAACTATCTTTATGAAGAATTGAGGTTCAATCTCAAACGTCGACTTGAAGCCCACGCAAATTCAGATCGATGAGTACCAGCTTGATCTGGAAAGAAAGAGCAGCCTGTGCCCAATGCTGACCGCATCACCACAATCATACCGTCTGTCAGGAAATTGTGGAGCCTTAATCTTCATGCCACCCCTGACCCACAACGGAACGTTGTGGGAATGCTTTATTTTGTCATTTTTTATTAATGCACGCAAAAAGTTGATATTTTCAAGAGTAAAATATATCTTTAAAAAATATATCCGACAATCACCAATGCGATTATATGATTGTTGACATTCTACAGATATCCCCAGATTTTACAGTAACATATGCGAATATTAAACTTTTTTTTCTAATTTTGTCAAAATGATTTAACAAAACAAACGTTAAATAAAGCATGCCTTTTCTACTGACTTGAAAAATGAAATTAGTGAGATTTTATTGAATTTACTGAAGAAAAAACTGGCATCTGGGTAAAAGCTTTTTTTAATTTTTTTTTAAAATTTGATAACGAAATAAATTATTCATTAATTTTTGAGCAGAAAGTATTCAATAATCGGTCTTTGAACTATATGACCAATAAAAAAAAATCCTGCATAGGAATTTAACCTTGTCAAAAAATTATCCAGTATTCAGAACAAAGTATTCTGAAAATAATTTTTGAAACTATTATGGCTTATTCATATTTATTGATTCAATGATTCAAATCAAGTTCATAAAGAAAGAGGAAAGAAGCATGACAGGTAGACTGGTTCGATAGCCTGAAAAAATGACGCAGAAGCGACATATTAGGAGGAAGTTAATTTGATGGATCCTAATAAAAGAAAATTATTAAGACAGCCTAGGAGGAAAACGAATAAAATAGAATGATCTTAAGAACAGGAAAAAAATGAAATTTTTATAATAATTATTCAATTATTAATATTTTTCTTTCCGAAACCAATTGAAGCCAAATAAAAATGGTTTCGGAAAGAAAAATATTGACGATTGCGACGTATGGCATGGCGCAATATCTTCCTGAAATTTACAGTCTGACCCTCCTTGAAAGTAGGAATGTGGACCAAAAAATATAAGGTGCTGGTAAAATAGTTCTTGATAACAACTATAGTCCATTTTTACAGAAATTCGCCGCAATATGAATTTATTCAAAAGCTCCCCAGACCACATACCAAGCTACCACCCAATTGCCTATTGAAGAAATCACGTCCTGTTCGCAAATCATGCCAATAGTAATTACTATTACCATCCGGATCATCCTAATTGAACTTCTTTTTATCGGAAGAAAGAACATTTTTTCACATAGCATACCACATTGTTGTAGTCGGCCATTAAGGTAGAGGAGGTGCGATTGTTTTTACTTTCCAGTGGCGCCATCTATGGACAAGAATTTCACTTCTGCCACAGCCATACGTCACACCCGTTTTTAAGGCGGACTCATTGATACACCCATTCATTCATCCACAGATCGCAATTTTGACCTGAACCAGTGAACGATCAATATCCATTACCCCCAGAGATATAATTTGTTATGGGAACATGGAAGACTTTGTGACTTAACAGATTCAACTTGCACCAGTGAATTTGAGTTTATCTAGTGAATTGAGATGGATTTATGTAGTGTTTCTTAAATTTTAACTAAACTATAGAATTAAATAAAATTTCAATTATTAGAAATTTTTTTCTAAACATCGAAAGTATTTTAACCTAAGCCGTTATTAGCATCCACATTAAAGAAGTATTTGAATTCCTTAAGATATTTTTTTATTTGTAGCTCAACTCTAATTTTTAATTGAGCACAATTATCTAGTGCAGCTGTGCACAATTATCTAGTCCACAATTTATCTAGTGAATTGAGATGGATTTATGTAGTTTTTCTTAAATTTTAACTAAACTATAGAATTAAATAAAATTTCAATTATTAGAAAAAAATTTTCTAAACATCGAAAATATTTTAACCTAAGCCGTTATTAGCATCCACATTAAAGAAGTATTTGAATTCCTTAATATATTTTTTTATTTGTAGCTCAACTCTAATTTTTTATTGAGCACAATTATCTAGTGCAGCTGTGCACAATTATCTAGTCCACAATTTATCTAGTGAATTGAGATGGATTTATGTAGTGTTTCTTAAATTTTAACTAAACTATAGAATTAAATAAAATTTCAATTATTAGAAAATTTTTTTCTAAACATCGAAAGTATTTTAACCTAAGCCGTTAAAGAAGTATTTGAATTCCTTAAGATATTTTTTTATTTGTAGCTCAACTCTAATTTTTAATTGAGCACAATTATCTAGTGCAGCTGTGCACAATTATCTAGTTCACAATTTATCTAGTGAATTGAGATGGATTTATGTAGTGTTTCTTAAATTTTAACTAAACTATAGAATATATATATATATATATATATAATCTTCAGAAAGTTCTCATCGGAGTCCCCCCACCCTTCATACGAACGGTGCCCATGAGAAAAAATACTCGAAAAGGTCGTGTAATGTTCATCTTAATTTTATCGAGTTATCTTAATGTTATGTTATCTTAATGTTATGTTATCGTTTTATATGTTATCTTAATTTTAATTAATTTTATCTTATTTATTAAAGAGATTGAGTTTTCGAGCAAATAATGTTGCGAGAGCTGAACGAACAAAAGATTTTAAAACTTTGATCTTAAATTCAAGATGATAATAATTTTTAATAAATTCATTTTAATATATTCGTCTTTAAAAAATTCATTCAACTATTTAATTAAGTATAATTATTTTTAAAATAAATTTTTTTTTCTAGTTAAACTTCTTTACTTTTTACTGAATTATCCCATTTCAAAATTTTTATCCCATTTCCTGACGAAAATAGGAGATGAAAAAGAAACCTTTTGTCCCTAAATATCTCTTGCGCCTCCGAAAAATACGGAAAGTTCCATTCTCCCACTAAAAGTAGAATTAATCATCTATGTCACTCAAAAACAGGGTAAATCGGTTTTCCATTTGAGACCGTTATCGTCTTTGGCGTCTTAAATATTTGGCGACTAATTACCTCCTAGAGCAGGTGTGTTTTTTCAATAGATTTTCTCCACTTACTCCATCAATCATCCAGGTAAGAAAAAACTTTTTGGCGAATCGTTCTGGTACCGAAAGATATCGTAAGTGGTATGTAAGATTCCATGCTTGAAATATGAGAAAAATTCTTACATACAATATTAAATATTACATACAATGTCTTAATGATTCCTTATTAGAAATGTATTGTATTTAGTATACAATGAATCAGTTTTAAAACTGATTAAAATGACGTAAGATTTAAGACTGATTTCTTGAGGAGATTGTCTAACTACATCGCTAAAAGTCCCTTAATTTGCAATTGCCTAGTTTCATGGTCAATACTTATTATCTAAAAAGAAACCTATATTTATTATGCAAAAACTATTTATACAGTATTCTGAATTCTGTTCCACAATTTATATTTTAGGTATAATGGTACCAAAATGCTACAACCTCCAAGAAAAGTTTATACTCAAAGGAATTCGGTTTTGACGTAAGAAAAACTTTTACTTTATATAAATATATAGTACGTATATAATGTTCTGACTATTTAAACGTAGAAACCTTTCCAAAACATGTGGTAATCATGCATCCGTTATAAATGTAGTTTTCTCAACATTCATTTATTATTTTATTTTAAAAAAGTCAGTTATATAACTTATAGCAAAGCAAACTAATATTTATTATGAACACCATATGAATTCAATTACAAAAAAAGCAAGCAGACTTTAAGAAACAAAATGCCAATAAACTTCCTCTGACTCTCATTTAAAGATTAAAATCTTTAAAAAGACATTTATTTATTTTAAATAAAAAGTAATTGAATAGATTTTTCGTATGTCGTAAGGCTTATTTAAAAAATCAGATCCCTTGAAAAATCATTGCTAAGATCAATGCTCCTTTTTAACCTAAGAGCAAGAGCATTTCAATTAGCAATCAACTATTTTATTTTTAATCGGGTTAATTGTTTCGAATTCCAGCGATCACTGGTCAATACGAATTCCGCCTCCGGCTTGCACCAACCACTGTGCTGACGTAATACATCCTCAGTAGTAGATGTATCTCGGGTTAGACTCCCCTAGCCGTCAGGCTAACCGTGAGAGGTTTTCGTTGTTTTCCTCTCGATGTAACGCAAATGTGGGTTTGTTCTATCAGAAAGTCCTTCACGAAGGCACATTTCTCCCAATACTTGGTCCGGGAGTTCCCTAGTCTTCTGCACTGGATACAAAATTACAAGGCTGCGAAGTTGAATATTAGTAGTCATAAACCCAAAAATTGGGTTGGCTGTTTAATGACGGTTATAAAATCAAATAAAATCAATGTAATTGGAGCCGTGATGGCTCAGGGTATAGAGCGTTTGCCAATCAATGAGGTAAACTGGGTTCGAATCCCAGTGATGGCTGGAGGATACGAATTCCACATCTGGTTGCATTGGCCACAGTGATGACGTAAAATAGCCTCAGTGGTAGGAGAATCATGGGCTAGAATCTCCCTGCCGTCAAGCTAACCGTAGGTGGTTTTCCTCTCCATGTAACGCAAATGTGGGTTTGTTCTATCAGAAAGTCCTTCACGAAGGCAAATTTGTTCCAATATTTGATCCAGAAGTTCTCTTATCTTCAGGATTGGGCTCAAAATTACAAGGCTAAGGCTTTGAACATTGATTGTTGCAAATTCAAAATTGGGTTGGCAGTTCAACGACTGTTATAAACTAAGATAAAATCAGCCTGACCACTGTTTAACTAATTGTAATGATCACTCATTTCTTGGCAAGTTATAAAGTGTATTATTCATTTCACAATAAGCCTAATTTATTTCAAGAAGTTTAGAATAAAATCGTTAAAAAGGATTATTGTCAATAGCCATATTAAAGGTTTACTGTAAATTTATAAATAATTTATAAATCCATTCAAATTTTATTTTTTTAAAGACATGAAAAGAAAAGCAATCTTTGCTTTTTGGGCAATGATCATCAACTAAAAACAAATCTGTTACCTAGAAACTTAAAGATATTTTTCTAATAACTATTTTCTTTAAAAAAAAAAAAAATCTTTCTGACACGAGCTAACACAAAAACAAAGAAAAGCTTCAGTTTTTATTTCATTCTTCTTTATTCTCTCAGCTTAGGCTTAGGCTTAGCAGCGGAGTATTTCTCTCTTGTCGATTACGCGGCTATACAATGGTTATATTAAATTTTTAATCATGCTTTGGCGATAATTCTTGGCCTCTTTTTAGGACGACGCCAAATATATAAAGCTTCATAGATTTTTAAATTTTGAGCCAATTTTTTCAAAATTGTGTCCCCCCCCCACTATTTTGAGGGTCAGAATCCAAATATGTAAAAAAAAAAAAAANAAAAAAAAAAAAAAAAAGAAAAAAAAAACATGTTTATTCCATGAAAGTGCGTTTTTGTGTCTCTCAATTTGATCAATAGTTTGCACTAAGTAATTAGCATATTTTAAGTCACCCCAGAAACCATTAAGATTGACACTTAGAACCTGAAAATCCGATCATTCGGAAAGAAAGTTATTGAATGTGATATCTTTTTTTTATTATTTTTTTTATCACTGTACTTGTAGTCAATATAGTTCTTTTTAGCCTTCTTTTTAAGTTCTCCTCATTTATCATAAACATACTAACGCAATCAATAGGTGTGACTTTTAACAAAAATATATTTAAAAGTTAATTTACACTCTACGTAAATGCTCGCAGTGAATGTTCCTTTTTGACTGGTACTTGTTTTATTCAGCATCGCCATTTCTTTTTCCACGTGCTTAGTTATACAATTTTTCTAACCACAAATCTTTTAAGACGATTATTTTACTCGATATTTATCAGAAGGTGGCTTAACAATGGAAAAGAAATATTTCCTATAAATATCATTCCATCGATATTTGGCTTTATTTCGCTGTTCTGGAGGCACACGCATAAAATTGTTCTTCCGCTGTCTATATTGAACTGTTAGAGGGGAGTTATTAGAGGGAAGTGTGTGCGAAGCTTAATCATGTGGTTCGCTGTCTATATTGAACTGTTAGAGGGGAGTTAATAGAGGGCAGTGTGTGCGATGCTTAATCATATGGTTAGATTCAAGAAGGAACCACCTAAGGATAATAATGATGTACCCTCTACCAATAATTCCAAGTACGCTAAAAGGCATTGTTAGGAGAGTTTGAAAGGAACACCTGTTACTAATGATGGTCAAGTTTAAGATAAGTTAAAGAGGCTATAGGGTTATTTTTTTAAGTTTATGTTTTGGCGAGTTTGTAAATAAGCCACGAATATTGAGTCTTTTCCATAAAAACAGCCAAAGAGGTTACTTTAATATTTTGGCATGTTTCTGAAGATTGGAATGGTATTAGCATCGTAATTTGGCGACTTAAATTGACATTACACATCGTAAGACATCTGCAAAAATATCTGCGGCACGTGTCGGGATGAAATTTTTTTTTCTTCTAATTTCCCAAAGAAGGGGAAAAATTTGAGTGTATAATAATTATACAGGACTGGATTTAAGTTTAGTGAGGCCCTGAGCTACTGAATATGATGGGGCCTTTCTATACACATTAAGTAAACTGTCATTATATTTTAATGTTGAGTATTAACATTAAATTATTTAAAAAATTTATAATATCACTTGATTGTTAAATATATTGATTGTGATGAGAGTATAATGTGGAATCTTTATTTTACTGTACATATTTTTTGAAGGAGGAAAAAAAGTTACAATCGAAACAAATTGTAAGCTCATCATAAGCACATTTTAAGCAGCACAGGCATGCTGGAAGGGCCATTACATATTTAACAAAATATTATTAAAAAAATTGCAAAATTATAAATATATATGTTATTTGCAATTTTAAATGATTTTTTACAAATTTTTTTTCGCAATTGTTATTTTTAATTTTATCTTTTCTTTTTCATTTTATCTTTTCTTTCTTGTGTTACATTTTTCTTTGCGGCTCAAAATCTATAAGACTTAGAAACTTAAAAATTATGAAGGTGAGGAGGAAATATGCAAGGAGTTTGAAGGAAAACACGACAATATAATTCGATTATTAGCTTTATTTTATTTTATAACCGTCATTGAACAGCCGACCCAATTTTGAGTTTACGACTACCAATGTTTAACTTCGTAGCCTTGTAATTTTGAGCAAAATCCAGAAGACAAGGAAACTCCTAGANACTTTGCAATGCACAGCCAACTCTAATTATTAGCAATTGTAAGACTTGCAGAAAATATTAGTCGATGCATTGTCAGTTGAAATGCAGCTGTAGAGTTGAAATTTGGCACTCTGACAGGACCATTTTAAATAAAAGCTTTAACGAATTTCTTTCTTTTTTTTCGAAATTCCTATTTGTTCGAAAGTTTAAGTGTTTTTTTTAATTAGTAATTATTTATCCATTATTGTAGAAAAGTTTATCTTTCTCGCAATTTTCATTTTATGAGCATTTTCGCACTTTACTTGATGTCAAGAATAACATGAAATGAAAAAAGATAAAAAAATAAGAGAAAATTTAAATATTGTCAGATATAAATGTTAACATTAACATCGAAATTTTTGAAAATACAAGACTGAAGAGACATAAATATTATTTTCAAGGCGAATTATTATGTGATATGTGTTTTTGTTTGATATTGTTAACAAGTAAAATTACTTCTCATTTATTATGCATTCCCAAGTACAATTTTTCTTCAACTACTTTTAATTATTTATGAATCTCTGCAATTATGAAAAAAATCAGCATCATATTATGTTTATTGTTATGTTGCATCATATTCTGTTTATGTTTTCATATTATGCAATATTTTGTTTACATTTTATCAATTTAAGAAGACCTTCTCTAAGACATCTATTATTGGGAAAACGTATTTTTCACAAACTTACAACGTTTCCAAAAATTATTTTATTTTTTTGTTTAAGTTAAAGTTTTCTTTAAATAAAATAGAATCTAATGATAGGATATTAAATGAAACTATTAAAATTTCTTCCAAAATAAAGAAATAGAAAAATATTTTAAAAAAATTTCAAATTTCGATACATTTAGAAAAAACTAACAGTAGTTCCAATTTCTTCGAAAACTAGTAAAATCCAGTTTTATCAATTTCTTTTTTAAAATTTTTTTTTAATTCTCCAGAGACTTGATGGAAGTCAACCATTTGCAATCAGTTTACAATATTATGGTGGCAACTTTTGGCTTGCTTCTTCTTTATTCTATCCTGTATTATATAGCTGCACCAGACGTGTAAGTATATATGTTTTGAGTTTTGAGATATGTTTTTTGTTTCTAATTTTTAACTCTAAACCATCTATTTATATTGGGTGTTTCGTATTAACCGCACTTAAATAATGTAAAAAAGTACGTACGTAAGGAGTCGCAAATAAATATATAAAAAAATATAAATCGAAAGAGCTATCAAAATCTAACCAAACGCTAATAAGGAAGTGGGGATTGAAAAGTCCAAAATTAGTTTCAATACCAGAAAAAATCTCTCACCGAAATAGTTACGAAAAGAATCAAGCTAATTATTATTGCATATCAGCATTTCTAAAATAATTTAGAACTATAACTAATGTTAATTTGTTTTGATTGAGGAAGAGAAAGTGACAAATAAAATTAAAGAACTTTTTTCATGAAAAGTTTTTTTAGCATCAGCATACACTCCTGAGATAATATTTTCCGGAAGGAAATCGTGCATCTAATACTATGCGTCTAATACTATATATCTTATACTTTGCATCTCATAATCTACCTGTACAGGTTTTTCCCGATATCAGGATAAAATATTTAGAAGTTTTTTTTCAAAAATATGTAACCAGATTTATCGGAGAACCCTTCAATCCCCGTGTCTACACTGCACTGTGAAAAATTCCGAATCAAATTACGGTAAAAACTACCGCCAATCATAGTACCGGTACTTTTTAGCGTAAAATCCATTTTAACCGGAACATATTACGGCAAAATCTGATGTTCCATAATTTTTGCAGCAAGAAATTAAGTGAATACGATCAAATAAATATTACTGTAAAAATTTCGATATAATTGTAGTAGTGTAGGTAATTTGTAAAGTGTAGGTAATTTGTACCGTAATTCTTTACTGTGTGACAGAAATTTCTCTGAAAATTTGGTTGAATAACAATTTATTTAATTATAATTTTTTCATATTCATCCAAAGCAATCAATTAAACATAAAAAAATGGTATTTAAACAACAAATAATGAGAAAAATCGTTTACTTACTGTTTTCATTTATTACGGTTAAACAACAAGAATTTTATTCTCTCCAACTATTCCCACAGCCAATGATAATCGAGAGCACATTCTTTGAGAGCTGGAAGCTAAACCAGATGATAATGATTAAGAATTCATATTTTTATTTCTCATCATCGGATGCCTAACACAACAGTGGAGGCCTATTTATCTTGTAGTAAAAAGTGTGTGGTGATAAATTTATAAAACCGTTTAGTTCCCTGCTGCTATTCCTTTGGCCTTGAGGGCTAATCTGCCAGTTTCATGACCAGCTCAACTAGGAGTTCAAATCCCAATACTAAAAATAAATAAATAAATAAGTAAAAATAATAAAATAATAATAAAAATAAGAGGTGTTCTACACAATTCTATGTATTAAGCTGAAAACTAAAATTGAAAGGTTCTAAAAAATATTTAAACAAGGTTTACTGAAACAAAAACCATTTTAAGAGTTAAAAAAAATAAATGTAACAGTAAATCAATCCTAAATCTTACACGAAAATGACCTACAACTGTATTTCGTAGTAAGTCTCATACATTTTTAATTAATCACTAATCCATTAGTTGATATTACTCATAAAAGTTTTAAATTATTCGTTAGACAGGCAAATATTGTCAGAGATTTGCGATTGATGACTTTGACGGACTCATAGTAATTTTTTTTTCCTGCTCACGCACCCTTTTTCTATACAGTACCGTCCGTTTTCAAACATTAAACCATTCACTTTGTAGCCAGTAAATTAGTAATCATAGCAGTAAGTTATTATTTTATGAAACTGAGCTAAACAAAATAGGAATAGTATTAATAATAGTAATGAAAACATAACACGCAAAATAATAGTTACAATTAAATAATATAGAAAAATACGATATAATAATTATTATTTTACTAATTTAACTAAAATGCTTTAATTAATTTGTTAAGTTGAACTTTATAACACAACTTTTTGTTTTTTTTAAAATGATTTCGCAAAGATTATTATTATTATTACTATTCTATGGTTAATAAGCTATCTATTCTATTTTATTCTATGTATATCCTATTCTATGGTTTCATTGTTTCTTCACAGCTTTTGGGCAGACATAGAAATAATGAAATGGGCAACATCTAAGGGTTTTATTCTCATCAAATCTTGGTTGTTGTGCAATTTGTTTGCTGTTGTTGTTTTAGGAGAATTCAGAGGATGGGTGCATGTTAGGAACAAAATTCATACAAAGGCAAGGTGATGTTAATACACTATTTTCATTTTTTATACCAAGATTTTTCACCAATTAAGAGACACTTAAAAAATGAAAAAGTTTTTTTGTCCAAAAAGCGTAATAAAGTCATGAAAGATTTAAAAACAGGGTTAGTCAAAACAAGTCCCCCGATTTCATAGATGTAACATTTATTGAAAATATACATTCATGCAAAGGTAATACATGCAAATTTTAAATAGTCGCCGCCCTATCATTTTCAGTGTTTCGGCGGAAACAAAACGGGCAGAAAAACAACGCCACATGAATAACACGTTACCACAACAGTAGATTGGTTTCGTATCTAGCGCAGAAAATGCATTCTTGACGTGGCCACCACGATCCCCAAATATCAACACATTCAATTTTTTTGGTAGATGCTTTTATTATTTTTTTTATAACCATCGTTAAACAGCATACCCAAATTTGGGTTTACGACTACTAATGTTCAACTCCGTAGCCTTATTTTGAACCCAATCCAGAAGACAAGGGAACTCCTGGATCAAGAATTGCGAGAAATTTGCCTTTGTAGAAGTTTTTTTAATGTAACTAACCCGTCTTTGCTTTACATGGAGAGGAAGACTACGAGAACTTCCCACGGTTAGCCTGATGACAAGGGGATTCTAACCCATGATATTCACTAAGATACTTCACGTCAGCACTGTGGTCGGTGTTAGCCGAATGAGGAATTCGTATCGACCAATCATCGCTTTTATTCGAACCCGGTTTGCCTCATTTTGGTAGAGGTTTCTAAAAGGTCACGTGTATGTGTCTCCAAGTCCAACGACATGACTAATTTTTGAAAGCCCGTATCACAACTGCTGCCATAAATGTGCGCATAACGAATGTTTATAAGAAGTACATTCAAAACTTGCTTATATAGCCTATGCGTAGTGCTCTTATGAAATCGAAACATATATTTTGATTTACCTTGTATATTCTGATAATAAATATCATTAATTGATCTTTATCGGAAAATACCCTGTAATTTAACACAACCGCTTTTATATATTTAGTAAAGTTAATCCTAAACCCAAACTAAATTATTTTTATTGAAATGTCACATAAAGAGAAGTATGGGGCGTATTTTAGTGTTTCTTAATTTAAAAAGAAGTACAATTTAATTTTTAAACCATCTGAAATTTCTTCTACAGGCCATGTAGCAGAAGCTGAAGTAGTTAAATAATCATTGAGCAGAAATAATTGAGAAATAGTCATATAGCAGAAATAGCTATTTTTTCAAAATTAAAGTGTTTCATTAAAAAAGATTTTAAAAAAATAAATGAGATTAATTTAAAAAAAAATAATTATTTTAAAATAAATTTTAAAAAACAACAAAAGTGAAAAATAAAAAATTATATTTTCCTTAAATAAAAAAAAGATTTATATTTAAAAACAAATTTTAAAAAAAATTATATAAATAAAAGTTAAAAAATGAATTTACGAAAATAAAATTTAAAAAATTAAAATTTATTTAAAATTAATTTTTAATTTTATAAAAAAAAGCTTTAAAAATTATTTTTTCAATTGAAAATCAAATAAAATTATTTAAAGAATTTAAATTAAAAATTATTAAATTTAAATTATTTTTTTTCCGTGGTTCGTCATTATTGTTTCACAATAAGTCCTTCAACTTATAGCTTTGAAAAGAGAAATGTTTAATATCCAGGCGTTCATTTATGCTATGATTATTAAAAAAGCAGTAAGCAAATATAACCAATGATTGCAGCTTATTTTAAACATCTTCAAAATAATAATAATAATTTTTATATTTTGAATCAAAATTAATCATATTTTTTTCCTTCTTTATACATTTCAGATAGCTGATACTTTATTTTTGGTTCTGTATATAGCAACTTTAACTTCAATGTTTGTGGTCACTGCGTCTTCTACATTAAAACATTCACTTCCTCCAATCACAGCATTCGTAACGATGATCGAACAGGTATAAATATCATTTATTTTAATTCAATAACCTAATTAATTAATTTAATTAAATGTTTTTAATTAAATTAATTTTATTTAATTAATTAAAAGTAAGTTAATTTTATTAAGTAAATAAGTTAATTAAATTAAATAAAGTTAATTTTAATTACACTTATTTTAATTAATAAATAATTCTATTAAATTAATTAAAATTCATTTAATTACATTAATTAAAATAAGTTTAATTAAAAATTTTAAAAAAAAATCTATTCTGTGGGTAACTGCCTGATCGTAATCCACAATGCGAAAGAGTATTTTGTAACATACTCTTTCTTTCTATACATTTCACTAACTATACATTTTTAAAACATTTTTCTCCACGATCTTTCTTTTTAACTATATCTTCTGGTATTATTAAATTTCCAAAATACATCTTTGGTAATTTAAAAAAAAAAGAAGCTAATTAAAAAGTTGTTATAAATGCGCATGAAGAGCAATAAGGATTCAATATTAAATTCTTCTGAAGTAAAAAGTAAATTTTAATTAAAATTCATTAGATATCACAAAACAACGAATAAGTTATCAGCATATGGAATTTGAGTTCCAAAATATTGTATATATAAATAGAAATAACGGTAATTATAACGAAAGGGTAACTGACTGACATATTTGTTGCTTCTAATGATACTTGAACAAGTCAAGTTCTCAGGCCATTAGCTTTCTGCGAATTCAGTCAGGAAGGTGGGATTTTCGTTTGACAAGAGAGCACCGCAAGGGGGAAAGTACATCTTATCTTTCAGAACCTGACGGTAGCCACACACATTCGCGAGGCAACTTCCTTAACTTAAATATAGATTTTAAGAAAGAAATTTTCTACAGATCTTTATACTCATAGTACTGCTCAGCAACCGACCACAGGAATTTCGATTCCTGTATTTACAAGCGCGTATATCTACTTGGTGGTCTTGGCGGAGTCGAGAATCTACCACGGTTCCTCCACTCCTGAGTCCAATTCTCGAACCAGCGGGCTACCACGGCCTTTACTTACATATCTAAATTTCATTAATAACCTACAGAAAAAGGAAAATTATGCTATGAAATTTTGATTTACTAAACTCTTCTAAAACGCGCATAAAAAAATACACTAACCATTTTTTTAAGCACAGAATAATATAGAATAATAATATAAAGTGTTTTTAAAAATAATAAATGGTTGATGACTGGACTGTAAACCAGATTATTAAACTTAGATATTCAAATAAACATAAATCAGGAAAAATTAAAATATATGGGTATTTGTAAGACAGCCCTTCTATAGGGGACACACTGTATCTTAAGCAATTTGTTTCCTGGAGAAGTTATTTTCTTAAAATAATACACTGTATCTGTTATTATTAATAGGTGAGAATATTCATGAAAATCTATTCTTTCGTAAGAGAAAGCACTCCACGAGTTCTGAAGTACAAGCCCACTAAAGGTGAATACTTATTTTGTATTAGTTAATTCAATTTATAACTCTTTTTTTATCAATTCTTTTGAATCTTAATGAATAATGCTAGATCGATTTTTTAATAAAACTATTGTATCATTACAAGCAACCGCTATGTAAACGGGAAATGAAACATTTCGTTAAATTAAGGGAAATACTGACCTACGATAAGAAATTTCTCAAAATCATTGGGCTTATTCCTAAGCATTGATTAACATAAATGATTAGGGAAGGCAATATAGAATCAGGACGTTTGACAGGCATGTTTGACAGGCATGTGCACTAACCATGCACGAAAACTGTAGCCTAGAAAACTTGAGCTCATAATTATAAAATTAATTTATCCAAAGATGCATCTATGCAAAATATAACTTTTAGTAAATATTTATTATTTTTTGTTATTTTATTTAATAATGTTCAAAAAATATTGAATTACGAGGTATAAAATAGCTTACGCCATTTTAAAGGATGTAATTATTTTTAATGTTCATCAAAATACAATTTTTGAGTGGAATCGGTCGAATATATCCCGAGAAATCGAATTTTAAGCATCTGATTTGTTTGAAATTCAATTTCTCAGAAACGTTTTAACCGATTTTGTTCAAATTTTGTATTTTGCTATGTAAAATTACATCCTTTAAAATAATATAAAAACTTTTATACCTCACAATTTAAATTTTTTTCGAACATTATGAAATAAAAGGATAAAAAAATAATAAATATATATTAAAAGTTATTATATTTTTCATGGAATTATCTTTGAATAAACTAACTTTATAACTGTGAACAAAAAATTTTCAATTCGCTTTAAAAAAATTCTCGAGATATGGATAAATATGCAGGAAATAAAATTAACATTAAGGGGTTCAAACTTTGGACTGCTCTCCTAACCAACCTATGGTGGCCATATTTTGGGGGGTCAGAAATTCGAATCCGTCGAAAAAAAGGTATGTTTATTCAGAGAAAGTGCGTTTTTGTGTCTGATTTCGTAACTTAAAATATCCACTGTACTAATTAATTAGCATATTTTAAGTCATCCCGTCGAACCACTAAGATTGAGTCTTAGAACGTGAAGTTCGAACAATAGATGGGTGCTCCGTTTTTCATTTTGCAAACTGTACGATTCCGCAAAAGATGATTGTTGATAACATATTTTTTTTTCTCTATTGATTTTCAATAAAAGCTTTTGTATAAAAATATGTAAGAGTAAATGAAATTTATTTTCTAATTCAAAATACTTTACAAAGATAATATAAAATAAAGTTACTTCAATCTACAACTGAAAAACCTCATGTTTTATAAATTTATAAAATGTAATGTAATATTTATTTACTCACATTTAGCTTTCAGAAGCATGATAGAACTTGTTAACTGAGATAATTGCTCTTTTGACAAAATACTTTTCGAAGTTCTCAGAAGAAAAATGAAATATCTCATGCACTTAAATATTCGATATATTCTCTACATTTAGCAAACACAAGATTAAAAAGAAGAACAACCACAATCAATATACAATTTATTTAGTTATAAATATAGTTAGTCAGAGAAAAGAAAAATAATATCAGTAACTCGCTCGCTCGCGAAATATTGATTAATAAAAGCTATTGAAATTGTAGACTGCGACAACCAGGGGGGGGGCTACATTTATATAGGTAAACAAGCAAAGAGCATAAGAGCCCCTTGTTATTTAAAAGGGGCTGACAATATTAAAATTCATCCGAAGAAAAAAACATTTGTCTGTTTTAATCAACATCATAATTTAAGTAAAAAGTNAAAATTGTTATCTTATTCACCATATCACCGACGTCGATTCTCTCTTATCATCAGCAGATGGCAGCACAATAGTAGTCATTTATAACTTCTGAATAATATGAATGTGTTGATTTATGCTTATCTGTACTAAGAAGTTTATTATATACAATTTTATTTAAAATTAAAAAAAAAAAAATTCTTCTCAATGGTTTAAGTTGTTGATTATATGTTATGAAGGGGGGGGGAGATTAAAAATGAGCGAATAAGGATGATAATGATGTTAGCATAATCCCCTTGATCATAGTGTAAAATAAAAGTATAAAATAATTGCGTGAAATAAAAGTATTTTTAATTGAATTTCAGTTACATTTCTATGGTTGCTTGCGGCTTTATGATATCCATAATAATAAAATATCTAAAATCATAATAATAAAGCTCGGATCCTTTTGCTCATCAGTACAAGTCAGTTAGGAAAACGAAACTAAACATATTTTTTATTTGACCAGTAAAAGTGAGATTCAAATTTAATAACTCGATGCAATCTTTTTTTCTTCTTCTTTTAATAGAAATTTTTTTAAAAAAATAGCAACGAAAATTGAAAGCAAACGCTGTTAATACGGATATAAATCTACCGCCGTGATGCACTCACCTCCTGTAACTGCCGGTCAAGTAACTCGCAGTTTTGAAACCGACGGTCAAAAAATAATGGTGGAATCGCTTTTGAACTCTCGGTCGAAGTTTCCAAACCGGGGGTTTTGGAACTGGGAGTTACGCGTTAGGTCAGAGTCAACGGTGAATACGGGGGTTAGTGGTTCGACGGGATGACTTAAAATATGCTAATTAATTAGTACAGTGGATATTNACGGTGAAATGAAATTTTGGACTCTAACCTAGAGTTGCTCTCATAAAACCTGTTTTGAACTCTGACTGAGGGTTAGGGTCAATGGTGAATACGGGCGTAAGATTGAGTCTTAGAACGTGAAGTTCGAACAATAGATGGGTGCTCCGTTTTTCATTTTGCAAACTGTACGATTCCGCAAAAGATGATTGTTGATAACATATTTTTTTTTCTCTATTGATTTTCAATAAAAGCTTTTGTATAAAAATATGTAAGAGTAAATGAAATTTATTTTCTAATTCAAAATACTTTACAAAGATAATATAAAATAAAGTTACTTCAATCTACAACTGAAAAACCTCATGTTTTATAAATTTATAAAATGTAATGTAATATTTATTTACTCACATTTAGCTTTCAGAAGCATGATAGAACTTGTTAACTGAGATAATTGCTCTTTTGACAAAATACTTTTCGAAGTTCTCAGAAGAAAAATGAAATATCTCATGCACTTAAATATTCGATATATTCTCTACATTTAGCAAACACAAGATTAAAAAGAAGAACAACCACAATCAATATACAATTTATTTAGTTATAAATATAGTTAGTCAGAGAAAAGAAAAATAATATCAGTAACTCGCTCGCTCGCGAAATATTGATTAATAAAAGCTATTGAAATTGTAGACTGCGACAACCAGGGGGGGGGGCTACATTTATATAGGTAAACAAGCAAAGAGCATAAGAGCCCCTTGTTATTTAAAAGGGGCTGACAATATTAAAATTCATCCGAAGAAAAAAACATTTGTTTGTTTTAATCAACATCATAATTTAAGTCAAAAGTAATCCGAAGAATTTTAAGTTTAAAAAAACGGCAAAAATATTAGCAAAAAGATAAATTTTTACTAAAATTGAAATCAAAAATTTGTAGATCTCTCCTTTTTACAATAGATGATAACGTATATCATGTTGAACTTCTTGTGGGAAATTTTTTTTTACGTAGTTCTGACTTTAAATACTTTATTATTATATTATTAAAAGTTTAGAGTATCAATATTACTATAGTGCCGTGTTTAGGGGTGGCGAACTGGGCGGCCAAAATTTCAAAACTTGTTAATATACTTATGTTACAAGTTTTTTTTTTCCTCCCTTCATTTTCTTGCCACGCTGAGAAAATTTCTGTAATTCTTTATAAATTATACTCCTAGTTTCTCAGTAGAAAATCTTATTTATTTTATAGTCAGTTATTGTGGCACGCGTAAGCTTGTTGATAGTTCTTTCCATTGGGGATTGTGAAGAATACATTACCATTGTGCCTCTTCACTAATCTTGCCGATGAATTAAGTCTTCTAGTTTCAAGAAAGACAGTGAATGCTATAGTAAAACAACCTTACAATACGAAAACAATTTTTTAATCTTTGACACTCATTTCTATTGAGAATGATCCACCAACTTTTTTAGATTTTACTCTTATAATAGCTAATTTTGTTGCTAGAAAAGCTAGAAAAATTGCATTCGAATTAACTTATCCATATTTGTAAGGAATATTATAATTTTTTCTTGACATTTGCTGAATATATTTTTCCTATTCCTAGGATTCATAGGAATAATTTTAATTTATATTTCCAAATCTGTTTCATTTTATTACAGTTAAGGATCCTTTTTATCAAAAGTGTAAGTATTTTTTAAAAAAATAACATGAATTCAACTTTGGTGTCATAGAAATTTTTATATTAAAAATTTTAATTATTGCCCATTTAAGAGTGTATGGAATGCAATCCCTTAAAATAGTCTAGGATAATGTCAAAAAAAAAAACAGTGTTGGCATGATTAAAAAACATATCAGTTAAGAAAAAACATTGATTTATATGATTCATTATGATTTTTTAAGCCAAAAATTTATGTAAAGAATATTATTTATACAATACTGCATTATTTAATAACTTAATATGTAAATAGATAAGGCTGCGATAATAAATCACTGATATCTCATCGATTATAAATGTTTTATTTTATAATGAGGAATAGGTTAATAAATCAAAAACGAAAAAAAGTTTTTTTTCGTTTAAGAAGTTAATGTAGATAAGAATGTAATTTTTGAATGATAATATTTCATTATCCTTTTCATATTGTAATATGCTCATTTTAGTATGCAAAATAATTCGCTGTCTCCCTATCAGTAAATATACTTCAATTATACCCATTAAATTTTATACATATTTATTTTAATATAATTAATTTTAAATCTTATTAAATATGTAGTTAATATGCATACTTGTAATTAAAGAATAAAGACCTTTTCTGCGAAGAAAAGTTAATTTAAAAATGCTTTCTGATCTAAATTAATTTACTTTTCATTAGACAAACTGATTCTCTCTCTTTACAATACATTAAAGTTTTGAGTTCAATAGAAAAAGATATAAGATATAGAATACAATTTTTTAGGGAAAGATCTAACTCGTTTTCCTTAAATTGTGGCAAAAACGTTTTATATTTGAATAATATAATAGAATTCAAGATATCTTTTTGGTAATTAGTTATTTTACTATTAGTTTTATTATCAGTTTTTTTTTATACTTAATTTAAGAGCTCATTTTTAGATAATTTCAAAGAAAATGTAAGTTTTAATATCTGCTATACTTTCACATTAAGAAACTACAGTCATAAATCATAGCACTAAAATCAGTTCTAGAAGGCCAACAGAATGACAACTTGATTTCACCCAAAAATGCAGATACCTGCATAGTATGAATTTTTCCTTTATATGCATTTTATCACAATGTTACAGCGAGAGGTCGAAATCTAAGGATTGTCGACTTTATCCGGTAAATGTCAACAATCTCATAATTGCCTTGGTCAATGCCCGAAATATTTATGACCGATATTTTGTTAGTTTAATCACAGATATTTTAATATTTATTCGATATTTTAAACGTAATTTATACAGTATTTTAAATTATGATTGTGATGGATTATAAAAGACACCAGTATTAGGAATACTGGGCAAATGTATAACGGGCAGTGGTACTTAACCTTAAAAAAATCCTATTGTAAGAAATATCGGGCAATGGCACTTAAATTTAAAAACATCGGTGTAAGGAATACCGAGTATGTGAATGCTGGGAAACAGTATTGAACTTTAAAATAAATATCAGTGTTGGGATACTGGGCAATAGCACTTAAAAACGTCCGTGTAGGAAATACCGGGAAAGATTTTTTAATGTTAAAAGCATGTAGGGGGGCTAATAATCTTAAACAATCTTTAAAAAAACAGAGGGTATCATCTCCTCACCTGCACAGAATTCCCAACACTGTAGTTTTTCTTAATCTATCAGAATCGGATTTTAAAATATCGTATAAATATTTAAATATGCACTCTATAACAAAAAAAATCGACGCATCAAGAAAGCACTAAGACGCGCAAAATCGACGCTCGGTCAGGCTGGAATGATGCCTACTGGGGACGTATAGTCTTTAGCGACGAATCCCGCTTACTGTGTCCTGACGATCATCGAAGACGTGTTTGGAGACGCACAGGGCAGAGGGGATCCTGCCTTCACTATTGCACGCCACACCGGCTCTCAACAAAGCATTATGGTCTGGGGTGCCATTTCCTTTGACAGCCGGACCCCTTTGATCGTCATTAAAGGTATACTTACTGCACACCGGTACGTCGATGACATCCTAAGACCTATTTTGCTACCGTTCCTTTTGCAGCGCCCTGGGCTGGTTTTTCAGCAGGACCATGCCAGACCACATACGGCACGTGTTGCTATGAACTGTCTGCAAGCTTGTCAAACTCTTCCTTGGCCTGCCAGATCACCAGATCTCTCTCCCATCGATGTGGTGGGAAGGCGATTGCATCTGGCACGGAATGTTGATGAACTCGTTCGACAATTGGATCGAATTTGGCAGGAAATACCGCGAGAGACCATTCGGGAGCTTTATCGGTCAATGCAACGCCGTGTGGCAGCTTGTATCCAGGCTAGAGGCGGGTAAACACCTTATTGAACTTGTTACTGTAACTCTGCAATAAATTATTCAATTGTTCTTAAATTTTAATCATTTACTATTCTGTACATTGTCTTCCTATCCACCAATTTTCGTTTCAATCGGACAACTCCTTCTTGGTGCGTCGATTTTTTTTATAGAGTGTAGATGAATAAATTATTATTCCATCAGATTTTGCATATATTTCGGGCATTTACCAAAGGTGCTATGCGTCTGTTTTATGGTGAAAGTTGACAAACAGCAATGTTGGTCTTTTACAGAAGCAACTATATCTTTTTCTTTTTTTTCTGTTTGTAGATGGAGACCAAAGCGCTCAATTATATCCATCCCTAAGTCATTATTTATACTACCTCTTTGCACCCGTAATGATTTACAGGGACTCATATCCAAGGTAAGTTTCAAAAACCTTTAAAAATTGAATACAACAATGTTAAATTTTATAATCGTCGTCGAACAGCCGACCCAATTTTCGGGTTTACGACTACTAATGTTCAACTCAGCAGCCTTATAATTTTGAATCCAATCTAGAAGACAAGGGAACTCCTGGGTCAAGTACTGGGAGAAATTTGCCTTCGTGGAGGAAATTTTAATGGAACTAACCCCCATCTGCGTAGCATTCAGAGGAAAACCACGAAAATGGTTAGTTTGACGGCAAGGGGAGCAATGTTGAATGAAGAAATTTGTAGAAGAATGCGTAAAGTAACATTTCAAAAACGACCGAACTTTCTTTTGCTATATATTCTTATTTCTGACTTTGGCAAGTTATAGTATGAAATGATTTTTAAAGAGGAAAAAATTTCGCTTATGTCAATATTTCAATGAGTTATGCACAGTCCAAAACATGAACGAAATATATGGAATAGTTCTTGAGAAACAAGAATTTTGAAATTTCATTTATTGAAATTTTATTACTCAGAATCCATTCAACCTATTTCGCCATTTATTCGCCAACCTATTCGCTATTAACCATTTAAAATTGCACAGTTCAATATTAAGTAAAAATTTGTATACCTTACAATTCAAAGCTTTTTGACCACCATTAAATTATATTATAATAAATAATATATAGTTTTAAGAAATAATATTTTGTAAGAAATTATTTTTGGATAAATGATTTTTAGAAGAAAATGTAGTTTAAATATTCTGATTCGCTTTTGTGATATAGCGAAATAAACTAAAAGGGAAATAGATTTTTTAGACTGTATTCTGTCCTTTTGTTTCAATTTTGAGAATCAAAAATCCGAATCAATGAAAGAAAAGTGAAGACCAGCATATGACTATTCAGAAAAATTACATTTGAAGATTATCAAGGGGCAAGAACGTTTTATGTCCATTTTCCATGAAAAAAGAAAGAAAGAAATAAATTAAAATAAAATAGAAATTTTAAAAACAATTTTAAAAAATTTGATGATTGGACCGCTATTGACGATTTTATTCATTTTAAGCATTATTAAGTTTTGACAAATCAATAACATGGAAAATCGGATTTGCCCTAGAGTTGTTACACAGTGAAGATGGGCCATGCTAAGGAAAAACGATTCATGTCTACGGGTTGTGTTGTGAAGAAGAAGACGGTAATACTAGTGGGAAAGCATTGACAGGGAAGGGAATTTTGAGGTCAACCCGATTCCGACCCGATTTTTAAAATTTTATTTTTTATTTAACATCGAAAATTATGACTTTTGTTTTGAATTGAATACTTGTAACATTTCTGTATATTTTTATTTTTGCTACTTCAATTAAATATTTGCTCCTGAAAATTTTCGAACCTGGAAATTCGTTTGTCTTCAAAACTAGCTTTCATGACATAAACCACTTTTCCCTCTTAATTTTAATTTTGTTCGATTTCGTTGTTCAAAATATCATCTGCAGATAACTAATTAGTATAATGAAGACTGCTATCATAATTAAAAATTATTAAGATTGCGTAATACGTAAAAAATCCGATCACTAGACCTAAACTTATTAATATATTCTATTTATTATTCACTAATTTTTTTCCACTTTTTTTTGTCGACATTCTAATAAATTCACTAAAATAAATTCACTACCATACTCTCCAAAAGTATCTAAGAGTATATTAAAATATTTGTAATAAACCCTTACTGAATATCAGTTACGGATATCATTACATACTTTTATATTTTTATTTATATAGGCGGAAAGACACAGACTGGATGTTTGTTTTTCAAACACTTTTCAAGTTCTTTGCCTGCATATTTATTGCCTACTGTGCATTTATGAGGTTTATAGTCGATATATTCCAATATACGGCCTTGCGTCAATTCAGTTTGGCAGAATGTGCCTTGATTTTTGCAGGAGCAACTTTTGTTGGAGCCACAATGATGTTTTTAGTGTTTTATTGCGTACTCCACAGTTGGCTGAACTTCTTTGCAGAAATGATCAAATTTGGAGACAGAGAATTTTATCAAGTAAGGATTTGTTTACATTATTCAGTAACTTTCAAGTTGGTTAATCTTCTTTCACTTCCTAAAATTATATAATGAAGGAGCCATCGAAAGACAACTTTAATTAAGTTTTTAAAGTTTTCGTTCTTATTTTTCAGGATTGGTGGAACAGTACTTCCTTCTCTCAGTATTACAGAAAATGGAACTTAGTCGTACATGATTGGTTATACAATTATATTTACGTAGAAACTCAAAAAGTATGTTATGAGATTTAATATCATTTACTGCATATTATAAAAATACAAAAAAAAATTAAATAAATAAATAAAAAAAAAATGCAAGCTGCAAGCTATAGTAAGATCAAATTACTCCATTTCAGTTGGGATTTAATAGGACTTTTTCAATGATTACTGTGTTCCTCGTGTCAGCTTTAGTTCATGAGTATATCATTGGCTTAGCATTGGGATTTTTCTATCCTGTCCTGATGGTTATTTATTCGACAGTAGGAGGTAAGATATTTTATTTTATAGCCGACGTTGAACTGCCAACCGAAGTTAACAACTATTGATGTTCAACTCCGAACCAATTGTAATTGCTTAGTCTTCGCGGAGGATTTTAAGATAGAACTAACCCGCATTTTCATAACTGGTGAAGAAAACCACATAAACCTCCAACGGTCAAGCCATCGACAAGACGATTCCAACCCGTAATCCATTTACCACTGGGCATACTCTTCGTCAGCGCTGTGCCCAGGGGCAAAATTTGTACCAACCAGCCATTGCTGGGATTAGAACCTGGATCATTTTATTGGGAGACAAACGCCCCATCCCTTAAGCTACCGAGGCTTTAGAAGGTAAGATATGGAAAAATATAAAGGTGGAACAAATCGTTGAAACGGCACCACACAAAAACCAATAATGTGCCATTTGGCAAAGTCGTGTTTTTGGCAAGGTGCCAAAAAAAACTCAAATTTTTGAAAAATTGCCCGTTGAAAATACTAATATGTAAAGAAATGATTGTCTGGTAGATTTTTTGGTTAAGAAAGTGGTAGATGATATTCAAAATTTTTAAGGTTTCTATATACTCTAAGAAATTTCCATAAATTTCGAAGTGGTTGCCGTTAATTTATACTGCCCATTTCTTTGAGAAAAATCCCAATTCCTGTAATTGTAACGAGCTGTAGCAAAATTAGTTGTTATTAGCCGTAAACTTATACAACCAGATTCCTCAATGCATTTTTTAAACAAACTTCATCAAAGCTAGTTGAGATGATCGTTAATTTTATGAGTTAGCTCTTTTCGTAAGAAAAAAAAAAACAAACAGCGAAATTAAATATATTTTTTTATTAATTATTTTTTTGCCTTTGCCTCAACAAAAATTACTTTTACACAAAGTTACGACGAAAAATAATTGATAAAATTAATAATTTTTTTTACATGAATTCATACTAAACTTAAATCATTTCATAATCGAATTTGAACTAAACATTTTGTCGCATCGAAATTACTTCTACAATATTAGTTCTGTTTCAAACAACTTCTCTATTGTGCAACCACTACATAAAGCTCCCAAACTCAATTCAATCGATGTCGTACACCCCTGTCCATTGTGATTACAGCATCAGGCTACGGACACTAGGATCCCGGGTTCAACCCAGCCAGCGCAAAAAAGATCTCTCCCGCAGTCCGTCTACATTGTTGTAGCTTGTAGCAATACTTGATTTATCATTGGGAGTGAGAGGTCCAGATCTAGCCCTCTCCCCTAAGTATTAGAAATTTTGTGCTCTTTTTTCTTCTTAAGAATTGTCATTTAGAATTATGGCAAAAAAAATTTTTCATTAAATTAAGCTGAAATTTGCTAATTAATAGTTATTTACTTATAACTAATTAAAATCATTTCGTAAATAAACAAAATGTAAATTTCGTTTGATGCTACGACTACTGGGGCCCCTGACAATTTTGTGCCTACAGCCCCCAGATTCCTTTATCAGGCCCTGCATTGGTGACCATGAACAAAGAACCCACAATCCTCGACAGATGACATCATTACGTTACCTTGAATTTTTTCCCAGTTTAGTTTGCTCCAATAAACAAATTACGTAAGATTCAAGCATTCTCGAGACCCGAACTGCTATAATTTTTTCCAGCATTACGTTAAATTTGGGTCTGTTATCATACATTATACATTTTACAAGAAATTACGGATAAAACCGTATTTCTTTGGTCATGATAATTTTATGAGCATACATTTATTTTTACTGTCAATGAATTTAATTTTTTGCGGGTTACTGACCGTAATTTAGCGATGAAGTAAGACGGAGAAAAATTGCTAAGGTCTCCATAGAACAGCGAACGAATAGTACATTTTTTGTCAATGAAAGGGATGATATGAATAACTCCCTATCCCGAGTCCCACTTTTGTTGAAAGCTGATTATCCATTGCTCCACTTAGAAGTGAGTTAATTTTTTACTTATGGTGTTACTAGTACAATGGTATCATAGGGAATTTGAAACGAATTAACGCTTTAACCGCTCAACCAGACTAAAAAAGAAGGGCCAATTTATGTCCCCTATAAATATTTTAAAAAACTTTGCATTGTTTATATTATTCGACAAACCCTAAATATCTATTATTATAAGCTGTTAATTAATTATTGAATCTGATACTTTTATTAACAGTTTCCCTGATTATCCCAAGTTAAATTGGGTAAGTAAATATTACAAATATTTATAATCCCTTGAAAGTTCGGGTGTCGTAGAATTTGCCAGTACGTTTTGTTTTATCGGCCGGAAGAGCGAAGAAAAAAAAAAAACTGCTGTGTTTGAAAGTTAGCCAGGTTTTGTTGTTGAATTGTGGGACTGCTGCCCACTCGTTTTGTGCGATTGTATATGCACGATGGTTGCTGAATTTACAAAGAAAAAGTTTAAAAAATGGGAATCGCGTACGAAAGTGAAAATAATGCTGGTGATTTTTCAGATTATGAACGTAAACAAAAACTACTATTTAACTTTTTTCATTTGCCTGAGATAACTCGGGATAGTTAACTGGTGCTAAATTAAATGTTGTTTACACAAAAAAAATAAAAATTTCAACTTAAAACATGTGTATTATGCTTTTTTTTAAATTTATTATTATTTCTTTGTATTTATAAATGAAGTAAAAGAATATGTTGATTTTTTAAATTCCCCCTCACCCCCCCCCCCCCAANCCCCCCCCCCCCCCCCCAATTAGGTAAGGGAGGCGGTTAAAAAAATTTTTCAAAACTATACTTATCAACTTAATATTTTCTTATCTTTTAACTATTTTAGAATTTCAATAGAAAAAAAATTGTTAGAATTCAATGTCACAAGTTAACTATAAATGCTTATTTAATAAATTATTCAAATTATAGCCAACTTAATTTCTCTCCTTACCTGTTTTTTTTTTTCTTTAAATAAAATTTACTTTTACAAGTTGCAGTATTTATACATTAACATGTTATTATTGTGAAGTTAAAATTAATTGAAGCAAACATCTGTTTCTTTCCCTGTAACATCCCTGTTCTTCTAGTGCTTCAATAAAATAACCTTTTAATCTTTTATAACAGGGGTTTCCAACTGGCGGCCCGGGGGCCGTATCCGGCCCGCGAAGCCTTTTTTTGTGGCCCGCGAACTAAAATATATTAGTTGTCATTTTTTTGCGGACAATTTTCGTAAGAATTCTATATGGGTTTAAAATACTTTTCTCGTTAATAAAAACCTAATTTCTTCGTTTGTGTGAAATTTAACATACCAACGGTGCAAAGAAATTTATTTTTCAGGTTTTGCATCCAAGAAAATATTTATTCAAATACAAAAATAATCGTGTATGTTGCTCTTTTTTATTTCATTTTTTTTTTTTTTTGTGAATATAATTCAGCGTGTGTGTATCAGAAATTTTCTCGAAGAAATTCTCCGATTTAACTTTTTGAAACCACTCATTTTGGACGAAAATATTTACACACACATTTGTAAATTTTAAATTTAAAATGTAAATATCTATTCTCTGGTGGTTGCAGCAGACAAACCTCAATTTTCTCATTGAATATTTTGTGTGCTACTATGTAAGTTTTAATACCTTAACAATTAGATATCTGTTGCATATTAATTGTTTAATACATAGGTGCACATTAAAGTTATTGTAGCCCGAATTTTTATTATTTATTTATGTCTTTAAAATTATTATTAATAACAATTAAATATTTTTAAAAATCTACTTCTTATTTTAATTTGTAATTCAATACTTTTGTTTTGTGCAACTTGGTAAAACTCTGACAGTAATATTTAATGTTTCTTCAAACATAAAAGAGTCCTACAAAAAATTTTGATAAAGTTGAGGCCCGCCATTTGATTTGTGTGCTTAATTGTGGCCCCCGGCCTCATGTAAGTTGGAAACCCCTGTTTTATAAGTAGCTGTAAGAAATTAATATTTTTATTCGCGCAAGATGAGTTAGTAGTATTTAATTGAAATTAATTTCTATCCTTTTCTTCAGTATTTAACTATATCTAAACAATACCACTTTTCATATTAAAATTTTTTTATTCAACTCTTTTGATATGAAATCAACGAAACAATAATCGTTACAGTTGTAATCATGTTTGTGACGCAAAGACGAACTGGTCAGATGTGGAATATACTTATGTGGGGTATGCTGTTTTCTGGATGGGGAGTTATCGTCTGCCTATATGGATCCGAGTGGTATGCCAGAGTCAACTGTCCAGGCTCACAGGTAATAAAAACTAACTTTTTAAAATCAATACATTAATTTCTAAAAAGGCCACGAATTGGATGAATTAAAATGAAGAGATTTTGTTACTCAACTTATATCGATTTTAAGGTGTACTTCAATTCTTAATCGTTATGTTTGGGTACTAAGTGAACACAAATAGAACTTAATATACATTTATATGCATTCTCCCAAGCACTATGAAAGGTTTCCTCTTAAGGTTTCTCGAACCAAGAAAATTAAAAGCAAAAGAAAATTTAAAAAAAGCCACAGTTTTAACCCTTAGACACAGAATTTTTATTAAAAATTTTTTTCATTATTTTAGGACAAAATAAGTGAAAAATAAAAAATTTTATTTAATATTTTGATAATTTTCAGTTATGAAATACAGCATGAAAAACAGGTGCTTTTTTCTGTGTTAAACGTAAAATCTTCCAAACAATAACTTTTCAAATTTGTACTTATTTATATCTAAAAGAAACAGTTATTCATCATTGAAAATTTTTTAGTTTACAAATTCAATTATTGATAAATTTTTGAAGGTGAATAAAAAAAATTTTTTTTTTCAAACTACTTTTTTGGGATTTTATATTTTAGTACTGATACAATTCTGATAATCTAACATATTTTTTAGTAACTATTTGACTGTTTTGCTTAATTAAAAAATACCAAAAATGTATTTTTGCTTGCAATTAGAGCGTCTGAAAACACCATTGTCCCATCTACATCAAGGGGACAAACATGAAAACACAAGTAGAAGAAATATCGACAGTTATTCATCATTGAAATTTTTTTAGTTTACAAATTCAATTATTGATAAATTTTTGAAGGTGAATGAAAAAAAATTTCTTTCTCAAACTACTTTTTTTTGGATTTTATAGATTAATACAAATATAATTCCAATAATCTAACAGATTTTTTTAAAAACTATTAGACCGTTTCTTTTTATAATTTAAAAATACCAAAATATATTTTTACTTGCAATTGGAGAGCCAGAAAAAAATACATGAAAAAAAACACCGGTTTCCAATTTGCATCAAAAAGTATCTTAAACTCAAAATAAAGCTAAAATTTAAAAGTATTTAAACCATCTTGCCATAAGAATTGTCAGGACTTTAGAAAGGAAAAGTAGCTTACATTAAAAATTTTAAAAAATTATCACATCTTTTAAAAAATCGAATGGATTAGATATATTTTCCCGTAGATGAAAGACCATTAAAAGCAATTTATAATTGTCAAATTTGCACATTTTTAAGAGCCAAAACAATACAGCTTTGTAGCAATTTCTCAAATAATACAAAATTAGAACACAAACACTTTTCCTTATCACAAAAATTTGAAACTTTTCTTCATATTTACAATTTCATACTTAGCATGGAGGGTGCTTGCGAATTATAAGCAAAACTTAACCGAACAATTATGAATTACTGTTATAAATTCACAGCAGCAATGAAAAAAGGATATTATTAGCTGAAAAGTGTCATATTTTTTGAGAAAAGAGCCTTTGGAAAACAGATTTCAGTTTTTGCTTCAATCTGCTTCTCTGTTCTATTTTTTGAATCTCAAACTATTAATAGTAAAAAAGTACATTCCAACATTTATTGCCCCAGTTTTGAAGCAAGTGAAAACGAAAATGAAGAAATTTATGAAATTTGATTTTATATAATGGCAAAGAAGTAATGACCAATTTAAACTTTAATAACTAATTCAAGCATCATTTAAAAAAAATTTTTTTCCTTTTAAAATTTTTTTTATTGTCAGAAAATTGCTTATGAGCGTAGTTATTTAAACCAAATTGCAGGTAAGTGTTAGTAATCTTTCTGAAAACAATAACAATCTACGATAATTACTCATTAAAGTGCTAATTAAAAGAAATACACCACCAAAATCCATTTTTACTCATTTTTTCAGTTTTAACATGAAATTTTAGTGTAGAATTATATTAATACATTTCTCATTTATAAATTGAAACTATTCTTTTCTTTGTTACAAGGATCCAGTGGAGGACTTTTTCAGGCCAAGATCTTGGAACAAATCATGTCGTATAATCAAGTTTTAATGTTTACATTCCTGTCATTTTTTTAATTACATATCATGTGAGAGAGACATTTTTAATAAATTTATTTTCATTTTACTTACTAGTTTCTTCTCTTTATTTTCAAATACTTTATGATTGATTGTACAACTTTTTGACAAAGTGTTTGCTAACATACTCTTACTGAAAATATGCAGACACAAAAATTAGAAAAATTATTATTAATAACAATTAAATNCACCTGACCGGAACATATGCTCCTGCACCCCAGAGCCCAAGGTCAAGAAAACTGATATGGGCACAGTCGGCCTTGGCCCTCTTAATGGGCTGTCGCGCCACTGAGTTAGTTAGGATATAGTATTCAGCATGTTTTTTTTTAAAGACTTTAAATCAAAATTTATTCTTATATTTTTGTTTTTTTAAATTTGAAACAAAAGAAAACTATTTCTTTGAAAATGTAAAAAAGTTTTTAAGAAAGTGAGGGCTCTTTAAGGGCTGCAACAAAGAGGGTGATGATTAGCTTTTTCAATCGAATTAACTAAATTAAAACGAAATTCAAGCTACTGCCTCTTTTTTTCTTTATTAATTCTATAGGATTCCAATGAGACATTTAAAAAAAATTAATTTCTTATACAATATGTTTTTTTGAGAATACAATTTCAAATAATATTTGCATATAATTATTTCCAATAGAAATAACTAAATCAACATTACATCGCAAGTTGCTGAAATATTTATCATTAACAGATTTGTATCAGAAACAAAAATCTTAAAAAATAAGAAAAATTAAAATTATATTAAAAATATATGTGAAGGGCTTAGGACAGGTGAGCATTTTTGTTGGGGGAAAAAAAGCACCATATAATAATAAAATGTTTCTGAGCATTGTGCTATTACCTCTTAGAAATTTTAAGAACTAGCAAAGTACTTAATTGAAAACAATACAACCAAACAGGTTGACCTAAAAATGTAACTTTTGGGAAAAGTGTGGCCTATCTCTATACTATCCCAAGCTCTTTTACATATTTAAAAATATGTATCAAGTCCAAATGTAGTAACAGATTTTATTTTTAAACTACAACTAAAATTTACACAATTTATTGAACTTGAAAACAAAAACATGATTATACAACACAAATAATAATGCACAATAAATTGTATATAAATATCTATAGGTGTTGTTTGTTTCCAAAATATTTTAAATGCAAATCAACAAGTTAAACAACAATATATAATCTTCTCAATAATACTAATTATTGATTATAATATTCATAAAAGTTATTTTAATCAATGTACAATATACTACATTCATGGCACTAGTGCACAATTATTTAAACATCTAACAATTCAAAAAAACAAACAAAAGCATATTTAAGTAAAGAAAAAGGATATACCGGGTTCATATCCAAACTTATTCCAAAAAATATTTTTGAATAAATTTCATTTTCCCAACAACGGAAAGTCGGACCCAAAGATATGAAAAAAATATGCATTAATTCGTCAAGCAAAAATATAAATTTTGATTTTTAACTAAATTAACAAAATATAAATTGTTATTCCATAATTGCATGAATCAATTTAAAGAGCTATAGTAAATCTTCTTGATTAGAGTCCACCACCACCTGATGTTTTATCACCTAAAACATAGAAACGGTAATATTGATTCATTTGCTCTAAGAATATGAAAGTTAAAACTGTGTGTGGTCCCAGTCTAGCATAATAAGGTGTAAATCCTTTCCATAAGCTGAAGAATCCTTCATTTCTTATCACCTTCATAAGCACATCCTATATTTTAAAGAAAAAAATGTTTTTAACTTCTTAATTAGTGCAACAAGCAAGGTTTATCAAAATAAATAAGTTTAAAAAATGCGTGCAGTGTTCAACACTGCAAGCAAGCAGCCTTTANGTCCCAGTCTAGCATAATAAGGTGTAAATCCTTTCCATAAGCTGAAGAATCCTTCATTTCTTATCACCTTCATAAGCACATCCTATATTTTAAAGAAAAAAATGTTTTTAACTTCTTAATTAGTGCAACAAGTAAGGTTTATCAAAATAAATAAGTTTCAAAAAAATAAATATGTAGTAAGTATGCCAAAAATGACCAACAGTTTGAATAATTAAACAGAAAAAATAGAAGATAGATGCTGCATAGAAAACGAAATGTGTTTATTTTCATCAAATTTCAAAATTTGTTATAAAGTTTAGCAACAGATGGCAAAGTTGGCTGGAAAAACTGATTTCTTATTGTATGTCAGACCATTTCAACTAAAATATAAGCACTGAAATCTTTAGACAACCCCGTTAGACCACCACATATAGCTGCTGCAAAATTTCAAAATGTTTTATATTTTTTTCAGTTATCAGTGCCATCTGTTGAAGAACATTCAAATTAATTTTAAGAACTAAATTAAGAATAAGGTGTAAATAAAAACCTAAGCAGAATCCAAGAAATTGTATTTCTATCTCATTCCATTTTTTGTTAATTGATTTATCAGACTGCCAGTCATTTATCAGAACAATCTATGCATAAGTAATTATATCATTTTTACCAAAACAAGTAAAGCATTATCGCAACAGCCCCTGGTGGGCACTGGAGGTCATGGAAGTTAAGGCTTAACAGTTTCGTGACCAACAGCATGATTGTGGAGGCATGTTCAACACTGTACGCAAGAAACCTTTACTTCCCAGACAAGCTCGTACCCATCAAACTGAGGCTTGGTAGGCTTCAAGCCACCACTAAGGATCAAACCCCAGTTCTTTATAATAACAGTTCAGTGCCTTAACCACTGAATTATTGCGGCTATTTTTACCAATATATGGAGAATAAATTAACTAGTGGTAGTCATTTATTTATTGTCGTCGACTTTTGTGATCCCAGTGGAGAAAAAGTAGACAAATGAACACAATTGTTTTTGTGTTTAAAGTAAAATAGAAAGGTAAAAAAATAGAAAAGTAGAATAAAATAGAAAATATTATATTACCTAATATATCAGAACTTATATTTCCATAAAATATTTTGGATAGTAACTCATTATTTTAATTATAGTAATATTTTTAACTAGTACANCTTGGCAAACTTCAGTTTTTGACATTTTTGACGGTTTAAACCAGTATTATACCCTTGTCATGTCAAAAACCACTTTTTGACGTCAAAAACCCAACCCTGCTTCATAGACAAGCTGGTACCAATCAAACTGAAGCTCGGTAGGCTTCAAGCCACCACTAAGGATCAAACCCCAGTTCTTCATAATGACAGTTCAGTGCCTTAACCACTGAACTATTGAGGCTCTTTTTACCAATATATGGAGTATAATTAACTAGTGGTAATCATTTATTTATTGTCGTCATCTTTTGTGATCCCAGTGGAGAAAAAGTAGACAAATGAACACAATTGTTTTTGTGTTTAAAGTAAAATAGAAAAGTTAAAAAAAAATAGAAAAGCAAAATAAAATAGAAAATATTATATTACCTAATATATTACAACTTATATTTCCATAAAATATTTTGGATAGTGACTCATTATTTTAATGTAAAAAAAATATTTTTAACTAGTACAAAGTTATACTGCAAGGTTTTCTTTTTAGAATAAAATGTTTTTTTTTAAAGACAATTATAGGAATAAACTACAGAGCCAATGCATGATAACTCTATAAAATAAAGATTAGAGCATTAGATTTGCGTTAAATCATATATTTTGGATAAAAGAAGAAATAAAATATTGTGTTAGATAAAATCTAACCCAATATTCTAGAAATACAAAATTATTTTAAAATACTAAAATTAAATATACAATGTTAACACTTACCCCTGCACCTCTGTATTCAGGTTTGCCATCTATCATTTTCATGTTCTGTATCCTAATTTAAAAAAGGAAGAAAAAAACATTTAAATTAGATACATATACATATATTACTTCAAATAAAGGGGCAAACATGGTACATCAGGTCGGCAAACTTAAGCAAATTAATAAGTTTAACCTTTAATAGAATCAAAATGAACTTAATAACACGCTAACTTTAAATAAATAGATTTCTAGATATAATATACCCCATAGTGAAAGATTCCGCAAGTCAGAGACTTTATTTTCTTTGAAGAAAAATAAATCTTTTTCCTAACATAAGATTCTTGAAAACATTTAGTTTTACAACAAAAACACATTTTAGTACTTCTAATAACTATTCCTGTAATTACTAGACAGAAATTACTATTGCTAAAACAAATGCTCATGCTGTAATCAAACAAAAAGAAAACTGTTGAAAAAATTGTAAAATTTTTCAGATTTGTTATTAAAGAGCACAGTAAAAAAAATTTTCTTCTCATTTTTCATTGGTATTGAAGAACTAAACTGTAACTGTAACATGAGGCCTATAAAATTGTATGCTAATACAACACGAACACCTTGAAAAATAAATTTTTTTTTTAAAAAAAAAAAACACTTGATTATCAATTTTGGAAATAAATAGGAAATACTATTGCGGAAGCACTTATTTAAGTTGTAAGCAAACAAAAAAGAAAAACCATTGAAAAATAGTAAAATTTTTTGTGTTATTCATTACAGAGGATTATAATTTATTAATAGTTTTTTTTCACTGATATTAATCAATCTATTCATATTAGATTTGAGCAATAACAACCATTAACATTGTAAAACTGCAATTTTATATGCAGAAGATAAGGGAGCTGTTGGAACAAAATCTTTGTGGAAGACTTTTTCAGTGAAGGTAATTAACATTTGCATTCCATGAAAAGAAAAGCCACAAAAAAATTTCAGGATTAGTCTGAACACAAGGAAATTTAAACACAAGATCTATACACTTTAACATTTTTCATTCACACTGCGGTCAGAGCAAATTGCAAACAGGAATTTGAATTCTGAGATCATTGCATACTTGTGAAGAAATGTAACAGTATCTTGATCAGGAGAAAATCTGGAGAATTGAAGCTTATTTTTGCCATTGGTAAATAAGACCATTTATTTTGCAATATCGGTATTTTTAATACATTATATCTATAGAAATTCATTTGGGGATTCGGAAAATATTTATTACATTAAAATTTATGCCATTTTTGTCTGGATAAGCAACATAAACAGAATGCTTATAAATAATAAAGTTTAGATATCCCACATAGAACATCAACAATAAAACAGACTTAAAAATATATCATAATGAGTAAATTATCAAACTTTAAAAAAGTCAAATGCACTAACAGTTATCAAAGGAATATCGGATAAAATAATTATCACAAAATTAAAATGCTTTTCATTACCTAGTTTTAGCTATATCGACTGGCATTGATGCAGCTGTTGTGATTAGACCACTGATCATACTTGAAACAAAGTGACACATTATATTATCTCTAAAATAACCTAAAATACAAGTTGTTATTAATAAAAAAAATATTTCAAAAAGACATTTAAAAAGAAAGGCAGCATTTATCAAAATATGAAATATATTAAGTTATAACTATACAGTGTAACCTTGAAAATTCTGAAACCTGTGAAAAGCGAACAATTTTATTCCACTTGTAATGAAAAATAATGGCCTAAATCAGATTTAAACTTAAGATACAGAGATATGCATGCCATAACATTATCATGTTTAAAATCCAAAACAATAACTGCTGAAAAAGCAATTTGAATTCATAATGAAATTCTCACCAATCAAGAGTTTAAAAAAAGTGACTGTTTCACAATGCCCTATTCAAAATTCAGTTTGCTTGTTGTATTACTATTGCATCGAAAATTATGTAATTTTAAAATCAACATGGCAATCTGTATAAATTCATGCCAACAAGACAACTGAGAAAACCATAAGGATTTACTATAAAATCATTGAGAATCGAGCATTTTAAAAAGTTGTTTCTAAAATATGTGTCAGAAATCTGTAGATGTACTGTACGAAGAAAAAAAAAAATTAACAAGACTATACGCTTTCATAATGAAACCTTAGTGAATACAGCACAGCACTAAAAAGTAATAAGTAACTTAAAATTTGTGTTTCACAATTATTTCATATAAAAAAGATCAGGATCTTAAAAATCTGTAGCAATAACTGTTGGAAAAATGATTGAATTGAAAATTAAATCAATTACGTCAAAAAGTGAGTACTCAAATGCATAATTCAATTTTACATGTTGCTATAATTATAACTCTATTTAACTAAAAATAATGGGATTCCATAAAATGTGTGGAATTAATAATTATCTAAGAAATATTAGACAAGTCTATGTGAATTGATGATTTAATCTCAGAAAATAGAGCACATTGGCCAGATTTAAAATTCATGTGTTATAGTAGTGAAATATCAAGATTTTAAAAACCATGGGGAAATTCATGGAATAAGGAAAAAGTAAATCAATTACCATGTACTCATACATTTTTTTTTAAAATATGGGTCTGTAATATTTGAGGTTTCTGTAGTTTTAAATACGTTAAAAATCAGGAAATTTCCTAATTTCTAACCTTCAAAACAATTTCACAGTTCCAATTTTAAATCATTTAAAAAAAAAACTATCTGTTTGCAATGTTTAGTCGAATAAATAATACATGAATGTTGAAAATTGCAAGGAATTACTTACAGTTCTAAGCTTAAAAAAAAAAAGTTTAACTTACTTAATAAACCCTTTTGACACATTATTTTTTAATTTTAATTTACTGTTTTGATATAATTTAATAGACATGTGTTTAAATTACCTGTATTGAGTAAAATCTGTTTTGCTTGAGAATATGAAGCTAATTGTGCAGCATTGACTACCATAGCTCTACCAATAGTTGGAACACACCCCTATAGAAGAAAATAAGTATATTAAAATGCTTTATCGGTTTTGAAAAAACAAGTTTTTTAGTTTCATTGTTAATAAATTAAAAAATTCATTAAGTTAATAAATTAAAAAATATTACTTCAGTTACGATTACAATCCAGAACTTTGATAGGTTAAATTTATTTACTTTATAGCAAATAAAAAATATAAGTACAAAAAAATACCCAGACATTTTCCCCAAAAAAATGCTCATAATTTATGACGATATTTGATTTTGATCCACCCTACGGAGACTTAGAACCATACAAGAAATAGGGTAAAGGCAAATGTTTGATACTGGCCAATGATAACTCATCACTTTGTCTCGTTTTAAAAAACACTTTTAATTCTTCCCTTTTTCTGGTGAAAGCCTGATCGTAATCGTGAACATGTTCTAAGATAATAAGTAATTGAACTATATAATTCTTTCATGAAATTCGGTCAAAAGCATTTTGTTTTGGACATAGTGTTAAAGGTGACAGGTTCTACGGTTATGAGAAAACACATTTTATTATGAATTTGTACAAATAGAATAAGAGAAAAATAAAAGAGAAAATTTCTAGAATTGAAACAATGTACAAAAAAAAATTATTTCTAAATTCCAATCCCAACAATTAATTTGATACAATATTAGTAATTTTAGTAAATAAAAAGATCTTTTTATTCTCCAAATAATAGTATTTAATTTAACGTTTTTAATCTTATTCTTATTTAAATGTTATCTTATTTAAAAGTTTTTAATTCTTATTTAAAAGTTTTTAATCTTATTTTTCTACAGATAAATACATGTTACTATAAATTACCTTGAAATCTTGTGCCTAGATATGCTTAGCTTAATTTTTATTATATATTTTTAATAATTGTTTGTTATATAGTTTTCATAATTGTTTCTTACTTTAATTACCTATGACAAGGTAAATAAAATTAGCAATTTCTGAGTAAATCAGATAAATTGTTTTTAAATTAAAACTAAATGCATTTTGCACTTATACAATTCCAATATTGCATTATTTCAGCTGAATCCAATTTCTTGCAGTTGCTATGCAGAAAAAAGTTTTTAGACCCCTGATTCATAACAACTCTCAAGATATTTAGCCAGTACAGTAACTCAATACATGCTGAACAATGCGCTTTAATTAATAATTTTTTATATACAAAGCGTAACACAAAGATCTCCCTATACACCCCAGCATTGAAATGCGTTTATAATACAGGGTGCGTAGCCAAATCTTTCAACAAAAAATAAGCACCTTTTAAGTTATTTTTAAGAGCTCAAAAACTATTTTTAAGCACTATATACATTAACAAAATGCAAAATAAGTTTCAAAGATTTTACAGGATCATGATAAAATAACTAGTTTCTGACAAAAAAACTCTTTTCTTGGTTATATTAGCCACCATAAGAAGATAGAGAGATTTTTCGGTTCAACTTTAGAGTATAGAAAATGAAGCCTGAAATTGAGAATATCTAGCAAACTGCAGCAGAGTTGCACATGAGAATGCAATAATCTCACCGAACCCAGCTCAGTAGACGCAAATCCGGACTTGCAAGTATTTCGTCAAACATGTAAAATAATTGGCTCTTTCATACGCTAATCAATCGAAGATACGCTGAAATGAATTGTGAAAACGTTGAATAGAACAATGTGAAAAGCACACTTTTGCATAATAGGTTCCGAAAATCGACATGGTAAAGAAAAATATCTTATTTTCGAAAAGGGAAAATTAAGCACTTTTTAAAAACACCCAATAAAAAAGCACCTTTAAGGGCTTTTAAAAAACGAAAGTCGAAAAAAAAGCACCTTTAAGCACTTTTTAAAAACGCTATGCACCATGTAATAGATGACTTTTTAGTAAACTATTAATTAATAAAAAAAAAAATTCTGGTATTTCATAGAATGTAATATATAAGAAGCAGTTTCAAACAATATTAAAAAATAATAAAAAAACTTACCCGCCACAGTGTAAGAACTCCTTCTTCGCGAGTTATTCTAATGAGTGCGTCAAAAACATTTTTGTACCCCCTCCGCTCAGCTTCCGGAAGCCTGCATAACACACAGTTATTAGAAACATAGATTACTTTATTGAAAGACAATCACTTGGGAAACACATACAGATAAAAAGAAGACAAGAAAATATAATATTTTGCATTCCAGTTTTAAAAAATAAATTAGATTTTTCTTTCCTAATGGTTTCAATTTAAAATCTTAATATGGAAGAGACATAATGTCATTAGAGACAAACACAACTCCAAAAGTCCACTATATTTTAATTTTTAAAAAAAAAAAAAACAGCAATATAATAACACTTTCATAATTTTTCATTAAAAGTCATTTCATAATTTTTATCACAAAAAATTAACTATGTAGAAACTCTAAAAGTAATAAGTAACTAATGGTACTTTCATTTACGTCACACTAGAGCTGCACAATGGGCTGTTGGGGATGGTTTGGGAAACATCCATGAGGATGGAAGTGAACAATCAAAATAAATATTTTTGAGACATGCTTCATAATAATGATTTTTAAGTAATGACTTCATTTAATCATTTTTTCAGCACTACACCTTACAAGCCAAGACTCTCTCAATAATCATCAGTAAAGAATTAGTGTTAATTTGTAATTAGAAATCTTATTCTTCAGCACTATTGCTAGTTACAGACCAAAGTTGCCTCAGTTAGTATCATAAATCAGGGTAAAGAAAATTATAGGGAAGAATTAAAGATTAATAATAATGGACAAAATTTGTTCTTTCTTAGCGCAATAACCTGACACAGGCCAAAGCTTTCTCAATAGTAAGTATTCTCCATTGGGTTAGCAAAAATTATAAGAAATAATTAGAGTTAATAATAAGGGATAAAAAGTTTTCTTCAGCACTACAACCTTTTACAAGATAAGGCTCTCTCATTGGGTTAAAGAAAATTAGATAGAATAATTATGGATTATAAACTATTACTTATTCAACATTACAGCCTGTTACAGGCCAAGGCAGTATCAATAAATATAAATTTTATCGGATTAATAAGGTTTTAAGGAATAATTAGGCAAAAAAATCAGAGAAAAAAAATAGAATTAAGGTTGTTTGGTAGAATTTTTGAAATTTATATTGCAAATATAAACATTGTATTAAGGTTTAAAAAAGAAAATGGAAAACTACACAAATCACTATTTTTACAAAACAAACACTATTCCTTACCTTCCATCAGCTGTCATACGAATCAAAGATATTTCAGCTGGTGTTCCAAAAAAAGCACCTACTGCTCCAGCAGCCATACCGATTCCTGCTTTCATAAAGAAACCGGGAGGTTTACCACTATCTCCTCTATAAACAGTAAATAAAAAAAATTATCTATTTTCAAAATATGAGCATTTCTTAAAAAAAATTTCTACTAAGACAGTTCACAAATTTACGTTTATTTACATTGTGTTAATCTAATTCAACATGTGTTGTCACTGACGATATGAAATATTGATTTAAGAATGGGACGAAATAGAAAAGTACAGTTTGCTGCACTCTGCTTAGTAAACTAGATAGTTCCATCTCCTCAGTTCTATAATTATTTACAGAGCTTATTAACAAATGGCCTTGCTGACAGGAAAAACTATAAAGCAATGTGTTCTGTTGTTTGTTAAACAATTTTAAATGAAATATTTTCATGGGTGTACGTTAATTTTGTTCTCAAATAGTGCCACATCGTATCTGCAAATAATGATTACTTTAAAAATGTTGTTTTATAATTTTGCTAATTTAGCAACACCACCCGTTGATGAAATCTTTTTAATTCATTTTGAAACTTGGTAAGAAATAAATTGTTTAATTTTATAAGCAGAATGCATCAAATTAAAAAATTTTTTTCTCACTTTTTCAGTTTTTCTTTAACTGATTTTTCAAATCTTTAGTTCATTATAGAACACCTGATTTTTTATATCTAAGAAATCGTTGAAGGATTTTAAAGAACAGGTAAATATCCTATTAATGATAGTAATAACCTAGCATAATTCAATATCCAAAAAAAAAATCCATTCATAAACATAAATATTGAAATATTTATGAAGAAACCCATTGTTTCGTAAAACTTATGTGAAGCATATACATACGTATGCAGCACGTATACGTATGCAGCACGTATACGTATGCAAGAAAGTTAATAAAATCAATACAATAAAAGAAAAATAATTTTAAATGCAATATGATTGCTATCAATCCATATTAAGTTATCTTGATGCAGTCAGTGAAATAAAAACAGCATAGAAGTAATTTTATTTTAAAAACACAGAACTTTTATTAAATATATTTTTCATATTTCGTTTAGTACTTTAAGTCAACTTAGGTCAAAATTAGCAAAAAATACCTATATTTAGCATTTTAATAAATTATGGTTATGAAATACAACCTGCGTCTTTTTCTACGTTAAAGGTAAAATCTTCTAAACACGGCTGACTTCCAAACAATAATTTTTAAATATGCAGTCATTTAGATCTGAGAGAAACACTTATTCATCATTAAAATTTCTTTACTATACAAAATAAATTATTAATAGCTTTTTGAATATAAATGGGGAAAAAAACTTAAAACTACTTTTTTCGGATTTTATATTTTAGTGCAATATAATTCAGATAATCTAACAGATTTAATAACTATTAAGACTGTTTCTTATAATTAAAAATACCAAAACAAATTTTTTGTTTGCAATTAGAAAAAATATATATAAAAGGGACACCAGTGTCCCATCAGCGCCAAAGGGTTAAAGCAGTTTAGAGAGAATTCTTATGTCAGATATTTTCAGTAGGTATATTTAATCTTTAAATTTATACCTCTTATGAAACTTTAATACTTCAGTACAAACTACATTACAGGTATGAAAACCATAAATAGATTTTAAAAATCAAAGCAATAAAAATATATGAATTAATTCAAACAACATAAAAAATATTGAATACTATTTACTTACGAAAACTTCTGAAATAATGTTGAATAAACTCCCATTCTGACAGTTGTGTAAGATGCTTGACGTAGCAAGCCAGCAGAAAGCCTAAAACATATTTCAAAGTATAGTAAAATTTGCTTTTCAAATAAATTTTTACATCATGAAAATTTTAAAATCAAAATCCACATACAGTTAGTGAATAGTTTATAGCCTTAAGACTATTACTTTTATAGAAATTCCTGTTATAAAATAATACTTTTAAATAAAGAAAAATTAAATATTAATTTAGCTTTAATAGCTATATTAAATGAAGATGAAATAAACTGTCACAAACAACCTACATCTAGTCAATAAACTTGCTAATAGGCTACATTTTAAATAAAATAAAAATTAATTACAAACTAAANTTCACATATGAATATAGGTTTTTGACATTTTCGACATTTTTGACAGTGAGGTTTTTGACGTGACGGTTTAAACCATGGTTTAAACGGTCAAAAACTGTCACATGTCAAAAACCTGCCAACCCTGGCTGAAATTGATATCATTTTAGGACACAGATTTTGATAACTTTAAAAATACCTAGCTCTTAAAAATAACAATGTTCCTAATGAAAAAGAAAAAACTTCCCCATAAAATGAAAATTTTTTAATAATCAAAGAAGAATTACAATCTAAAAATTATTTCTATCCTAAGTTTAGAGAAAATTTTATTAACATGTGTATATTAATAGAAAGTGAGATACAATTTCCATTATAGTTCGAAACAAATTTTAAATAAAGCGAAAAATAACATATGGGAAAAAGAAAGTTTTGAAAGAAAGAATTTTGGCAGTTATTAACGATATAAAAAGCAAAAATATTCTTAAAGCATTCAGTAAAAAATTATTTGATAATGCAAAAAAACCACAAATGATGGGTGAAAAAATATTCTAATGTTTAAAAAAAAATTATAAACGTAAAAAAAAATTCTCAAAAGAAAAACAGAATCTTCAAAGTTTAAAAAAATGGCTGTAATGAAAAAAAAAAAAGGTTAAAAAAAAAATAAAAAAAAAAGCAAAAGAAAGAAAAATGTCATCAAAATCCATTAGTAACCATCATCATTGTGCAAGTAAATTTAATATCATAAATATGTTTGTATAAAGCAACTTTTCAAACCCCCAAAATTTTACTCAATAGGGGGTAGACTTTTATAGCAGCAATAAAGTTGGGCATTCATTGATCCTGAAATATTAATACAATATAAAAAATTTAATAGATATGAATAAATCTGTATGAATTTACCTCTTAACTATTTTTAGTATGCTATAACAATTAATTTTGCATTATCTCTCATCACATTTCCTTCCCACATTAAGTTTTTTTTTAGAAATTATACTTTAAATTACATTCAGAAAAAAATATTAAGTATAAGAAAAATTAAGATAATTTAATCAAGAATTTTTCAAAAAATATAACCAGGGTTGATTGTGGCACTGAGTGAAAAACCCTGAAAATTTTATGTACAAAAAGTCTATATGATTTTATAAACCATACATGATTCATATTTAACATAACTTTTTGCACTAACATTTATAATTAAATAACCTACTAATGCAGAATATCACACCTTTAGAGTAACTAATTCAAGAAAAAAACTTTCTTTTTACAAGAATTACGATAATGGATTTTAAAATCATGTGAATATGAATTGCAATATTGGATTTTAAAATTGTGTGAATATGAATCGCAATATTGGATTTTAAAAATGTGGAAAACAAATTGCAATATTGAAATTGCTTAAATACAGTTTTTAAATCAGATAAATGCAAATATTGATGTTTGACATTACTAACATGTGAACATGAATCGCAATATTGGATTTTAAAAACTCATGAATACGAATTGCAGCATACAATCACAGCTGTATCACACAATGAATACTTTTAAAACATGCTATAAAGTTGCAAATTTTAAGATTCCAGAATATCTGTGGAGGATTTTATAATGCTAGAAGAGTTATCTTACATATACCACTCTGCAATGAATTTTGCATTTGCTGAGTCCCACAAAAAATTTTCTTTACCAACCATCTAAAGGAATTTGAAAATTAAAATAGAATACAGTGAACTCTCACTTATGCACCGGTGTAAGGGGCCAAGAGAAAAAAGCGCATTAGTGAAAGAGGCGCATAAGTGAAAAACTTCAAAATTCTAAAACGCAATGCAAATTGCAGTGACAATATGAATAAATATGTTTCTAAAGATTTAATGTTAATATTTATACTGTTTTGGTATTTACTATAATTATACAAAGAAAAAATTTAACATACCTTAAGACAATTTATTTTCTTACAAAATAATCTTAATACATGTTTGTATTTGTTTTTGCCGACGTTATTCAAAAACAGTTTTTTCCAGTTCATATAAATGGGATAAGGGGGAGTTTCAGAAGCAAAATTAAATTGTAAATAGTCAGGAATAGTGTCTAAAGCTTTCAATACTGCTGTGTGATTTGGAGAAACTTTATCATCTCGTCAGTATCATCCACTACGTTCTCATCATTCACAAGTTTTAGTTAGATATAAATGAACAGTTCTTCACAAAAAATTTGAGTTTTATGGGAGGGGGTGAAACATATCACATGATAAATTTCTAAGAAAAATACTTGACGTCATAATATGCTGCACAATAAGTTGTTCAAGTATTTCCCTCACTAAACAGATCACCTCCTTTTATGTACTCATAATGTCCATCTGACTGCAAGTAAGTGATCGCGGTCTCTTTCATCTTTCGTATCCCAGGTGTCTTCTTTTTCTAGAAAACAGCATGGGGGTAAAACTAACCTCTGGACAAGAGGAATTGGTCATTTTCTGAAAGATGAATGGGCTTTCATTGTTGTTGGTGTAAAAGATAAGACACCCTATTCAAAATTTTAGAAAGAATCTCTTTCCAGAAACAGCAAAAATGAAAAGGTCACAGGGGGAAGCAAATTCAATAGGATCTAACAACATATATTTCTTTTTATCTGTAACAAGGATTGCTCATTTGCTTCATTTTTAATTTAAAACATTTTTTTTAAAAGAAAAAATATTTAAAGGATTAAAAAATTAAAATGCCAGCCAAAAATTTCGGCGCATAATTGAAAAATTTATTTTTAAAGCGACGCATAAACGAACGATGTTTATCATTATTTTCCTATCTAATGCACTGGGACCTATAAAAATCGGCGTATAAATGAAAAAGGTGCATAAAAGAGGTGGTGCATAAGTGAGAGATCACTGTATTCCATACTTGTTTTTTTTTTTTTTCATCTGTTGACTTATATATCCAACATAAGAGAAATTTACTATCTCGTAAATAGGAAGTCGACTTATACACCGGTATATAATGTCATCGATTTTTTAAAAAAAATTACTCAATAAAAAAAGTCAATGCTAAAGCTTATGCGTGTATTTTGGACACAACTTTTATTTCTAAAACAAAGATACATTCTTCAAAAGGTCAGAGAAATAGAATAAATTCATTTTGAAAAATAAATTCACCTTAAACATTCTAGAATAAAATTTAGTATGTCATTTAAATTTTTATTTCATAAAATTTAAAAAAATAATTTTTCATTCTGAAACAAATAAAAAAAAATACACGAATCTAAAAGGCAAAGATATTAAAAAAAATAGATAAATTATATTTAAGACACATAACTACAAAAGATGTATCGGGTGCCATTACTTGATTGGACCTGGAAAAAAAATTTTCACAACCCGTTACCAGGTCCTTAGTCTCACAGTCTGGTATCTTCACCGATTAACCTTCATTTAAATATAACCTTCAAACAAAACTATTCATAAAAAAGGCACAGATATAGAATCGTAACGTTAAGGACAGCAAAACTGCTATACTAATTTTCTGTTCAACATTGGTTTTAAAATAAAATTTCTCACAGAGAATCAAAAAGTATAAGAGATTGTACTAAGTTAAATCTCCATGCAAGTAAATTACGTTATAGTTATAAAATGATTAAAAATTGAACCCTAATGATTAAAACATTTTTGATTTTTAATATATTGTAATTCTGCTAGAAATTTTTTAAAATAACCAACATTTATCAAAACCTACATTTATAAATGCTATTGAAAATTAAATAAATCAAATGAAAAATTAATTAAGAATTTCAACTGTTAACAGATAATTCCACATCATAGCAAAGTTTAACAATAGGTATTCAATATCTCTGAGAAGTCATAACAAATTTTGTTTAGAAACATGTTTTTAGATATAGTTTAAAAATAAAAAGATGTTTTTTTTCTATGTAAAAATTTCCTCAGGGCATGCTCAAATGTGACTTTCCTTAGAACTTGGTGCAAAATATTTGTTCCATAGAAAAAAGAATTTAGGTAAGTTATCTTATTTAGTTTTAAATAACATGAACAAAAAATCATAAATGCACAAAAAGTAATATTTCTATAGAAGTATATCACAGTTACATTTAATTTCAAAACTCTTTTTCAATTAAACTAATAGCATCTGAGTTTTCATTAAAAAAATTAAGCTTTCATAATTATTATATAAGACTTTCTAAAAAATATACTAAAACGTGAAAACTTACACAATGGGAAATAAACATATAGCACATATATGTGTTTAATTTTCCGCAAGTACAAAATCACGATTATGTTTTTTTTTTTTTTTTTTTTTTNATTGTTTTTTTTTTTTTTTTTTTTCGTGCTCAAAAGACAGTTGAGAATACAAAGGCAAAAACAATTTCTTTACCCAACATAAAGACCTGATATTCCCTCATTTCTAATAACACTCTTTATAGCATGTAAACTAGTTTTATGCTCTTTAGCCTTTCCACCTTCACCTAAAAAAAAAGCAAAAATAAGTATTAAAAATGCCTGCAAACAAAATTTTATGTTAGAAGACAAAGAGTGATAAAAAATTTCTTTTTACAAACAAGACAGAGATAAAAGTAGGCACATAGTGTCCCAAAAATGATTGACAACTTGAAAACTCAATTATAATGTCATTATAATTTATAATGTCTCAATGGTACTGAGAGTTATCCTTGCTTTCACTACTTATTTATTAACTTTTCTCATACATTAACGATTTTATAAACCTGTAATTATATTTATGATGATTCAGTATTGATTTACTCAGAGAAAAAATTTATAAAAAAATATGTTAGCCAGAGAAAAATAACAAAATTTAATAGCATTATTTTAACATATTGAATTAATTATGAAAAGATATGCATTTAAAAAAAACTGCACAAGTATTTTTCATCGAACTTTTCATTTCAAAATAAAATAATCAAATTCAACAATAAAGTAATATGTTTTCCTGATAACCATTCTAAAAGTTAAAGAGTTTTTTTTTTCTTTCCATTTTTACTTCCCAAAATCCAAAATTCAGTTTATTTCATTCATTTTCAGCTTCTGCTTACACCAAATTCAAAATTAGACGATGCTGTTCCACGCCGGTAAATTCAGTTGTCTGATATAAAACAGAACTTAACTGTAGACCTACTATATTGTAGATAAAACAATCAATCTAAATATTTTCACAACATTAAAAAGTTTCTATTTGGTTACAAAAATTACGATTTCAACTTTATTCATAAAATAGGATCCTGTCAAAAGAAGGATGACTATTCCGGGTCCCACAGACAAAATTTATTGGGGATCCCTGCTAGCAATTAATAAATAAGAGCTATTGTTGGAGTTATAATAAAACACTTACCACTGAGCTGCATTCTGTTTTTAATGAGATCAAGAGGCTGTACAAAGCAAGTAGCTGCCATTCTAAAAAATAATGGAAAAGTAAATAATGAAGGATAGAGATTTTTTCACAGCAAAAAAATTATTATATCAAAATTTTTGAACGAAGAAGTGTTTTACAGAATTTTCTGTACACTTTAAAATGTTTTTAAATAATTAATGCAAAATTTTCTAATTAATTTATAAGAATATTAATGCGCACTCAGTATTGAAAATCAAACAAACATATATCATTCACCCATATCTCTCACAAGTCCTTATTCAGAAAACTCTTTACACGGTGTTTAGAATAAGGTATTTTGAGTTTATTAACCGAACTGTTTCACATCACAGAGCTTTTGGAGCCTGCTCCAAATTTCTTTAACTTTTGAAAAGTTTATCATTTCCCAAGTGAGATCATTTTTCTTTATTTAATAATAATTCCTTTACGCAGATTTTAAATATTCCCTTCAGAAAACTAAACTACAATAACAAAAAAAACCATTTTAAGGATTAATAAAATACAATTTACAATTTTTACCAGCTCGGGAAACATTCCTACTGAATGTGGTTTGATCGTTCCACTTAAAATATTCCAATCAAATTCTCAATTTCTAAATGTATAATTTTATATGAATTTTTATTTTGATGAAAAGGTGACAAAAATATTGTTGGAACAGCATTGAAAAATACTTTGTAATAAAATGAAATGCTGGTAATCAAAAAATTTTGAATTCTACACAAAATCATTTATTTAAAACAAAAAAGAAGGAAAGAATACTCTCTTGACATGAAAACCAATTAAACTTTTTGGTTTGTTTTCAAACAGCTTTGTCAGAACAGTTTGGAGTGGGTTCCAAAAGTTCTGTATCTAGAAACAGACCCAACATGTCTTAAAATTTCTCAAATCCACAACATTGCTTCAAATGAATAAAATAAGCATTTTTGGTAACATTTTTCAGAAAAAAAAAATCTTGATTTAGCATAAAATTAAATTATTATAAACTCTTTTAAAAATAAAAATAACATTCACATTATTTTTCTTACCCTGCGGTACCACCAAATAAAAATCGAATATAATTTGGCATGGAAGGCGGAGGAGGTTGAGATGCTGCCATTTTTGTTTTATAATTCTGGAAGGAAAAAAACAAAAAAATTGTACTTAAAAATATATATGTACAACAACACTTGCAATAAAATAAACATTTTGCTTAATTTCACTCATACAAAGAAAAAGGTAGAAGAGAAGATATACATTAAAAGCAGCTAAGGCATAGTTTTTTTAAAAATGAAACATGCACAACTTAACACTATAAACAGATACAAAAAAAATTTCATAACAATGCTTATAAGTGTAATTAAAGAATGATGAAAAAAATATTTAAAACTAGAAACTTTAAAAAAAAAAAAGCTGTAGAATTCAAAGAGCTGGGTAAAAATGAAAATGCAACTCTTTGAGGGTAAAGCCAAAGGGCTCTATTTGAAAGAAGAGAATAAGAAGATAATTTTAATTAGTAATGCATGCTTTAGCTTTTGTTCCCAGTTAAAGGGATAAACTTGTAGGAAAAAATCTTTTCTGTTAGAAAGAGTGTGCTTCTCTATAATAAGAAAGGTCACGAAGGATAATAAAAGAAGAAAAAAAAGTTTGAAATCTTAAATGTTAGAAAGGGAGTAATCTAAAAATTATTAAAAACTGAAATTCATGAAATTAAATATTTTAAGGGTGGGTCTGCTCCTCTCAGCCCCACCTAGATGCATCAATTTTTGTTATTTGTTCTCTTGAATAAAGAATTTTAAGTTACTTTTTTTAAGAAGTTTCAACCAAAATATGAAACATATTTATTGCATTTACATCAAGTTTACTAATAAATACACTTTCTTTCAACAAAAGACTTAACATTTTTAAGCATGACTAAATTATGATGAAATGTTACATAAACGCACTATTATCTACTCAATGTAATAAAAAATTTTCTTTTTACGATTAAAATATTAGTACAAAGCTCTATTTCTAAGCATTTAAGCCTATTTTATTCCCAACTTTGTTGTTGTGTTCAGATTTTTTCATATTAAAAAAGGATAATCTTAGTTTAAGTATTTAATTCTGCAACTAATAAGAGATAATCTACTGTTTAATAAATTTTAATGTATTCTTAAATAATAGTTCTATCAATATCTGTAGATAGAAATAACTTCACAAAATTTATCTAAGTTAGAGCTAGGAAAATTTATTTCTATAGCAGGGTTGATACTTAATTAGTGGAAGAAATCACTCGAGTTTTCAGAGGAAGAATTCTAAAAAATAATGCATGTATTTTTAACTATGCAAGAATGAGTTAACACACGAAAATAATTACGTTGGACAAAAAACACCAGAAAAATCAAAATCGCATGAAAAAGTTAGAAACAAGCATTAAAGACTATTTATCATTATCAATCTAAAAGCCTTGAAAAAACTTAAAAGATTTACATTAGTTCAAAAAGCCCCACTTGCATTATCTCTTTGGCGCCTTGGTGATTGCAGTTGGCAAAAATAGGCACCGATATGAAAATATCCCCCAATTGCTTTCAACATACATATCATCAGTAAGTTTTTAAATCTGGACACAATCTGAAATGTGTTTTGTAAAAATGGACATAGCTCTAAATGAATGCTTATAAAAATGGATGCAGCTTAAAATACATGTTTACAAATGCTAGTTTTAATTAAATGCTAGTTTTTCCTTTCTTATTTAAAAACCAAGCATAATCATTACGGGGCCAAGTCCCAGACATCAGGATCGTGGTGGCTAGGTATATTTAAATGTAATTCTTTAGGTAATGTCTTCATATTCAGAACTCTAAGCAATAAAATGAGTTTCAAAATTCTTACAAGGTAAATTAAATTTACAAGCAATTTTAAAAAAATATATAGCACCCATGGCAAACTTGTAAAAATAACTGATGACTTTGCAAGTCTTTGACAACAAAAAAATAATAATTTAATAAAACATACCAAAGGACTCACACAAATGGACATAACTTTGCAAATGGAATTATTTCTATATAGTGATCTGTTGCACCAACTAGAATCGTCAAGATACCAAATGGATTTTAAATGTGTAAGTTTGATTAAAAATAAATAAGTAACGATGTATGCCCAGGGAGCTATATCCTTCTAGTTTTACCCCTTTTATGACTTTTTATTTCAGTTTCTCGCCGGCCGCTCATTGGGAGTTGCAATGACTTGGAGATTATTCCACCGCAGATCACAATATGGAAATCTTCCTTTACAAATTTATTCGTATTCATAAATTAATTCTTTAAGAAAAGTAGAATACTTATGTGTACGCAGTAGACAAACAGAATCAAATGCAAAGACCATTTTCTTAAACACGCATTTCGAACTACACCGATTTTCTCAAACATGCATTTTGATTTCTGTTCATTTTCGTAAACACAGATTTTGAGCTATGTCCATTATTATAAACAGATATTTTCAACTGCGTCCATTTCACACTGATTTTGATCTGTGTTCCGATTTAAAAACTTTCTGACAATAGATATAAATAAATATTTACCATTATTGCAGAATATAGGCAAATTTATATTGCCCAATAAAATACATGTATTAGTTTTGTACATCATGATTTAATACAGTATGTACATCATATTTTTTTTCATATTATATACATGGAGGTAAGTATTCTCAGAAGATTTCTGTATCCCATATCGTGATCTGTGGCAAAACAATCAAATCTTGGCAACTTCCCAGCAGTGGTTCGCGAGAAGTTAAAAATAAACATCACAGAAAGTAACCAATTCGAAGGATATAATTCATAGTGGCTGGAATGTTTTGATATGGTGATCTGTTACGTCAACTACAATCGCCAAGGTGCCAAATAGATTTTAAACTTGTACATTTTTATTAAAAAAATATGGATGTTTGCCAAGGAGTGGCTACAAGTTATACCTTTTGAGTTTGACCCTTTCTGTGATGTTTTTTTTAAAGTTTTTGACAGTCCGCTGCCCGAAAGTTGCCAAAATACTGCCACAGAGCACGATACACTTTTGCACATTTTTTTAAAAAAAATTCTAGTTTAAAATCAATTTGGCGCCTTGGCGATTGTAGTTGGTATGGCAGATCACGATACAGAACTATCCCCAGTATTCTCTTGTTCGTAAATATTTATTTATACAGAAAGTGATTTTCAAAAAAAACTTTTTAAATTTCCCAAGGTGCCAAATAGATTTTTAACTTGTTAATTTTTTAAAAATAAATATGCAGACTTTTACCCATGAGTGGGTTTAAGTTATACCTTTTCTGTGATGTTTTTAATTTAATTAGTTTCTCACAGGCCACTGCCAGGATTGGCAATTACTTTGAAGTAGATCACAGTATGGAAATCTTCCTATTTAATAAACAAATACATTCAAAGCCATATAAATCTATATAAAGTTCTTCTGATCTAAATATTAGCTAAATTTTTAACTCCAGATTTTGTTTATTTTCTACAAAAGTTGTTATTTTAAAAAAATTTATCATCGGCGATTGAAATACCTTTCATTACATGATAAATTTTTATGAATATGCTTTTTAAATAAATTAATGCTGCTAAATATAAATTACGCCTACATTTTCTTTAAGAAAGAAGATCAAGAAGATTAATAATGTAAAAGACCTTGCAGTGTTTTGACTTCTTCTCTTATTAAATGAAAACAACTTTATAAGGACAGTTATGTTTTACAACTTAATTTTTATGTTATACAGTATTAATATTCCTGAAGTTAAAAAAGTCACAACGAAATATGAATAAAGATATGGTAAAGAAATATTGATATGAAATGTTAGATAATAAGAACATTTTACATACAAACTCGAACAAATATGGAATGTATATTCACAAAAAATATGATGGATATTCAACAATATGTTCCACGCATTTGTTATTTAAAAAAAATACTATACCAATCATAAATTACTCACATTCGTGTTCAAGAAAACTATATTAAAGTTCGGGACGAGGAAGATGTGAAAAAATCTTAAGAGGAAATAAGAACTAACATAAACTTTAATTTATTTCCGAAATCGGATTACGATTTTACGAATGATAAATTTCCATAGGATGAGTGTAAATTTTCCACTACTTTGTCGATTTTGTAATATTCAGTTTATTCAGTCCGAACTAATTAAAACGTTTTTAAAGTTCAGTTTGAATGGATTTTTGTGAGAAAAAAAAAAGTCAAGCACGTGTTTTTGTTTTTATTTTAAATTTGATTTCTTTTTTTTCTTCCTCTCTAAGTTCGACCTTTTCATCTTCAAGGAGTCACTTTCAACTTCCACATAAGGGTTACCGGAATTTGTAACAGGGATGCTAAAAAAAAGTTAATTTTTGAAAAAGGAAAAAAAAACCATACTTAGTGTTATAATTTTCTTAACTTTTCTTTCAGTTAAATTGTTGAGATTTTATTATATGATATATACTTTATACTTATATACTTTTTCTTTAAAAAACACGGTCCCTTCGTAATTTTTTATCTGCCAAATAGTCGCCAAATGACATTTCTATCCCATGAGGTTGGGGAGTGGAAAATGAAACCAAGGGACCCTGTGTTCGAGGATATCATCTGTATATAAAAGAACTTTCGGTTTCGTATTTTGACCTTCACAAGGTGACGTTGTGCTACTCAGCTGTCAAGGAATTACGTGGTCTGATAATACTAGTAAGCATTTAAACATTTTAATAAATCTTGTTTGTAATTAAAAGTTTTTAAATAATTAACTAGTTAAATTTTTTCTCACATATTTTTTTAAATTATTGTGTATAATTTTTAATAATGTCTACTTTTTTACTTAAAATTAATTAACTTGAGCTATTAATTTGCACGTGCTAATAAACGCAATTTGTATTGATGCAAAATTCTAAAATGTTACATACTTCCTTCCTCTAAAATTGTGTTTTCTGATTTTGCAAGAATGTCAGGCCCAAAGTTAGTAAAAAAATTTTTTTTTTAATACATTGGTATTAAACTGGGGCTATTTTAGTTTATAACTTCTTTTATTCATCTGTTTTTTAATATCTTACTGAAATAAAATTAAATTATGAAATGCAGCATTATTATATTTATCTTTCCCTTGTCTTGTGTTGTCATGACAATTGTTATTACTCATTGCTAATAATATATTAATTGAGTTGTATTTAGAGTAAATTAATATTGATGTTATCCCAAAATGTTTTTCAAATTGTTATTTTTAAGTTTAAAATAGTTTACAGATTTTTAATTGCTGAATTTTGCGACCGGCTGCCCTTCTGTATGATGCTGACGTGCAATGCCGGTTTCGGTCACACCCCACAAATGAAGGTTTCCTTCTTAAATCCTAATACATTTAATAATTTTGCTGTCTTTAAAAGCGTCCTATTAATTTCATTTCAGTTATCAGCTGTTATTGATGCTCTAAAACTATTAATGTTTCGCTAATGTGAAAATTGAATTTTTTAACATTAAAAAAATACCTTATTAACTGAAGAGTAATTCATGCGTTAAATTTTGATTAAATTAATTATATTGATAAGAAAATAAAGCTGTTTTTCCTTTTTGTGCAGCATTTAGTTATTAACACTAACTGAAATAGTGACATTGTTTTTTAGAAGGTGACAAGTAGTGAAGGTCAGTATAGGACATTAAGTTTTAAGTTATTTTACTTACGTAATAGTTGCATAAATAATTAATGCTTACATTTAATAACTAATTTTGATCAAACTAATATTTAATGTCCTATATTGAACTATTATTTATGTTACAAAATGTACATTATTTTAATTATAAAATTTTTGGGATTTTGCAGACTTAACAATTACTAAAAAAGTTTAAATTTTGATATAGTTTGTTAGAAGTTTTTAATTTCTATTTTTCTTTTGCTGCATGATTTGATCCAAAGTTTTAAAGTTCAAAATGCACACACATGGCAAAGTTTTTTTTATTTTTTTTTTAAAGTTTTTTTCTGCATAATGAGTTGAAGATTTTAGCCAGAACAGCAACTAATAACATTGGTTGCTCTTGAGTTCAGCTGTGGATGCATCTATTAATATATTCATTATAAGAAATGGTGAATTTATGTGTTATGGTAGACCCAGTGCTCATATTCTTTTCATCAAACTTCTACTCAATTTTATAAAGTAAACTTTAACTTTTTATTTCGTAGGAAATTTTTTTTTTTTGTTTCTAAACATTTATAAACAGAATCTTTATTTGAATTATACTAAGCTTATTTAAAAGCTTAATTAAAATATGTACAACTGATATGTTTTATGGTACTTTGTTATTAACCTCTGTTTTTTTTCTTTCTTTCTTTCAATTTCAGATCAAAAGAAAACATGGCCAAAGTTGGAATCAATGGGTATGAGTATTTTTAAAAGCATTTCTCTATAAATGTTTTAAAATTAACATTCTTAAGCTAAAGGCTAAATCAAATCTTAATTTGATAATTAATATTCTATTATAAATCTGTCTAGTGCATATTTTTTGCACTAAAGACTTGTATTATCATAATTTTTAAGGTTGATAGATTGTGGATACTATTCTAATATTTTTTAATTAACTTGTCTAAAATATGTGTTAAGGAATAATTTTTCAGATTTCTTTCTATTTAAAAAAAAAATACCTATGTGAAATTGTAAACTTTTTAGTGAGAAGAGTAGGCAGAAAAAAGCATTGAACTTTTTTTTAAATTTTGCCTTTCCCCATTGTTTTTTTTTAAGGCACTTGAAGTTTGAAAAATACTTAACCTGAATAAGTTTTGATCAGATTAGCGTTCTCCTTATATTGTAATTTTATAATTTGAAGAGTTAGTGTTAATTGTAATTTAATTTACCTAAAAATGTCTTTTATTTAACTAAAGAAATGTATTTTATTTTTTCTTGACTGTTCGGGATTTCTCACCCTCAAAATAGAGATGTCATAGTATGCAAAATATGGTACCTTATTTAGTTCATAAGCAGTAAGAGATCTCCCAAAGAATAAAAACTGGCAGGGCACTGCCTCTCAGTGAAAGGTACTTTAAGTTACGAAATGGCACACGGTTTCCAACGTAAAAATGTATTAAAAGGTGTAATATTATGTTGTAACTGAATTTGATCCTCAACAATTTTTAAATTACCTTCTTATATATATTTATGTATATATTTCGAAAAATTAATTTTCTCTCATAAAAATAGGAAAAAGTTGTAGCTTATAAAATAAAGCCAACTCTGTGCATAAATTTTTTCAAAGAAAGTATAAACTGAAATAAATGATTAATTAATAAGCAACTTTAAAGCTTTTTTTCTATAATTTGATCTAAAAATTATGAGAAAATGAACATTTAAAGGCACATTTTTTTTTTGGAAAAACGAGTATTTAAAATATTTCAAAATTTAAAATCATTAAAAAATCAATATTCTCCCCCTCAAAAGTGAAATACTTATAAAAATTTAATGTGTTGAGAATCATCCGACCTAAGTAAATATTACTAATTGTAATCAGAATTAAATCTATAAAGACATAATTTTATCAGTGTGTAATCATTGTTTAAACAGGAAATTTTTTTCAAAATGGGATATTGAAAAAAAGGTGTTTTTAAGGAAAGGCTGCTTTTTTTTTAACGCTAAAATGCTGCAATAATTCCTCTACTGATTTCTCTGTATCTCTGGAACNTTTTTTTTTTTTTTTTTTTTTTTTGGAAAACGAATATTTAAAATATTTCAAAATTTAAAATCATTAAGAAATTAATATTCTCTCCCCCCCCCCAAAAGTGAAATACTTATAAAAATTTAATGTGTTGAGAATCATCCGACCTAAGTAAATATTACTAATTGTAATCAGAATTAAATCTATAAGGACATAATTTTATCAGTGTGTAATCATTGTTTAAACAGGGAATATTTTTCAAAATGGAATATTGAAAAAAGGTGTTTTTAAGGAAAGGCGTTTTTTTTTTTGTAAATTTTTTTTGCCGCTGAAATGCTGCAATAATTCCTCTACTGCTTTCTCTGGAACTAATTGCTCTGTATGAAAAAAAAAAAAAATTATAATTGCCGCAAAAAGTATAAAATATTTGATCTTAATTTAAGCTGTATGTTTTAAAATAAAGAAATCGATGGAACTAATCCTTTCCATAATAATCTTTTAGTTTTTCCCAGAAGCTAATTTTGTTTATATAGTGGAATTTTTCAAACTGCATTAACTAAACAAATTTTAAAGATTCTTAATTATATTTTGAAAAATCTTTTTCTTTTATGCATGAAAATGCCTATGAATAAATTTGTCTTAGATTCTTTTGATTTACATTTAGTTCTAGAGACAGTTAAATAAAAAAAATAGTAACTTTGGAGCACCTATCTTGACTAAACTATTTGAACCATGTGTTTTTCATATCTCAGCTGTAGAAAAAGTTTGTCAATAGAGTTGAAGCAAATATTTTGTTTGATTTCTGAACTTATCGCCTCAAAAATTAACACATTTAAGATTTAAGTATTGATCATAAAAGATTTACTTCTGCTTCTTAGTGTGCAAAATTTCCTAAAGAGGTTTCTTTCCCAGACTATCAATTGATTTAGTACTTTTAATTATTATATGAATTTAATAGCATTTGATTTCTTACCTAAAACTGAACTCCAATCTTTATTCTAGGTTTGGCAGAATCGGACGTTTGGTACTCCGTGCCGCTCTTTCTAAGGGAGTGAATGTTGTTGCTGTGAATGATCCTTTCATTGATGTTAAATACATGGTTAGTAAGCTTTGTTTTTCTAAAAGATATAATTAAACATACATTTTTCATTTAAAGTATTAGTAATTTAGCCTATGAATCACCTTGGTGTTTCTAATCTAAACGTTTTGTTTCATAATTATTTTGTGAAGATTTTAAACTTCTATTTATAAAATAGTTTTGTTGTAAAAGGAGAAATTTTTACGATGACTGGTTCTTTTGCTTTGAGCAAATATTTTGTTTAGTCTTTAAAATCTGTTCAACCATAATAATGTATAAAACTATTTTTTGTAGGTCTATATGTTTAAATATGATTCTACTCATGGTCGTTACAAGGGAGATGTCCATGAGGAAGGTGGAATGTTGGTTGTTGATGGACACAAGATCCATGTCTTCCAAGAGTAAGTTGCTTGTAAATTAATAGAAAATCTATCCCAAATTTATTTTTTATATAAGATTTTTATTTATTAAAATTATTAATTTTATGTTATGAAAATATGTCTAAATTTTATGCTGTATCTGAAATACTTACAATATCTTAACTTTATTTTTAAATCTTTCTTATTGATATTTGGTTTTAAAGATTTGTTATTTTGTTTAACATTATTGCATATTGAAATAAGACATGATTAGTAACTGCTGAAAGATAAGACTTTCTTGAGCACTTTTTACCCATGTCACTATTTCTATAAAATATAATTACTAAAATGTTAAAGCATTCTTAAGACTGGAAATGCAATTTTATTACTTGTGATTACTAAACTTTTTTATATTTTATTTATTTTTTTTGGTCAAAATTTAAAATAAGGCATATTATGTTTGTCAAAAATTTGAATTTTGAAGCGTATGAATTGCAAATACTATGCACATATATTTCATGAGCTAAGAGTAGATTTGTGGAAATCTTTATATCAAGTATTGATGCCCTAATTACACATCATAATTTATAAAACTATTTCTGTTGAAATTGTAATTTCTTGAATTCAATTTATAAAATGAATTTTCTTGAATTATCACTGTCTTACAAAAATAGTACAGTGTAACGTCCCATATCCGGACGTCCCTTTTCCGGAAGGGTCGATTTCCCGGACACTTTTTAGCAATCAAAATAAACAAACATCTCTCCATCTTCCCCTTTCCTAAAAAAAAAAAAAAGATCTTTTGACACATTTTCTCTTTTTCTAGCTTGCACTGAACCTCTGATTCATGCATCAAACCCATAAATCACAGAAAGGGGAAGTGAAGATCTACCAAGACCATTGAGTGACCGTTAGTGACGCTCCTCCCTTGGAATGTAGGAAAAAGAGGGAGATTTGTTTTCAAAGGACCACAACTTTGTCCCCTCCCCCCCTCCTTTCCCATGCAGGTGGCTAGTAAAAGAGGCATTTCCTGGAATCTTTTTATTGAAAGAAGAAATACTGTGGAAAAGGGTAAACGGGGCAAGCGTTAAGGTGGGGGGGAGTCAGAATGGAAAATTTGAATAGGTCTAAAAGGATACACGTCCTTGAGAAACAAAACATTCGTTCTTCCCCATACCATGTAATATTTAGGAGGCGGGGGGGAAAAAGGGGGTAACATTCTTTCTTTAGCAGATTCTTTCAGTCATAAAAGAAAAAAATAAAGAGAACCCAATCAACCCAACCTTTATGCTTGATTGATAGCCAATGATAGGAGAGAAAACAATAATTTGTTACTTCCCCACCCTCAACTTAAATGATCTCCTCTCTTCTTTACACTTATTTTCTTTCACAAATAAGGAGGAAATGAATTTTTCTCCTCCTTCTACCCACCGAAATGAATGACAGGAATTTCCCTTTCTTGCTTGAATCATTCTAGTTCAAAATGGCTGATTAATGTTTTCGTAACTGTTAAATTTTTTTCGTTTTCCATATTTTCAGCAATAATATTTTTTTTCTAATATTTTATATTTGATTTAGTTATTTTAATGCTAAAACATTATTCCCCTTAAAAATAGTGTTTATTTATTTTTTGCTTCTTAGATTCAGATCGTTTATTAATTCATTTTAAGCTTTGTTTACCTTGGGGGTGTATTATACGGAAAAGGCTATTATACGGACTTCTGGAAGTCCCACCGATTCCGGATACGCGACTTTACACTATATTCCAAAATCCAAATACTACTTTGCCTGGCTCTGCTTACCAAGTTCACAGTACGCCCAGACAAAATATTTTGTTTAAGAAACATAATTCACTGTAAAACTTTCATCTTTTTGTACCATATTGAAAAATTCTTAATATCATCAACTAGGCAGTCACTAATATGTATAAGTTATAATTGCATAGTTAAGAATTAAACTTAAAGCTTCATTCGCGCATAATCTGATATAATTTAAATTTTTTTTTTTCTTAAACACCTTGAATTATTTCTATGCTCTTTGGTTTTAAATTGTAACAATACTATTTTTAATTAGAATGAAGCCCAGCAGTATTCCATGGGGTAAAGTTGGTGCTGACTATGTCGTAGAATCAACTGGAGTTTTTACAACTCTTGAAAAAGCAAATGTAAGTTTAAAAGATTTTATTACATTTTCTTATTACAATTTTTTCGGATGGATTGTTATTAAAAACCGAACTATATTTTTAGACCCACATTGAGGGTGGAGCAAAGAAAGTAATCATTTCTGCACCATCTGCTGATGCTCCTATGTTTGTAATGGGTGTGAACCACGAATCCTATGACAGCGCCATGAACATTGTCAGCAATGCATCTTGCACAACTAACTGCCTTGCACCTTTGGCCAAAGTAGTCAACGATAACTTTGGAATTGTGGAGGGTTTAATGGTACTTATGTAATTTTGAAAGTTTTATTCAAAATGTAATATGGAGCTACTCAAATAGTCTAACCTAGATATTATGAACTGGAAGAAAGATAACTAAAAATTATACAGTATCAAAAATTTTAAATTCATGACAGATTTTTTTTAGCTTTTCAATCAAAATAATTATTGTAATGAAATTTTGAAAGTTTATGACATATTTTAACTTCAAAAGAAACCTTTATTTCAAAAAATGCAAATGTAAATGCTTTTTATTTGATTTTTTTTTCTTCAATGGATTGCTCCCGTTCTTGTTTCATCTTTTTCCCATATAACTTCAAATGCTTTTTTCTTAATATTTTTTATTCTTCCTAATCATTAGACTTTTTTTAGTTTTTTGACAGCCCTTAAAGGTGCTTTTTTCACTCTGTGTTTTTAAAACTTGCTTAATTTTCCCCTTTTTCCAAGATGAGATTTTTTTTTTTATGTCTATTTTTGCCACAAATTGAATTTTCACTGCTCAAAGTTTTCCCATTGTTCTATTCAACCATAATCCATTTTCAAATACCGTTGGTCCTTAACATATGAAAGCACTCATTTTACTTGTTTGATGAAGTACTCGTGGATCTGCATGACCTTTTATTTAAATCTAAACTCCATACAGCAAATTTTTGAAATTTCATTCTCTTATTTTGAGCACAATTAAATTTGTCAATATTAACCCTTTTTTAATAGTAATGATAAAAATATGCAAAAGTATCATTTCAGGTGTAAATTCCACAATTCTTATATCTTCCTCAATAAATCAAATACCCTCCTCCCCATTGTAAAGATAAAATTTTTCAATCATTTGTCATAGAGCTCCTATTTACGAATACAAACCAGTCAGTTTCATCAGAAATTGAGAGAAGATATCAGCTGGCTTATCTTCAAAAAACCCTCGTATATTTCTTTTATGAATAAGAAAATTCCAAAGGAATTACAGTTTGTGAAGCACTCACCTATGTTAGTTATATAATACTAACCAGGTTTGAAAAAAATTATGTGTTTTCAGGGATCTGTTTACATGAAATTTGGGTCTGTTAACGGACCCTTCACAAAATAATTTATCTTTGAATCGGACCCTTCGCAAATTTGTTTATCTTCATTATTGCTTTGTTAATAGAATAAACCCTTCCTGGGGGGGGGGTGAAAGAAAGACTGTTCGAGACAAACTAAGTTTCCCTAAGTTTAAATTCCAAATGTAGTATTCTAAGAAAATATTTCTACTTTTACAAACATTGTGTGCTCATTTTTATTAATATTAAATCATATTTTTTCTTGTAAATAAATAATTGATCAATTTATATTTATTCATAAAATTAATTATTAGAATATTATGTAAATAAAAATTAATGTCTGGCAATTTTTTAAATAAAATATTTTAAATTTAAGAATTGTTTAAGTTTACTCAATGCGTAACACATTAAAAGTGATGCATTACTAAGTTGTGTTATTTAAAATATGTCAATTAAAATGATTAAAAATGTGAGTGATTTTGTTTCAATTCTTTGTTCGAAATGAATATTCTGTGTTGAGCAGTATAGGCTAAATACCAAATATTTGTATGTTGCATCTCTAATTTAATAGCAGCAATTGTTGAGCAGAATCTTATATTTATTTACAATTTAAAAACTACTGGAAAAGGTTTTTTGCCATAACAGGACCCTATTTGCACAAATTCACAAAAGCAGGACCCTGGTTGAAAGAATGTGACTTAACGCTTATTTTATATTCACAAATTATGAATAGTTTTTGGCAATTTTACAAAAACAGGACCTTTCACAATATGTCTAGACAGACCCCTGATTTTAATTACATATAAGCATATGTTTATGATGATCAGGAACATTTTAAATCACGTTTATTAAATAATGAAGAATAAGAACGATTGCTTCTATATATGATTCAGTCAAATTAGAGATTTCATTGGACGAAACTGGAATTTCTCTTCACCCCCCCCCCCNCCCAAAGAAAAGAAGTTTGTACCATCCCATCCATTGCATGATTTTTTTTTTAGGAGTAGATAATCTGGACTTTCTTTTTAATTATATTTCTTATTAGGGTTTCAAGAAATCAGTCATAATGTTCAAGAATTGTTTTAAAAATTTGAATTCAAAAATGCGTTTTAAATTAATCAGATATCTGGGGGGGGGGGAAACTTTGATAAAAAAAATGTAACTGTTTTTTCCTTTTGTAAAATTATTTTATAGATAATTGTCAATATAGATAATTATCAATTAAGTTTTTTAATTCAATTTTCTAGCTTTCCTTTGTAGAAAATTACGTCTACTCAAATGTTTAATCTTAAATGTTTGAAAAAGTTAATCTTATGCAAATATATACATACAAATTAATATCTACTAATATTAACATTTGCAATTGTCAATTGATTATTAATTTTTTTTTTTTTTTAGACCACTGTCCATGCCATTACAGCTACTCAAAAAACTGTAGATGGGCCAAGTGCCAAGGTAATTTAAAAGTTATATTTACATAAAATGTACTAGTATTAAATGCAATTTTGATCTTACACTTGGCTTTTGTTTTCTAGCTGTGGCGTGATGGCAGAGGAGCAGCTCAAAACATTATCCCAGCTTCAACTGGTGCTGCCAAAGCTGTAGGAAAAGTTATTCCAGAATTAAATGGGTAAATTAATCTTCTTTCATAATAAAATTCTTTGTACTAGAGACATTTAATTTTAATGCTTAAAATTTAGTGTAAAAATTTTGTTTCAAAATAGTTACAATTTTAGGTTTTCATCAAATTCTTTTTCACTTGAAAATTACGAAAGTTTTAGCATTCAAATAATTTAGGTATATTTTAGAATTAAGTTGCCTAATAATATTTATTTTTAAGATAGTTTTGGCTGTAGTTTGAAATTTCTTATATAAAGAATTAATAAATTATTCTCAGAATTAAGTCTGAAGTTTTTTTTAAATTATCTGACTGCTAAAATGTTATAACTAATTATAAAATTACTAGAATGGGTTTCGTCATTCTCATGACGGCTTATTGAGGGTCATGGAGGTTTAGGCTTCACAACTTAGTGACCACAGTCATGATGGTAACAATGTGGTCATCATTGTACACTGACCACCTTAATTCTCATTCAAACTGGTACCATGAGCAGAGGAGTGAACTTTTTACTATCTATTTTATGCTTTCTGACCAGATTATATATTTTATGATTTAGATATTTTTCTTAATTCCACATGGTTTTCAACTTGGGAATACTCCATGTACATTTACTTTCATACTAAAATATTTAAATGTTTTGGACTTATTTAATTTTCAGCAAGCTGACTGGAATGGCCTTCCGTGTTCCAACACCCGATGTGTCTGTTGTTGATCTTACTTGCAGGCTATCTAAAGAAGCAACATATGACCAAATCAAAGCTGCTATTAAGGCTGCATCTGAAAGTGACAACTGGAAAGGCATCCTAGGATACACTGAAGATGAGGTACTTTCATAGAATATTGGAATTATTATAAAATCTTTTAAACAGTTAAAATATTACTAAATTTTTATTCTTAAAATAGTTTTTCTTTTCTTTGACAAAGCAGAAACTATAACTAGTGAAGTTTAAATATTGGATATAATTTAAGTAATATTGTATCATATGATCTAAAACATCCATTCTTAATTTTCAGGTCCACGATTTTAATGTCTTATAACTTTTTAAATCTTTCTTCAAAATGCAGTAATTCTCGAATAAAATTTGTTTTATAATGTTTAAATATATCTATATTATTGCATAAATATACGTCATAAAATGATATATCTGGTTAATAGACAGCTTTCGTTTTTTTAAATTTTTTTTTCTTCGAGATAATCTAAAATTAGATTTTATGTTTTTAAATCTAACTTTCTTTCTTGCAGGTTGTTTCATCAGATTTCATTGGAGATACTCACAGCAGCATTTTTGATGCCAAGGCTGGCATTTCATTGAACAACAACTTCGTAAAACTTGTGTCTTGGTATGTATCTTTTATTGCATAAATGTTGGTTTTTATTTCTTTTGATCATTAAGTTGCACACTAACAGCCTTCAATATGTTCTTGCAAATTTGTAAAATGTAAATATAATGGGGTTGCAAATCAATATTTAAGATGGCAGTCCTGTACTACTAATGAGGTGCTGACGAAAATGTTAAAACTAGTTGCAAGAGTTAATCAATGCATGCAGAAATTATTTCAACTAATCTAAGTTTAATCTTATATAAGCAGCAGTATTATAAATATTAAATCATTTTGATCAGTCAACTTAGTAATATATATTTGTATAAAATTAAATACTTTAAAATCTTAGAATTCAAGCTAAAGGTTCTATAAAAATATTCTTTTTTGAAAAAGACAATAAAAAATACTTTAATGCTTATCAAATTAAATATATTGAATAATATGAATGCAAATTTCCTACTGTAATTAAAATTTATAGCATTAAAATGATTTTAAATTAAAATGGAACCATTATTGTGCAAAATAATCAACATTTAGTGGTTTACTTAAGCTTTTAAAATTAAAAAATTTCCATAAATTTTTTTTTGTAAATTGGAGACAATGCAAATAGTACTCTCTTAAAAATATATGTATGCCTTCTCTTGTTGTAAATATTTTAATATTTAAGGACTTAAAATGCCTGTGGAAATACATGGCACTGCACTAACCAGCTCTCTAGTTAGTGCCATGGATTATCAGATTCAGTTCTTTTCTTGAGATTTAGCATGTAACTGAGCTGTGAATTTAGATTTTCTGTGTGAGCTAATGATGATTTTATTTCTTTTATGTTCTCTTAAAATTTCCAATGAAAAAATTTTAGTGTGTATAAATACATACTTAGTAAAATTGTCTGAGCTGGAGTTATAGAATAGCTTTAGCTTATCTGCAGCAGAGTTGGAGCATCTAAAAATTTTAGACTTCAGGTTCCTAATTGCCAAAGAAGCTATAGAAAACCTTTTGGAAATACTATAAAATTAGTATGAATAAAATGAATCAATAAAATTTTATTAAAAATATCTAGACTTCTCACGTGGAAACCTGTAGCAATAACTGCTGAAGAAAGAACAGAAAGTCGCTTGAATTTGCGATAAGATTGTCGCAAATGAAACTCAGAATTACATAGTTATTTAAATGCTAGATTCGAAACTGAAAAGTCCTAATATCTTACTAAAAATCTGGGTTTTCAAAACCACATTGACACTGATGGAATTGGTGCAAATTAAGCATGTCAGAAAATAAGAAATTCAAAATTACAGATTTTTTTACCTTCACAAAAAATTTTTTATGTTCAGGTGGTACCGTGCACCTTACATAGATAACTGGATAGCCACTGGTTGTGCAACCCTAAGTCAATCTGCTAATTTCTACACCTACTCTGTATTTAATAATTAATGTAAAATAAATAGAAGAAAAATTTAGATCTTTAAGGCACTGTTTTTCATTATGTCTTTGAAGAAATAAATAATAGTTTATTTTGACATCTGTTTTATACTGCATTACTTATCGGTCTTATTTTTGTAGGTATGACAATGAATATGGATACAGTAACAGAGTTATTGACCTCATCAAGTACATGAAATCCAGAGATGGTTAAGAATTGAGTTTAAATTCACAAAGCAGTATTCCATTTCCTTTTTTTTTGTCACTAGGATTTGAGAATTCATGTTGAAAGTTGTTATTTGTTCCTGCTAAAAAGACTTTTTTATTCAATTTCATTTACATTGTTAAACGTATTCTCTTCAGTTGGCTCTTTTAAAAATTATTAAAATTATGTTGTATTCTGAAATAAAATGCATTATTTATTCCTCCATGTGTTGTATTTAATTGCAGTTGCTTAAATAAAACATAAACGAGTACTATTGCTAGCAGTATGATTAAAAGGACTTAAGTGAAATGAGCACGAAAACTTATGGTTAATACAATTAGTTTTAAAGAGTTAGTGATTTAAAAAAGTTATTTTGTATAAGATTATCAATTTTATAAGATTTTAATTTTTTGCATGGGTTTTTCAAAACACTTCAATTTCTACCCATTGTCAAGTTTTGCATTACAAATGCAAAACTTTTCAATACTAAGGATGGGAAAATTTTTGAAATGCATAATCTAATTTTACCACCAACTGTTTGATACTGAAAAAGAGTAGTGAAGATTGCACAGTTCTCTACTATATATTTTCAATGAATAATAATCATCAAAATTGTACAAGTAATTTAAAGATTCCAATTCTTTAAAAATATTTTATCGAATTTTCTGTCAATTCTCACTCAGTTCCAGACCCTTGATTGTGATTTTTTTTTAGAAGGGATTTTTAAAGTATATGTAGCTCATTTAAAATTATAGAATATAAGATAGAGGTTTTATGAGACCTTTCCTCAAAATAAAAAAAAGTTCAACTTTCATATTAGATTTTGGGAAAAGCTTTTTTTCCAAAAATTTAATTTATACTTGTATTCTCAGAAAATTTATTTTCCTCAATACACCACCCCCTAAGCGTGTTTCATTCGTGCTAACTATTCAGTTACAAGTCTAAAGAATCATTTATTTTGAGCTGTCAAGGTATGTATTTTTTTTTTTTTTTTTATAAAACACTGACAAATATTATTTTACAATCTATTAAATTTTATAATTAAAATATCAAATTATAACAAAACACTTTAAACTAAATCACTCCATTAAAAGTTGATTCATAGAAATACATAAATTATTGAAATAAAAAGAGGCTAAAATAAATAAATTTCACTGGTTATTATTTTCTTAAAAGAGTGTATGCCTTAAATTTAAATGGCAGGTAGGAGAAATATAGAATAACTTCATTAAAAGAAAGGGAAATCTTAAAACAGCTTTTTTTATCACTTAAAAGTAGATTCAGATATTTGCAATACTAAAATAAAAATGTATTTGAATATATTTTTTAATTAGAAATTGGTAGAATTTCCATTGCAATCATGACTTTTATGAGAAATTTTATATTACATTTTACAGAAGTATAACAAAATTGTATTAAAATTTCACTTGGTTATTTATTTGCATTCTGATAACTTCAAAAGAATTGAAAAAAAATTATTAAATTTTATTATATTTTTCCTTAAGTATAGTAATTTACAAGCAAAATAGTTATATAATATTACTAATTGAAATATAACATAGTATATACTTACAATAAAATTTCAATAAAGAAAATCAACAAAAACTAAAAATAATCTCGCATTCAATGATTTGTAAATTTATTAAATCAGTAATTTATTTTTACTAAACACTATTTTGATTAAAATCAAAGAACTCTTGTAAAAAAAAAGTCTCAGCAATTTTTGTTTTCAAAGACTAAGCAAGAGATTACAAATGGCTACTCAGCCAGATCTCTGAAACAATTTCCCTTTAGAGTTTCATCCCTGATAATAATTTATTAATAACATAAGGTAAAATTATAATTTAAAATTGCTAAGCATACTAGATTTCTTTTTCAATAGAAAAAATTTTATCTCAAATTTATTATGCTAGCTTTGGAAATTAGTATTTTTATTATCCAGAGAAAACTTATTTCTAATTTGTTTGGAAACTAAATATTTGTATTATTGCTAAGACTAGAAGAGATTGTTGTCTTAGCAATAATCTCTTCTACTCTTTAAGTATTGCACTTGAAAGATGTCTCAAGTTTAAAATAAACAGGATATCAGCATACATTTTATTTATTTCTTAATAAATCAGTGTCCTATTTGGAAAAATTATAACTTGGAAAATATATTTTATTTTGAAAAGAATTTTTTTGGTAAATATTTCCAAATGAGGAGCTGCTGTTTTTTTCATAAATCTTTCATTTCTTGTAAACAGAAAAAAAAATGACCAACAAAGTATTTATAAGCTTTACACTGGACATATTTAGAAAATTTTTCAGTCAAATTTACATAAAATTTTAAGACCTTTTTTTTATGCTAATTAAAGGCTTGTAAACCGGTCATAATAATCAATATTTTTCTCAACTTTTGACATTGTTAACTCACAGTATCAATAAAGTGCAACAATACATTTTTTCTTTACATTATCCTAATTAATAGCATTTTTTATGATTAAACACATTTACCAAGAAATTATTTTCCTTGACTGAGTTAAAGATGTTCAAAATTGAACAATATCGATTTTGAAGAATTTATCATCGAATCTGTAATACCAATTGTTTAGCATGAATATATATTTGTCTCAAAAAAAATTTTTTTGAGTGCTCCTCACACTATTGTATTAATATATTTTGCTTTGGCTATATTGATACAATATTAGAAAGCATTTTTTTTTTTAACGGATATAATCATGTGAGCTGATAGAGATCTTTTTTCCTCCAGATTTTTAAGAAAAAGAAATTTAAACTATGTTATTTCATTTTAATAATTTTCTTCTCTTTTCATTATTGTGTAATTTTTTTCTGGTTTTCCCTACATTTTGAATTACATATATATACACACATATAAAACTTAATCAAATATTTTTTTTTCTTTTTGTCACCTTCTATACAACAAATACAAAACACTATTAAATCTTTTTTTTTTTAACAAGAAACAAATGAAGAAAAGCTGTACTTTTCATAATAATATTTATTCAAATCAAATGTACAATTTTTTAGAGATATACATGAACTAATATTTTTATTTTCTCTTGATCACTTTATGATTTTTTCTTTAAGAAGAAAAATCTAAAGCAATAAAATTTTTGCTAAGATAAAATCCAAGTCAAGCGATAAAAAAAAAATCTTTTTCTTTTTTTATCTTCATAATTTAAAACATAAAGTCATAAAAGGTTCAATTATGATTGAATGTGTGAATAGAAATGTCAAAACATCCAATTTTTAAACTCAAACACATTTAGTAACATTTTCCATAATTGAAATTTAATTTTAAAAAAGGCAAAAAGTTTAATTTTAAATGACAAAAAATTACCAATCATGCAAAAAATGATTTAATGATATAGAATATATTAGAAACTCAAAATTATACTTAAAAAGTATTTAAATTATATAATACAGCTGATTAAAAGCAACTTAAATAAAAGTTTTAGCCAATTTAAAATTGATATAAAATATACAGTTAGTACAGTTTTTATACATCAATAAAATTTACAATACTGGTTTTTCATTCACAACAGGTATATAAGTGCCATATTTACACTGAAATATTTCTCATGGTTCAGAATTGAAGGCTAGTCATTAGAACAATGACATATAGGAAGGAGACTTATTTCCAAAAATAACATAAGTAAATGTTAACATGTTATAAATTTTTGTCAGATATGACTTTGTACGAGTATAATTTTAAAACATAAAAAGCACAAAAAATTAAATTTTCAATATAAATGCTTCCCATGAAAAGTTTTCCTTTTGTAAATAACAGCAATATAACTTTTATAGCTATTATAAACTTTTATTTAATGTATTATAAGATATTTTACACCATTGCCTCATTTGCAATTCTTATTAACAGTTTTTGGAAGCTTGCATTTTTTACACAAATGCACATTTAAAACTTTCAATTAGCAGAAAATAAAGTAAAATTACTTTAATTTCACAAAAAAACTAACATAAGTTATTTCATTAAGAATATGTTCTAATTTGCCAGTAGTAAATGTTTAAATTGGTATCAAAAATCGAATTTAAAAAGAAAATGTAAGCAATAGTTTAAAGAGGCTAAAAAATTGATAGTGACATTTAAAATAAAAGTTCACATACTTTGAGAAATCAATTGTAATTATCCTAGTTTAAATGAACTAAAAAAATTAATAAATTACTTATTATAGAAAAAAAGCACATTAGTATTTAAAATCTTACATAAAATAAAAAGTGAGAAATTCAATATAATATCCAAAAATAGTTTATTACAAAAATTTGCTTTAAAAACTATAACAGTGAAAAAGATGACCAAAACTGCAAAAAAATTAAATGATTGAAGAAACTAAATCGGCTATATGCTTTTTTAATATTCATTTCATACCCAATATATGAAATGTACCCAATATATGTTTTTGAAAAGTAATTATAATAGGAAATATGCTAAAATATAAAAAGAAAAACATTCTAACAAAATGAATTATGAGAATTATCTAACAATTCAGTTTAGACCACTTTTTAAATACTCATTAGAAAAACAGAAAATATAACGAACCACAATAAAATCAAATTAGTTTTGAACTAATTTAATTTATTAAGTTAGGCTTTTATGGAAGATCTGATACTTAATGATGCAAAAGTATATGAAAAATGCAACAAGGAACAAAATACAATGAAAAAATAGTATGACTAAAAATGAAATATTAAAAGTAAGGAAAGAAAAGGATGTGAAATTGAAACTACATCTTTTTCTCCTGTCAGGCTGCTATTTGAAGTATAAGTCATAGCGTGAAATAGAGCTTGTTTGCAAATAATATATTATTTTCATAACTGCTATAGGTGTTAAACAGTTATTCATGACTGTTTGGTCAAGATTAGCCTATTTCCATCTGAGGCCCTCTATGCTAATTATGAAAATAGCACAAAATGTCAATATAAAGAAAAAACAAAGTTTTGTGTTAATGAAAAGCATTTGAGATCTTATTTTTTAATATTTAAAAAGATACTACAACGCTGCATTATATGTGCTCATAAAAATAGCAAAAATTGAAAATTATGCATTGATTTTGAGGATTTACATATCTACCAAATTGGCATCTTTTAAAAAAGTTTGATAATTTTTATAATACATATCTCAGTTATTTGTCCATTCTAAAACAACGATAATGGCAAGATGGCAACAACTTTTGGCAAGATGGTACATATAGTTGGAAATTATAGCTTTGTTAGAACTGCAAAGCACTTAAACTGTGACTTTTATTATTTTTCTGCTTTGAAAAATCCTGTTAGATTTCTTGCACTAACTTTTGCAAAAATAGTTATGTCTGATAACTAAACTAAAATTAATAATTATTGGATTTACAATTTATTTGACTTAATTAGGTAAACAAATAAGTCAAATAAATTGTAGTTTTATATTTAGAAGAGCTATGAAAATCTACAGAATAACCTTGATTAACAGAAATACGGGTTCTAAGTCTTTCATCTTTAAAGATCAAGATCTTTGAAGTCAAAAAGCTCATAAACTAATAAAATAAAGACTAATAAAAAATTGTAGAACCTGTAATATACTGACCAACAACAATGTAATATAATTCTTTTTAACCAAAACTAGAAAAAAACATAACAATACTATTGGTTTTATTTTTTTAAGGGTTCCCACTTAATTTTAGAAATAAGATTTATTATTTTATTCAAGTTTTCCTATTACTTAGATAGGTTTTTAGATAGGAGGTTTAGATAAATTTTAGATTTATATTTAGTTTTAAATAAAAAATTTTAAAAGTTTATTATTTATATAACTGTTATGCTTTAAACAAGAAATGAAGAAGAAAAATTTGGTTTCACTTTTGTTTAAGAAATTATTATAAATTAAAACTGAAGGCAATGCAGTCAATAAATTTTGTTACATTAGCAATACTTACAGCCATTTATAATCTTATTTGTAATTAAGAATAAAAATAAGTTTAAAAAGACCAAAAAAAATAAATAAAATAGAAAAAAATCAATGATTACTTGCAGCTGTTTAGGAAATAGTATTGCTAAACTAAGAATAGAATTAGATAATTGTTTAACTTTTTCATACAAAGCTTAGAATATTTGATTTTAGTAACCACCTAGTTAATTTAACCACATTGCACTGGAGTATAGAAATGATAATTGTAATTGACAAAATTGTTATTTTAAATTTTTCGGATTCTTACAGCTTAATGCTATGCTTGGTCCTTTTCTAGGTTTACTGTAAGATTTTTTTTCAGGTTGTAGCAAAAGGAAAAACTAAATATTTCCTGTTCAGCTGAAGCTATACTTGATTTATAACAACATTATGTACACTATAAAAAGTTAAGTTTGTACAACATGGGGGAAAAAAATGACTCTTTTCGTAGAATTTTAGACAATTTTGTGTTTTAATCATTTTCTGTTTTGTAAGAAATTTTTTTTAAAAAAAACTATTACTCTACAAGTACAGTGGCAGAAAACAAATATGATAGAAAAATGTTTGGAAGTTTAAACTTTTGAACAAAATCATGCATATAAATCATAAAAATAAAAGTTTTAAAAAAGTACTTAATCTTCAGAAATTAATTTCCTTATGCAAACATCTATAGCTCGCATGATTTTTATGAAACTGCAAAAACAAAAATAATAAATAAACACATTTAAAAATATAAATCACTACTTACATTCTGAACAAAATAATTTACAATTCAGCAATTTCAGACTTTAAAACATGAAAATTTCCACACTTGCCAAAGTCAAATTAAAGTAAAATTCTAAACACAAAATTATAGAATCTGAAATAAATAAAATTTTATAATACAATTCCTACCAAACTATAGTACATCTTTTTTTATATAATTACAAACATAAGAATCTATATCTATCTCTCGTAAGTCCTCATACATAAGCATAAGGTCTGTCAATTTATTTTTCATTAGCGACCACAACCCCACAGTACAACCCATTATTTACAATTTGGCGCTCAAAATAGAAAAAATTCATATAAATAACAGGAAGAAAAAAACTTTCACAAATGATTCAAAAATAAATACAACAGATGATGAAAAACAAGCTTTCAGACTTTATCATTCCAAGAAAGGACTCTCCCAGAATCCCTCAAAAAGCCTGCTGTCACCAATAATGAGCTTCGTGATGCGGTAACCTAACAACACCTACTCCACCCCCTAAGCGTCTATAATTCATACTTCCACACAGTCTCCATTGATTTTGCTCTGGATCATACACTTCAATAGTTTTTAAATAGGATGTGCCATCAAAGCCACCAACAGCATACAGAAGTCCATTCACCACAGCTAAACCAACCTACAAGAATAGTATAAACACTTTTTTATTTAAAAAATGCATAACCTACAAATATCAGTGTTTTCCCTAAGCGTTTTAAATCTCTATAAATGTGCCCTTTTTGTAAAAATAAGCTGCTGTCTCTTAAAAACACCACCTTTTAATTTTACTTTTTTAAAGTTGTTTCTTTAATCACCTATTCTAATGAAAATTCCAATTCTGTTTATTTAGTTACAATTGATTATTATAGTAAAATTTTTCTTAAGTTGTCTTGTTATACAGATAAAATTTGCATGATTTGTGGCCCCAGAGATATTTACATCTTTTAATTGGGGAGGGGGATTAATATATAATATATTAATGAATTTTTTAATAATTTTAAATTTTACCATTATTTTTTTCAATACCTTTTATAAAAAAATAAACTTTCAAATGTTTATTTTCTCATAATTCTCAATTTAAAATATAAAAAAAGCTTTAAAACTGTTCCTCCACTAATATTATTGTTATTATTTTTTAAAGAAAATTTATACACAGAGATTGTCTTTTAGATTGCCTTTAATTATTTTACAAAAACTGTTATTTGACTTTTGTTATACAGTCTAACTTTCGGTTATTTTAATAATGAGTGAGAATTACTTCTTGGAATATGCACATCAAATTAAAGAGGGTAATTTAAAAATTGAAAATCAAATTAAGTTATTACATAATATTACACTTTTTGATGAAAAGCAAAGGTGGTGAATGCCCTATCAAAATTCAAAGTGCCCTTTCCGGTGAGGGAGCACCCTGCCCTTCTTAATTCCTAGGGAGAACTCTGAAGTATTAAAAACTTTTTACTTAAAAAATTCATAACCACCAGCACAAACACTTTCTATTTTTTTAAAGGCATAACCAGCCTTTTTTTATTAAAGCCAGAATGAAGTAGTTTAAACATACATCATTTAAAAAATGCATAAACAACAAGACTTAAGTACTACAATCCAACTCAAAGAGGGCCAGAAATTTTTTGATGAAAATCGTACAATACATAGACATTTTCTATTATTTATGTGTATACAAATTCATATATATTTAATTTCAATAAATGCTTTTATTTTGAGCTTCAATTACTTTAAAAAATAAAATAAATTATAAAGGAAGCAAATATATTATATTTCAGATGAAATTCAAAAAGCGTATTTAGTTACAGTGCTCTTTTTTTTTCTAATTCTATAGAAAGAAAAGAAATTACTGAAAATTAACTAACTGACAGAAATAAACAGATTTATGGCATAAATTAGAGAGAAATATTAAAAAAATAATCAATAATAGCCCTCTGTTTTGATTTCTTAATCATACATGCTTTCTAAATGTCTTCTATCTTATCAACTGTATCCAAAAATTGATTTGAATTTTCATTCTGTATTATAAAAGATGGAACAGTTTTAATTGCTTTGTAAGCATCCACCAGAGGAAAGTAAACAAAAGTATTCCACAGTGAAATTTAAGAAAAAATTTAGCTCCACAAGTCTTCACCAATAGAAATGCAATTCAGCAATATCAATTTCTTAGAAATATTTATGAGAGTGTAGAAGAAATGACTACCTAAGTAGAATAAAGGATAAAAGAGTGCTAATGAGGCTCGACTGTATAACCTCTTTAAAGAGAGTTAATGAGGTTCAACTGTATAAACACATATTTAAAAGTGTATAACCTACAAGAGTTAGGTAGTATAAACACTTTTTATTCTTTAAAAAAAAAGGCATAACCTACAAGAATTAATTAGTATTTAGGTCAGATTTCAAATGAAAAAAAAAAAAGGTCTCTGGCAAGAATGAAAAAATTGTTAAAACCCTCAAAAACCTAAGATGATGTTTACAAAAATAAATACTAATACATAAAAATATGCTAAATAAATGAAAAAATAATAAATAAATATATATTTAATAATAATTAAAGCAGAAATTAAAGTTCAAAATTTATAGTTACAGCAATTTCGATGATAAAATAGATAAATTAAAGTTATCAATTGTATTAATCTAGCAAAACAAATTTTATTTTTTCATAGTAAAATACAGCTGTTTATGAATAACAGGTGGTGAATGACAACTGTTTATGATACAGGAAAAGAAGAAAAAAATTTCATACCCCTGATCTCCTAGATGTCATTGCTACAATTGGTTGCCATTGATTTGTTTGAGGATTGTATCTTTCAGCACTGCTCAATTCTGTAGTATCATCTCTTCCACCAACAGCATAAATCATATTATTATAAATAGCACAACCCAAGTGTTTTCTTCTTGTTCCCATGGAAGCTACTGAACTCCAGCGGTTGGTTCTTGGATCAAATCGCTCAACTGTAAAAGATAGAATAACAATTTGTTACAATATGTTTAGGTAGAGGTAACTGAACTTTTGGTATTTGCATTTATAGGTACATTTTCTCTCATTATACTTTCTTTAATAGTCATATTAAATAATTTTTGGTATGTTTAAATCAATCAATTGGCACTTGATATTTTAAACTTTAGTTACAGGAAACATTTGATTTAGTGCTTGCACATATGGAAGTGAGAAATTCTGAAAGAATGGAATGGAGAAATTCTGAAAGAGAAAGGAAGCGTGGAATTTCTGGAAGTGGGAAAGATTCTGATCATCACACATAAGACTGTACAAATGGTTACAGGACATACCGCACATTCAAATAACAATACAGGGAAAAGAAATATAAAATACTATCTTTTGAGTATGAATTTTTTTAATAACGAACATTGTTTCTAGTATTAGCACAATTATTCCAATTAGAAGAGTATTTGTAATACTTTAATTTGGTAGCATTCTTATTCTATTAGCTAAGAAATTTTGTTANAAGTGCTTGGGGCCACCAATGGTGCGCACGTTGAAGTGTACTAAACAAAACTTTATTAGTTGCAGTAATACATGCAAAAGAAAGAATATAAATATCTTGTTTATGTTTGAAGTTATGAATTTTTGAAGTTGTAAAGATAATTTTGGAACACCCTGTATTAGCTGAATACAAAATCAGGAAGTGCTGGATCAAGTCTATTTGAAAAGTTTGAATAATGATCTGGGGATGCAAATATACCTGTTAGGAGTCAAAGGGGAAAAAAAGAGCAATCTGACACAGAAAACAGTTCATTTATTGAAAACACTAAACCAATCTAATAAATAGCCAATATTTCATACAACAGTAAGCACCATTAGCAGGAATAGGTATGTATTTAACATCAAGTCAGATATTTCACTTCACACTAAATTCAATGTCCTGCACAAATTAAATGAAACAATCATTAAGTTTCTAAGACCAATTACCAGTTAGTTATAACAACAATATTTCACACACAAAATTGCTGCTCTGGCATATGTAATAAGATGTAAAAAGCACATCATCTCAAAGCATCATTTTGAACAAATAGTATGACATGACAATAAAGACAAGTAAACAATGAACTATAAAAGGGAAAGAATAAAAATGGCTCTAACAACCGAGTTATTTAAAACTAAAGAAGAATGTTTTCATAATGGTATGATGTCATTAAAAGCAACATTAATCATATTGCGAGTGATTTACAAAAAAATAAAGAAATAAACAAATGCAAATGAATGAAATTGAGTGAGTGATGTAGTAAGTGACAGCTTCGACAACTCCGGCCAGTACAAAAAGGTTAACATTAGAGAAAATCAAAGTAAACAGTATACTACTTGGATCAATATCAATGGATTTGAGCAGTTTGGTGTTTTCAGTATACAGAATGTTACAGTCTTTACAATAACAACGATTTAAAATAAGTTTGTAAAGAAATTGAAAGAAATGAGAAAAGAAAATGTTTGAATGCAATAAGACATTGAGATATCCCAGAAGTAACCACTATGAAGAAACATTGTCACAGTCATTTCTCATTTTCGAACAAAGTATAATTTGGATAAAATCAAATAAAAATTTTGATTTTTTTTAAAATTATTTCATTTTTACATACAGAACACACAAAATGAAATAAATATTCAAGCCAATAGATAAATCTGAAGCAGAACAGCAGCAATAATGTCCCTAACAGCAAAATAACTTGGGTCCACATTGGGCCAATATTCACTAATCTGGGCTCAATAAGAATTCAACGGGGCGTTATTTACCGATATTGGTCCCATATAGAATTGTCCAATTCACCAGGTATTTTACAGCCATTGTACAACCAATATCAGCCTTATATAGAACTACCAGATTCAAATGACATTTTATATTCATTATTCGTCAAATATAAGCCATATGTTGGCAATATACAGGCTGATAATGGCCCTAAATGAGACCAATATTAAAAAATCTAGACATCCCTATATCTGTCCCTTGGTGCATGTTCATATAGGTCACATATTGAGCCCAACTGTGGTCAAGGTAAAATTGTTGCTAGGGGTCAATTAAATGGTATAGTAGCTTATCAACCACTGAGTAAAAGTACATAATAATTCAGCAGAAATATAAATGAAAGACAGAATATCATAAACACAAATTGATATGTTGATATTGTCTCTTTGTAATACACACCTGAATTAAGAGGAGATGAACCATCGGATCCACCAACTGCATATAAGTAGCCACCTAAGACTGCAACAGCCACACCTAACCGTTTTGTGCTCATGGGAGCAACTTTGGTCCAACGATTAGTTTGCGGATCATATCTGTAAAACAATGCTGTGAATTTAAATATGATTTCTAAAATATTAACTACACTTGTTCTTTAAGACTTTGAAAATGTTCTTAATAAAGATAACACAAAAATGACACCAAACTTTAAGTTTTATAAAAATTAAAAATTTATGCAACATGCATTAAAAATATTTTATTAAATGTAGGCCTTTAATAAAAGAAACCAAAATGTAATTTTTGCAAATTAACAAGGAATGCAATTGAAAAGTATATCTTGCTTATTAATATATTGAATGGTTTAGATTAATGCAATATAAAATTAAAAGCACTGTATTGAGTTAAATATAGATAAAAACAGTTTCACAATATACCTTTCAACAAAATTAAGGCATGACACTCCATCTTGTCCACCAACAGCATATAAATAACCATCTAGAACTGCAACACCTACACTTGTGCGACATGAACTTGTAGGTGCTACATCGCAGCTCCATTGATTTGTTTGTGGGTCATATCTATTAATACAATAATTATTTTAATTTATCTTAGATTATTTAAAGATAGTAAGAATTTTTCATAATTGAACACAAGCATAAAATATAAGAAATATTCAAAAATATAACCATATTTTTTATGTACAAAATACCATATTAACTTTTCAATGTGTAATACATAACTCTAAATTTACTCTTTTAGAAGAGAAAAAAATTCTTTCAATTTATCAAAAACAGGGTACGAAATGAAATTATAAAATAATTACACTACCTTTATAAAATCCTCTATATGGTAGGGCAATTCTGTACAAATTATGCAAATATAATCAAAAGTATTACATTTCAAACTACATATTTTTTAGAAACTACTTTAGCTAGAGCTTTATTTAGTGAAATTCATCTCTGAACTGATTACAAAATCAAACTCAGGCTCATCTATTCCCCCTCCCCACAAACAAACAAAAATAAATAAATAAAACATGTAGAAGAGCTAAACCTACTGTTTCTCAAATCAATGAGCTATTTTTTAAAAAAAAATTTGATGCCAAACAACTTAGAAATGAGTTAAATTAATAATTCATGTTCAGTCAATGGAAATGAAAAAATGTGGCTCTTACTGGGATTAAGTTCACCAAGGACAAAATTAAAGCAAGATATAATAATTTTTTAAAATCTATAAACGAAATGCATAGTCAGATGAAATCTGATGTCATTTTTCGGTTACATTATATAATATATTTTGTACATTATATAATAAATGTGAGTTATTTGTTTAATTTGAATTTAAAATAAGATTTCTTTTTTACTATTTACGAGTAACACAATCCATGCAATTTTAATTATTTGTCAAAATCCTGTGAAACATAATTGATTACTTTTTGGACACACAGGTGAGTTGCATATCATAGGATGAGAAATACTTTCTAAAGGACTATTTTCATACATACTATCAAAATGAAGATATATGTTAGATTTTAGTTATGCTTACATAAATTTATATGAAAGATCATAAATACAGATAATTAATTTTTTTCACTTCCAGCTTGGTACTAGTGTGTATTAATAACATAATTATATCATAATTTTAACTTGAATACAAGAAAACTAAAATTCTGTAGAATAACCAAACGAAAATTTGAATATTATTTCTAATATTATCTAAATCATTATATAATATTAATATTTAGTTAGAATAGGTAGAATTGATATTATTTAAATTATTAAATATCATTTAAATTCATTCTAATAAATATTAAAATATTCAATATTACCCAATAAAATTTAATTTTGAAAAAAATTTATTATATAAAAAAAGATATAGAGTTTAAATTAAAATAAATATAATTTTAATAAAATGAAACTAATATTAATTTTTAAAATAATTTTTTTTTTACATTATATAATTTAGAGAAATAAATGCAAGCACCTCTCTATGCTATTTAAATATGATTGTCCATCGTGTCCTCCAACAGCATAGAGCAAATCATTCAGAACGGCCACTCCCACGCCACATCTTCGTTTGCTCATAGGTGCAGCCATACGCCATTCATTGGATTGGGGATCATACCTTTCAACACTTGCAATGGCATCACCACTGCACCATCCACCAACTATAATATTAAAATTATGTAGGTAAACGATAATGAAATTATTTTAAGAAATCAAACATACAGTTTAATATAATATGCTACCTGCAAACATTAACATGATGTTGTTAGATTAACTTTATACACAGTTGTCATACTGACAATCAGGGCAAGATTTCATTTCTCAAAATAAGTAGCAAAAGTTGCTAGTAATAAAAATTGCATACAAGCAATTTTGAAAGCAGTATCACAACACATTTTGTGATGCAGGGTATTGCTGTGTGACTTAATAATATATATTGGGATGAGATTGGCTAAAAGGCAAAAAAGCTGAATTTCCACACGAGTAAATCTTACGTACGTGCAATCATTTCATGAATTCCAAACAATTTAATATAATAAATAACTATGTGTTGATATAAAATTAATTGTCAAAATAAAAAAATTTTATATTAAAATGCGTTTATATAAAAAAATTTAATACATATTTATAAAAATTTTACAATCACCAAATATTTTTATGCAATGTATCTGAAAATAAAGATAAAACAATACAAGGAAAGACTTGTTGAGTTATCAAATGATTTGGAGTCGAAAATTGTGGTTTAGTTCACAGAAGATTGACTAGGAGTTGCAAACGAATTCAAAACGACATTTGAAGCTTTCAAACTTTGAAACTGTCTTTTAAATTTTTCTATGACAAATTTGTGTGAGACAATATTTTTGTCTTCTCACACACCATAAAATCAAAGTGTCGATAAAATATAAAGAATATTTAAGAAGTACTATGCCCAGCTCTGTCAACTATTTAGTCAAGGTTTTATAATATAGTTAAAAATAAACAGACACACCCTTCCCATTAATTCTTAAGCTTTGTATATGCATACTCATGAGTTAGATTTGTGCTATACTTATGCAGCCCCTCAAACTTTTCATACATATTATGGGGTCCCTACACTGAAAAGCTTAAGAAAACTTGCTTTTTTTTAATGAATTCAAATCCAACATTACAGAATAGGTTGATTTTTTTTCCAAATATAAACAATAAGTTGTTACCAAATTTTAAGAAATCTTCATAGAAAAGCTATTTTTTATTTCACTGTACACTATTTTTCATTAATCAACTCTGCATCGAATATTAAAAAATCAACTAAATTTTCTATATATTTTACCAGCAAACAAAACTTCTCCTCTCCTAACAGGTTTCCTGGGTCTTGTACGTGGACCTTGCATCAAAGGTCTTTCTTGAGGTAGAAGTAGATAATTCTTAGCCTCATCTACTAAATCTCTACAGGCTTCATCACTCTTTATTAATAAATCAGAACCAACTGTTCCAACAAGGAATTTCGGACTAAGAAGAGGCAGTCTGACATGTTGTAAAACCTTTATAAGAGAAATACAGAATTAAGCACTTAAAAAAAAATTGTGTGTTGCTCTAATAATTCTTTAAACCTACATCCTTAACCTTTTAAGAAAGGAATTATTAAGAAAAGAACAATAATTCATTTTTGTTCACATTTCAGGAGACCGTAAAAAAATTTATTACCATAGTACCTACATTAGATTTCTACATTGGGTACCTGCTAGTACTTATTACCTAACACTACAAAACCAATTATATATCATTTAGTTTTGCCTAATTAGAAATTTAACTAATAAGAATAATCAAAAAAAATAATCGGTATTTAGAAAAGTCATTAAAGGGTAATATACTACATATATGAAAGGCCATACTACATTTAGGTAATTTTAAGCTTAAAATAGGTTCTATGTAATTTTACTCGGTAAAACAAGCATACAATGCACAAGTAACAAATTTAGAGCAAACTTTTCTTATACAAAGCTTTTTCAAGGACACTTCATTAAAAAGTTAACACTTTGAAAATGTTCAAATACAATACCTAATTAGAGAAAAAAAAGGAGAACAAAGTAAATTTTTTAACATACTTTTAAAAGAAAATTATGAACAATTGAAAAAATTTTATAAAAACTAACAAAAATATTTTACTTTTATTTATTTATTAATAATATTATTTTGAAGTAAGTAATATTTTTATAATTCTTAAAAAAAAACAATTATAAACATAAACAGGATTATTCTTAAAAGGGTAAAACATTTCGAAATATAATTTCTTCATTTCAATTTTTATTTATTTAAAGTATCCAGTTTTACACATTATAAAATACTCAACTGGTTAGAGCGAAATGTTAATTTAACTTTACAAGAAAGTTTAAAATTAAATTAATTTATGTACCACCATTTTCTTCAAAAAAAAAATCATGTTAAGTATTCTTTCAAACGAGTAATCAAACATGTTAAGTGTAAATAAGTTGCTTTTAGTAACCATTTTGCTTCGCTAGAATAAAGTATATTTTTTTAAAAAAAATTTCTTGCAAGCCAAAAATTGACCATAACATTCACCAAATCTGAATCCAATGGATTTTTAGGCGTGACTCATCCTAAAACCTTGTTTTCACTTGAATTTTGGCATATTTATAAAATTTCGTATGCAAGGAATTGTTTTACATAATATCCGCAGGGGAGATGCAACCAATGGCAGTGAATTTGTGAATATGCATACAACTATGCATCGCTAGTTCTTTTGAAAATTTGTAAACGTGTTACTGGTTATTATGTTTCTCAATTTCCTTGAAAGTAACATAATTGCTTTTAATAACATTGCAGCTGACGTAATAAAAGAATCAAAACTAGAGAGATTTTGCTTATGGTACAATTCACAACATAATAGAGGTATTTGGCAGTCGCTAAACGCTTTTTTTTTTCTTATTCCAAGCTAAGTCTGAAAGATAGCAAATTATAGCATAATGAACTTAACCAAGCTGGAAAAGTCAAATTTATACTTAACCTAGCAAAGCATTTGAAATCTGTTGCTTCAAAAATAAAAATAAAACTTGATTCAATAAATATTTAAGTTCATTAAGTAAAAATACTTACAAAAATTTGAAATCAATAGAAATGCATTTACAATTTAAGCTGAATTTGTTTTTGTTTCCTTTTTATTTCCAATGCCCACCACATTGCCAACCATATGCCATTGTGGTACTTAGTGGGCAGTATTGTTAATCTCTTTTTCGTGGGCACCATATAGGTGAATCAAGATCACCCCAAAAGCATAATAAAAACAGACAGAACAGAGAGCGAAGTTACATCCATTCAATCCATGGCCAAAGCAGGATTTGAACCCAGGACCTTTCTAACATGATGTTAGCTCCCTGAGCACTATACAGACCGGTCAGACAATTTAAGCTGAATAAGTGGTAATACAATTTAAAAAATTTTAACAGAATAAGAAATTTAATGTAGTATTTGGGATAAACTAAAAAAGTTATATTTCAGAAAATTAAAAATAATTAATGGTTAAAAATAATTAATGGAATATTTTTTAAAGACATGGAAGATAAACTAGCCATTAAAAATAAAACATATAATGGAATAGGTTATAAAACTATATTGAATTCATATTAATTATATAGTCACTCAGAATAAAGAAAACTCAAAATCATATAAGTATTACACTGAAATAAGCAAACATAATAATAATAAATAATTGAAAAGACAAATATATATATATATAGTTATAGCAAAAAAGCTATGTATTAAGAATCAATACCTGAGGCAAATGTTGCCGTCTCTCTGTAATATTATATTTCACCCATGACATTACTGCATTAAATACTTGCTCTTCACTCCTAACATTTAACTCATCACTAGATATTATATCTATTAATTGATTAACAGGAAGCAGGAGAAATTCTTCACTTTCCATCACCTAAATAATTTGAAATAAATAAAAATGTTAAATATTTTTTTAACATTAAAATAAAAAAAGGATTTGATAAATGATATTTCTATCAACATATGGCATTACCTCTTGGAAATTATGTTGCGTAAACTTATCTGCTATACGAAGAAGTTCTCTGCACGAATGTGTGTCAGCAAAGGCACGTATACCTAAACAATTTGATGGGTCTAATTGCCTTTTAAGAAACTCACAGCATACTTCCTGTATTTCAGCCATTTGAAGGAGACAGGCGGCAGGTAATAACACTTGAACATTATTTTCTTCCACAATGATGTGGGATGTATAAGCAAAGTCTATAAGTAACTCCATAGCGTGCTCATCAATATCTCTGATTGTCACCTTATAAATAAAAATGCATAGATATTATTTATCCATATTGTTACTTTGACTTGTGAAGCATCTATTTTTAAACAACACAATCGGAAAAATTTAACAATTCAAATTAAACACCAAATAGTCATTAAGAAACTAATTAAAGTAATGCATTGAATTATGAATATGATAAAGTAATATTTAAATTATAAATAATATATTTATCATAACCTAGATGCATTTTAGTGCAATGTTGAGCACCTTTCTCAGCTTGTTAATATGACTAGAATAAAGGCTCTGAAACAATTCATTTTAATACACAATTTTATTCTTAACTAATTAAGGTCTCTTTTTCCTTGCAAAATAAAATAATAACTTTATTTAGCAAATATTTAAAAGATAATTAAGAAAAAAGATACACATTACTTAAAAGTTTGAAATTTTTTATTGTGACAATTGTTTATTTTTGCCAATACATGCAGAGCATTTGTAATTATTGAAAGTCTTATTGCAGAACATTTGCAATTCTAAACCTCAGAAAACACAGATAATATAAGGTTCAATCAACATGAGTGAAAAACCCACAAGTAAAAGTGTAGAAAATACAAAAAAATTTAACAATTAAGGTAGATAAATTTTTTTTCTCCTTTGAAAATAAGTTTTAGTTAAAAGAAAAAAGCGATTTTTTTCCTTAACTCTTTTAACTGCAAATTTTACAACATTTCTACTCATTTAACCGATTGTTTTTCTCAATAGTTTATGTAATCTTGTGATTTGTAACATCCCTGTTTTGACAATTCCAACAATTTTATTCAGTTGAGGATGGTAGCATTAGCACAACCCTCACCACTGAAAAGTATCTGTTTAATAAATGTATTATTTGAGATTTTATTGTTTTTTTTTAATTTGATTAAAAATAGCCACTAACGTAAGATATACAATTGGAATATAATTACAGTGTGGTGGTTTTAAAATAAGCCACATAGTTTATATACACAGCTGTCAATTTCAGAATATTTAAGTTGTCATGAGTTATTTACAATCTTCCCTGTAAATACATATTATATTTTCCAATGTTTTTTTTTCCCTTCAAAATTTGCACATGCAATTTTGCAAAAATGCCCTTTCATGCCATTTCTTAAAAAAAAATCCACTGTAAGAAATTAATGAACAGAAACCAGCAGAAAAGCTACCCAATAGATGCCTTTTACACTTGAATGGGAAATCCTATTTTTCAAACTACATATATGAGATAAATATACAAATCTATTTTTTTTAAATATATCAATAGGAAACCATAAAGAGGCAAGTTCATGATCGAGAACCATTCATTTAAAGAAATGCAACTAAAGACAGTGACCAATTTAAAACTACAAATAACTACTGAATGCAGCTAGAGTACAGTCAGATAAAATAGAGAAACTTCAAATGTCTTTCAAATCAAGTTCAATTAGTTTAATAAATCTGCACAAAAATAATTTCTCAATTTTACTTCATCAATTTTAGGTAGACTAGATAAAGATTTAATACAATAAATTATGCATAGTATAATGCTACAATATTATGATGTTTTAAAAGGCTCATTGTTATCTGAACAAAATTAGAAGCACTAAAATGTTAGATTTTTGTAAACACTTAAATAAAAATTATTACAAAAATTTAATTAAAACATTATTTTTCTCCTTCATTTTTAATAGAATAAATTAGAATAGAATAAAATAGAAACACTTTGATAAAAATTATCATGCAAACACCTTAAGTATTTATCTTGCCACATTTAAAGTTGATTGGCAAAGAGTTATACAAACTGCTTGAGAGTAGATTCCAATTCAATACACAGACAATTTACTAGAATTGTCCCATAAAATCATTCAAACCCTAATTTTTACTGGTGAGAATAATTTAAAAATAATATCTACCCCTCAAAATATTCTATACTATTTGATTTGATACTCGAACTATTCGATATATTTGAAAATATTTGATTTGATTTATAAAATGTTTTGCTCTTTCTAACTCGGCAAAAAAATATTTTATTCACCTATTTTAATAACATTAATGTTAATGCATCAAAAAAGAATAGTAAACAGTTATAGTCTCCTATTATTTAAAAAATCATAACTTTTCAAAACTCACAATAGTTACAAAAACTGTAATTTCATATGACAATAGAGCATTTTAAGAACAGCCTAAAATTGAAAATTAAGGCAATGCTTGTAAAATATCATTGCTTCAGTTGCAAAATACATCAATACAAACATCAAAATTAATTGAACTTTAAAGAATTAAAACAATTTTAAATACCTCAGTCTGCCGACTCTCAGCTAATTCGCCAGTAAACATGGCATGGAAGTAGGGAGAACATGCCGAAAGTATTACTCGATGGGCAAATATCCTCCGGGTTCCTACAATCAAAACAACATCACAAAGCTCCCTATGCTTCCTTAATAAATTGATAGCTTCTAAGGTATGGCGAGGGTGTTTGTCCGATGTGTATTCTAGACGTGCAGGAGAAGGAGGACATTCTAAGTCTGAATGCAGAATTTCACCCATTCTGTTAGTCAAATCCAGAACACTAGTTAAAAAAAGTTCAATAATGCTTAAGAAATAAATGCAACAGGACTATTTTAATTAGACATTAAAAAATATTATACACATTATAATAATAATGTCTAGGATAGCCAGGACAAGTTTATTTGGAGTCAGAATATTATATAAAACAGATAAACATATTAGCATCTCCCAATCATGTTTAGCTTTTTTTCAATTACACGAATTTGCATTAAGATGATTATTTTTCTTTACATTTAATACTACTTAGCAAAAAACAAATAAAATTTTGCCCAAATTATATTTGCTTTGGAACACTTCTAATTTGAATGAATAATTTAAAACAAATCACAAATTTATAAAGAATCGAATATAATTTGGAAATAAGGTCAACCACAGCATGCATTACAACAGTTCATGACTGCTGACTTACTTCAAGTTGTTTGCATATGTAATAGTGCTATTGTATGTGAAAATATTTTTAATGTGTACAATCTTTTTACTAATGCTATACCTATTTTTATCAAATATTTCTTTTCCTTGTTTAATATGATTCCTATAAAATATTAAACAAAATAAAGTGAGTGATTAAAATAAATAACACGTTAATAACTTTTGATAGAATGAGCAGCAATCCATAACAGGGTGCGAAGCCAAATTATTCAACAAAAATAAGTACCTTTTAAACACTTTTCATGCACTCAAATAATATTTTTAAGCACTTAAAAAAACACTATTAGGTAGGATTGGAAATTTTTAGACAATTGACGGTTGAATCTGGTTTTAATCGTCATGTCAAAAAATTTAAAAACTTTAGGCATTGTTTTTGACAACTGTCAAAATTTTTGAGTCATGCAAATTGAATGGCGTTTTCATGCGCTACGGACTGACGATATGCCAAAATTGATTGAGGTTGACTTAATAGTGAAAACGTTGAATAGAACAATGTGAACAGCGTCTTTCTGCGTAATTCGTAGCGAAAGTCAACATGGTAAAGGAAAAATCTCATTTTGGAAAAGGAAAATTAAGCACTTTTTAAAAACACCCAATGAAAAAAGCACCTTTAAAGGCTTTTAAAAACGAAAATTGAAAATAAGCACCACTAAGCCATTTTTAAAAACATTATGCACCCTGTATAAGGAACAAATCTCCAATGAATCATTTACTACATATACATATATATTCTTTGTGTACAGTGCGGAAAAAAAACCCAAACACTTTAAATACTTATGAGATATTTGATCTTATGATGTATTTTCACGTACTATGATGACGTAAGTTCAGTGGTTCAGAGGCCTAACTTTAAATATGAAGAGCAAACGAAACTTTAAATTACAAAATCCGAAAACAAAAACATACTTACTCAGAATACACATACTTTTTTTTCCAGAAGATTTGGATTCTTAACTCTAATATCACAAGGAATAATCACAATTTGTAAAACATAGTCCAAATTGTTAGATCAGGAGAGTGGTCAAAAGTTTGGACCCATCAACGATAATCTCTCTTTTTGCGTACAACAGGGTCAAATTTTTCAAGAAAAAATAAATACCTTTTAAGCACTAAAAATTATTTTGAAGAATTTGAGCAGTTGAAGCATTTGAAATTATTTGGGGGGAAGACGAAGTCTGAAATCGGGATTCTCTCCCAAAACGCTGCGACTTTAGTAATCCTTTCGAGGAAAGGATTTCTATCCACAAGTGTAAGAATTCTTTACAAACCACCAGACTCAACGTAGGCTCATGCAAATATATGAGTAGTTTTTTCAGTGTGCAAAACGATTGATGTTTTTGTAACATATGGATATCCGTACGCAAAAAACGAATTGCTCGTGAATGACGTCGTTGCAAGAATCACACTTTTTGCCCTAATCATTGGGGACAATTGTCACATAAAAGGAACAAATCTCCTTTCGAAAAAAGGAAAATTAAGCATTTTTTACAAAGTCAATGAAAAATAAGCATTTTTATGGGCTAATTTAAATAAATAATGATAAAAGCACCACATTCCACAATTATAAATTAGTGTAAGGACAAATGCACCAAAAATTCTGTCTGTAAAGCCATGCGAATCATAACAGAATCTTTAATAAGCTTTTATGTGAAAAAAAGATCATTATAACCTAATGATGAAACAATAAATTCCTCACAACAACAATAGTAGAGTATATTGAAACAGCTAACATAGTTTATGCATCGTGGTCGCATTTTAGGTTAGCGAGAAAATCCTATTTACTAATGTAAAAGTATAAAATCAATTTCCAAAAAAATAAAAGGTTTGCATAAAACTAAAATACAAACTAAAGTACTAAAAAAAATCATAAGAAATAACAGAACTTTGCAAACTACTCTACCTTGATTTTTGCTTGATTTTAATCGGCATTAGACTCCTAAAATGAAATAAATGGCTCAGGAAAAGATTTTAAACACAACACAAACTTAATGGAAACAAAAACCTAGTTCTGTAATAATATCTATTAAGTAAACAATGTTATAAAACTAAAAGCATTGTAATTAAAAACTTAAATACATATTAAAATATTAGCTAAATTATAAGAACATATAACATAAGAAAAAAACAAAAGTAAAAAACTACACAATAAATTTTTATTACATAACAGTTTACACTGAATTTGTGATAAACTACAATTAATAAACCTGATTATTTATGAAATAATCCTTTTCTAAAAATCTTAATGAAAATACATTACATTAATTTGTAAATTTTAACATGTTATAACAGAAATAAAGGAGGAAAAATTATTACAAATTGACAATATTTTTTCCTAATACTAATCGTTTAAAAAAAACTGAGAAAACACAGGAAATAATAAATCCATTCAATTATGGCAATATTTTAAATCTAAAATGACTGCATGATAAATTATTCATAAATACCTTAAATAGATGAGAGAAAAAATGGAAAATAAAATTTACCATGAATTTAAATCACAATCAAAAGCAGTAGTGCTGTTTCATTAATGCAATCAGAATCATTCAGGTTTGAGACACATAATCTGGAATGCATGAAAATAAAATTTTAAAAATGTAGAAAAAATCATCTATACAAGAATTTAAAATAAATTAATAATCTGGATTGAATAAGTTTTGCCTTTAAAAAAATTATTAAATGTTTTTAATAAAAAAGGAAAGTTTGCATTAATCAAAGTTGGTAACGCAACAATAACTTATAGCAAGAGCACCTGAAGTGTGTGCCGCAGCACCCTGAGATGCGTCAGATATGGGAAACTGTGAGGTATCCATATCTTTAAATCTAGTATTTATCTTTTAAGACCTATAACACTGTTTTTTAAACTGTCACCAAGGAAAATAAAAAAGCCATAGTTTAAGTGCCATACACTTGAAGTAATGAGAAGATTTTATATATAATCCTACCATAAATCTGTGCTTCAGAACAGACAAATAACTTAAATTTTTTTAACGTTATTAAACTTTTTTAAAAATTGCCAATTTGGCAAAATTTTTCCATCTTGATGAAAATTATTAAAATCACTGCCTCATCCTCAGTTTTTCCAAATTTTTATGAGCCCAGGTGATGCAGCATTTGAGGTTATTCGTAAAAAAAAACATAATTTCATATTAGGAACAAAGCCTTTGAAAAACAACCATAAATTCTGTAATTTATATGTTACTATTTAAAAGGAAAAATGTGTTAAAGTAGAGTTTTGGATATAAATATAATATGGATGTCCTGTGTAAAGCTATAAATCATATACTATATTTTCTGATAAGTAAACTAAATATGATTTTAAAAATATATACATGTTTGTTTAAATCAGTTAATTTTTTCAATCACTCAATTCAAATGTTTAATTAAATTATGAACAATTAATACAGTAATTATAATAAATGTCTTAAACAGATGTTATATTAGTAAGTTATAAAAGCCTCGGTACTGCTATATTCTAGTAAATAAAGCTCAACATCAATAAAACAATAATTTTTTAATTATAGTCTTATTGATTTAAAACTTAAAAATAAACTTGAGTACAGAAGGCTTCAAAACTAGTCTTATATAATCACAGACTTCAGGGAAAAGAGGAATCAATTAAAATGAAAGTAAAAGAAAATTTATTTGACATGTAATGAACAAGATGATTGTTTTAAAATTTTTCTATAAGATTATTCTTTTGGTAATTTTATTTTTAATTAAACAAATTAACAGATAAGATAAAATAAAATTTTATGCATAATTTATTTAATATTTATGATTATTCAATATTTATAATGATACATAATGGTTTACCAAACTTTTCAGCTTTTGACAGTAATTGTCAAAACAAAAAGAGGGTTTAATGTCAAGATGAATAAAGAACAAATTCATTGATCACTTATAATTTTATATGCATTTTTACCTTTAATTACATAATATTATAATAGATAAAATTTTTTACATCAAAATTTTTGGTTTTAGACATGACGGCTAAAAGCAAATAAAACTGTCAATTGTCAAAAACTTGCGAATCCCACTTCTTAATCATAACTTTTCACATTTTATAGTTCATTTAAAAACATCAAGTATTTTTCCATTAATCATTCATCTTAAAATTTGTTTTTAATTCTATGAGAGAGAAGGTAGAAAGTGAGACTTTAAGCTATTTTTTAATTTGTCCAACCATTCCATCACATTGGACAAGAAAATGAGGTGCCTACTATAGGGCAATTCCATGGTAAGGTCAACCAGATGACTAAAATTTTAAACATAATATTTTAATGCAAACAAGGTATTATTTTCAAGATAAAAAATTGAAGATTTAGAAATAATAATTTTAAACTAATTAATATCAGTCGATAAGCTATTTTCAATAAGCTATATGCTCTCAAATGATGGGCTACATCATTTGAAATTTTTAGCCATGGTAAATGAATCTTTAACAAGTAGTTTTTTTTGAAAAATTTACACTAATAGATAATAGAATAAATAATAATTAAAGTAAACTGTATCAAAGCAGGTTATCTTGCACAAACATGTAGAAACATTTCTCATTTTGATTAACAAAAAAATTTCCAGGATACACTTTTAATATTTTATGTCCAACACTAAAATACATAATTAATTGCACTGTGCTAGTTGAGATTTAATGAAATAAAATTATTTTTTCTGTTTCATGCAAGATTCTAAGTCTTATTTGAGCAGTCTATTTTGATTCTGAAAATAATATTTTTATTGCAATAAAACAATAGTCAATTATTTTTATGTTTGACACCATTCCTTTTCTTCTCATTACATCTGTCTTCCCTCATTTCATCTCTTATTTTGCTTTCTCATAATAAATATGAATAGAAACCATTATACGAATAGAAACCACTAAATATTCTTTTAGATTAATTTAGAATGATGCGTTTCATCTCAGTAACCTAATAAAATCTGCTGCTGTACTTAAAACTATTTATATTAGAACTTAAAATTGATCATAAGTTTTATTTATTTATTTTATTACATTTATTTATTTAATTATTATTATTTTTTAAAGTAATTGACTCAGTTTTAATTTTTTGAAAATGGACTAACTTCATTTAGAGCATTTTAAATCAACCACAGTGCTTAGCAGAGCTTGAAAAGTGTATGTATTAGGAGCAAAACTTTTTTTTCTTCCGAATATTCTGCAATTATTTTTTGTATTTTTTTTTTTTCATTTATTTATTTTTTAAGAAAAGCAACTCAGGGCCATATTTAAAAACAGTTTTCCAGTTTAAACCCAAGGTTATACTTAGGTTAGCATGAATGCTTGCTAAAGGGTTGCCACATGCATTCAGATGTCTAAAGCTTTCTAATACAGACAAAGGCATAGTTGGGACTTGCAACTCTGAAGACAAGCTCAGCTTTCGTGCTCTCTGACATATATATCTGTGTTCTCCCTAAGCATTTTTTCAACGGCAGCCAGCCCTGCTTATTCTTTGATCCCAATAACTATGCCCTTCTTGTAAAAATAAAGCCACTATCCCTTAAGAGCACTGCATTTTTATTCATATTCCATTTTGAAAAAAATTAATTCACTGTTTAAATAATAACTACACACTGGTAAAATTATTTATGTTCATAGATTTAATTCTGATTACTATTACAGAGATTAACTTTGTTAGGATTATTCTTAACTAGTTAAATTTTTTTAAAAATCTTTTCTTCGAGAGAGGGGGACATTAAACTTTTTAAATGATTTTTAATTTTAAAACTATTTTTTAAATAAATACCCTTTTTTTAAAAAAAATGCATTTTCAAATATTTATTTTATCATAATTTTCAGTTTAAATTATAGGAAAAAGTCTACAAGTTTTGTCTAGCAATTAATCTTTTTTTTTTGTTAGTGAACTTTTTTTCAAAATAAAATACTCACAGAGTTTGCCTTTCAGCACACCTTTAATTTTTTTTTATAAACTACAAATTTTTCTCGTATTTTGATAACGAGAGAGAATTACTTTTTGAAATTCACACATAAGATAGTATAAGAGAGTAATATAAAAATTGTTGAGAATAAATTCAGTTATTACATAATATTACACATTTTGATACATTTCTACTGCAATAAGTGAGTATCTTTTTCAGAAATGAAGTGCCCTGCCCTTTTCAGAAAGGAAACGCCCTGCCCTTTATTTATTTATAGGGAGAACTCTAATATATATATATATATATATTATATATAATAGATATAATGTCAGTTTCGGGACTGTTATAAATTTAGATTCCATAAAATTAAATTAGTTATTAATTTTATATTGAATATTATAAATTTTGCATTTAAAATAATTCACAACTTTAAATTAACATAATTCAACAACGTAAAACCACTCATTCAATTAGTTTTAAAATTAAACAGTATACATTACTAATGTAAGTAGTTTCTATTACACTTAGATGTTTATTAATTTTAGTTGAAGGGTAAGTTGCTTTATCGTCTCTCCAATTTAAAAAAAAAATAACTTAAAAAAATAATAAACCTACATGCAAATCAAATTACAATAACACAAATGCTATTCAATTGATAGGTAAACGGGATGAAAATTTAAATTATTGGGGTTGTTATAGCAATGAAACCAAGTGGCATGTAAATGTAAAAGAGAAAATGCGAAAATATCCTTTTTCCGCAAAAAAATTTTTTTATAAATTGAAATAAATAGTTTTTTCTCCTTTTAATTAACAGTAACTTATTCTTCAATAGATTTTTTTAATTTAAAAATTCTGAAACTTTTTTGCATTTTACTCTTTTTTTCCCCATGTTATTTAGAAGTTATAGAATTTTTTTTAAAGACAGTTGCTAATTTTTTTTTTATTCCAGAACTTTTAAAATAATTAGAACTAAGGAAATATCTCATAATATGAGTTCTATTTACACTGTTGCTAATATACGCTGCATTGCCTAAAGTTAATGATTTTTCAAGATGAAAAATGTTATAAAACAAATTAACCCACCTTCCATCAGGAAATAAAGGACAATTTAAATTTAGTTCTAATTTTAAGTTTTTTCCTCAGAAATTTATTTATATTTTTTACACCATGGAATTGCCCTATACCCTAATTTCAAGAATCTGAAGACAAAATAAAAATGAACATGATGTTAGTACGATGAAGAAAAATAAATATGTAAGGACATAAAATTATGCGAAACAAAATTCTTACAGTTGAACACTGACAACATGAGACAATTTTGATCGTACTCCATTTAATAATGTTTAATGAAACTCACAACATGGGTTGCAAAAGCGACAATATTTAGTTCTTTAACATTTACTACTGATTTCATTTGGATATTTTGGCATTTCTAAAATTAATTACAAGAAAAGCACAAAAGATCGAGGATAACACGCTTAAAATTTTATAAATACAGTAAAATATATGTTCAAAAAATCTAATATTTAAACCATTATTCAAAACAGAGAACGAGTTAAAAATATTTTGATTATGAAGTGAACGCATGCTTAGTGAGATCTATCAACATTTATGAGACCATGCAATAAAATAAATATTTCTTCAAGAAATAAGAAAATTGCATCTGCACAAAAGATCATATTAGAAAGCACAATTTCAAAAATAACATAATCATTGAATAATTTATTTGAAACACTTTAGTATTGAAATAATCGAGGAGCAACATAGTAAAGAGATTTACCAAAATAAAGACACACTTAGAAATTCAGCATGATTTAATTGTTATTTACTGTATTTATATGACGTTCAACTTTCTATTTTCAGTTTTAAAGACATTTCAGTCAGTTCAGTTTTAGTTTTGCACGGTTCACAGTTATTGAGAAATATTTTTAAATAAAGCAATAGAGATATTTTGACTAACATAAACGTCAATGTTACAGCATATGCGTTCTAGTTTTTAATTCGCTGAGTCACGTGATATTTTTTCTCCATTAGTGTACAAAGCAAGCTTTCGCTGTGTAGGAAGGGGAAAAAATACACAACAAGCCACTATTTGAATTGCTTATAAACTTGTAATATCTAGTTCCAAAAGTTTGNGGGAGGAGGCGTTACTCATTATGATTAGTATACTGCGCATGCTTGAAAACATGCCTGGAAGGGTCATCCTGTTTCCTGAGGATTCACAGGCATCCTCACGCTATACACTACCCAAAAGTTTCTGCTGTATTCTGCGAATATTTATTTGCATTTTTCTGCCTTTTTAATGATCTTTGGTGATTCTTGATTTAGACAATTTTTCATACAGCAAAAAGAGTCTTATTCTTTCTGCATATGAAATTTTCGTATAGAAAATTGTGTAAATTGTCTTGTTATAGTTGATATATGCTTTATTTATTAATTTGTGTCTCAAAAAAATTAATTAGTTTAAGCATGCAAAATCTCTTTCATACTACAGAAAAATCTTTTTCATTCCATGTGTGTGATAAATCTTTCTCTGGGAAAGGAAATTTAAAGCAAAATTCTTTAATTCATAGTGAAGAAAAACCTTTACATGCAATGTATGATAAAAAGTTTACACAGAGAATTACTTTAGAACAACATTATGTTGTTCATTTTTATTATTTATGTTAAACATTATGTTGTAATAAATTTTTTTTATGTAAACAAATTTTAAAAGAGCACTATCGTGTTCATACTGGAAACAAGCATTATTCATGCAGTACATGTAGTAAAACATTTGCACAGAACTGCACTTTAAAAAAGCACTCTATTATTCATACTGCAAAGAAGCCTTATTCATGCAGTGTGTGCAATAAATCTTTCAGAGAAAAAATTAGTTTAACAAGACACAATTTTGTTCATACTGGAGAGGAGTGGGGTAGTTATTCATGTAGTGTTTGTGATAAAGCATTTACCCTGAAAAGTTCTTTAAAAAAGCACCATTTAATTCATTCTGGCTTGAAGCTTCATTCATGCATTCTGTGCAATAGATCATTTGCAATTAAAGAGACACTATTCTGTTCATACAGGTGAGAAACAAAGTGTTCCCACTGGGGAAGGGGGGAAGTATTCATGCAATTTATGTGATAAAACATTCAAACTGAAAGCTCAATTTGTTCAATACTATTACATTCATACTGGAGAGAAGCCTTATTCGTGTACTATGTATGATAAAACATTTATGCGAATAATTAGTTTAACTGAAAATTTTGTTGTTCATACCGGTGGGAAGCCTTATTTATGCGATAAGTGTGATAAAACATTTACACGTAAAAAAGGTTTGGAAAAACACTATGTTATGCATGTTGGGGGAAAGACTTAATCATGCAAATAGGTCTAGTGAAACATTTTTATCTTGTTCATATTGAAGAGGTGCATTAGTTATGCAATTTACTTGATAAAACATCCTCTCAAAATTCTCATTCAAACAAGCACTTAATTTACTCAAAAAACAACATGAATAAAGCTCAAAACTTTACCCTATCCTTTGCTGAACACTAATTTATCTAACTAAAGTAATTAAGCTGAACACTAATTAAGAATTCCAAGGCTCATAGTTTTCCTGATAAAAAATATTTTGTCCCATTTTTTAGCTTTTCACTCAGATTTTTGTGTGTGCTCATTTTCTAAGAATAAGATTTCTTTAATTAAAATATGTAATTTGCATTTACATTGCTCAATAAATACTTTTATTTGAATTCCTGAGCATTACAGTTAATTTATATTAAAATAAACTTTTATGTCACTTCATGTGATAAAAAAAAGCATTACTTTTCCCCATCTTTATTTATTTTTTTTTTCAATAAATCTATTTTTGATCAAAAAGCTGTTTTTTACTTATTTTATTTTTTGAAAAGTACCAGTTTGGTGTTATTCACTTTTTATTACATTTTATTGTCCCGCAGTGGACTGATCGTTAAGACACGTTTCCCAGCAGATCACCGAAGTCAAGCATCACTGGCTGCGGTCAGTGTGCGGGTGGGTGACCACTTGGATCAGTCTGCGTAGGGACCGAGGGTGTGCGGTATTGGTCCTCGTTAAACTGTTCTATCGTAAAGTGCTCGACTTCGCTTGCAGGTCGTCGGGTTACTGAAGCGGGGGTGCCATCCCCTCTGCAGAGGATCAAAATTGTGATGGCCTATCTTCGGATCATCCTCAGGGATGTTTCCCAGACAGTCGCCAATAGCCCATTGTGCAATAGCATATATCTATAAATAACTAAATCAAATTTTCACTTCAAACTCACCAGACTTACTTAATAGCATTAATATCTTATGAAATATGGCAGATTAGAGCTCAGAAATTATCTAATTTACTTCTTTTATTGTTCGCTTTGTTCCGTACCGATTTAATCTTAACTCCAAGTTGTTTTTCAGCTATTTTTCGGCAATTATTGCTTTACATTTCCACGTGTTTTTAAAAATTCGGAATTTTATTATGACTTGCGAATTTTAAATAACTATTTTTTTTTTTAATTTCATCGCAATTTAAGCTATTTATTTTTTGTAACTATTGCACTGTTTTTCTTCGTGATTTTGGCAATCCCGTTTATTTCCAACTACGATGTTATTAAAACATGCGAGTTTTTAATCGTGCATTTAAATAATCACTTTTTAATACAATTTTGTGTTGTATTTCATCGTTAATCCAAATTATTCTTCCACTGTTTTTTCAGCAGTTAGAGCCATGTATTATATATTTTAATACAGTGTAATTGCAACAGTAAAGAATACGAGAAGTGTTGGAAAGCGTAAATTTTGGAGCTACTCACTGTTTACAATTTTTTTTTAAAAATTTGTAACTTTGGTGATTTTTTCTGGAAAAAAAAAGCGCTTCGTATTTATGAAACCTTTAATAATTCAAGAAATAGGAATAATATCTGAACTGTAATACCAAATAAATGTTGAATCTTTATTTGGTACTATAATAGTTTTATTTTAATCTTTGGTTTTTGCTTAAACCTTATAAATTTTCTTCAATTAAAATATTTAATGTATATTTATATTACTCATCAAAATATGTATTTATTGATTTATTTTTTATTACTTTCATTCCGTGAAGATTACGATTTTTTTATCTTTATAATTTGAATTTATTTTAAAATTAATTTTTGTACTAAGTGATATGACAAAAAATCTCTTTCTTCCATCAGATTTTCATTTTTTTTTTTTAAATAGATCAATTTTTGATAAAAAGAGAATTTTTTTTAAAAAAAAAGTATCAGTTTTTTCATTTTTGAATAAAGTTTAATAATTAAAAGTATTTTTAATAATTTAAACCATTTAATCTTCTGAAAATATTACTGATAAATTCCAGGTTTACTACTCTACTCAGCGGCGCGACAGCCCATAGAGGGCCTAGGCCTACTGTGCCCATCTCAGTTTTCTTGACCTTGGACTCTGGGGTGCCAGATGTTCCGGTCCGGTGGTCAGCCGAACGTGGAACCCCCAGTGTTTAGTTCCCAAGCATGCTTGGTACTCATTTATAGACCCACTGAAGGGATGAAACGCTGAGTCAACCTTGCCCGTCCCGAGGATCGAACCAGGGACTTGTGGCACGACAGCGCGAAGCGCTACCGCTCAGCCAAAATTCCAGGTTTACTGATAAAAAAAATTAGTGTTTATGTTTAGATAAAAATTTAGTTATTTGCCGTTAACGTGTCTAAATAAGCGTGCGGGCTTTTGTTATTCAACCTACTGTGCAAGTGGCCCTTCACTCAAAAAGGTTGTGCACCTCTATTTTAAATAATTTAAATTACCATAACGAATACGTATCTCGATATTTAATTTTAAAATCGCCTGAATACGAATCTCGATGTTTGATTTTAAAATCTCATGAATACTATTTCCGATGTATAATTTTTAAGTTACTTGAATACAAATCATAATAGTGGCTTTTAAACTACGTGAATACGAAGAGTGATATAAAATCGTGAAAGCACGATGCGCGATCCTAAATAGCGTAAGTAGGAATCGCGATGTGTGATTTGAAATCCTGTGAATGTAATTTTAAAACGCGCTTGCATTGGTAAGAAAAATTGTAAAGAGGAATTCGAAATAGACAAACTTTCTTTGAAGAGGCGGTGTTTTTTTTNTTCGGGGATTCGAAATAGACAAACTTTCTTTGGAGAGGCGGGATTTTNTTTTTTTTTTTTTTTTTTTTTTTTTTTTTTTTTTTTTTTAAGTAGTAAAAAAAAAGCTTCCGCGACGATGACAAATTTTAAGCTATCGGCGTCTAGATTATACGGGTCTGATTACCAGTTATGTATATAACGTTTACACTTAATTTTCTTATATTTTTTTGCATTCTTACAATAATAAAATATTATATAGTATTTGCAGTTCTTAATCATATTTTTGTGTAACACTTAATCATATTTAATTATATGTGTGATTGTATCAGTTCAATAAAGATTTTTTTTTCTTTCAAAATATAACTTTTTTCCTTACATTTAAAACGCTTAACCTTTAATGTTATTTTTAATATAAAAAAAAATATCAGATATAGGAAATTTCGGGTCTTAGGTTAACTCTTGCTCACAACTGACTGCAGGGTTATAATAAAAAAGTTTTTATTCTGTCATGTTGAAAAAGTCATATCAAAAACTTACAAATCCTCTGAGTTTTTAAATCTAGATACAGCACGAAATGCGTGTTTACGAAGAAAAAAAAATTCAAATTGCGTGCTTACGAAATCTAATTGCGTGTTTACGAAAATGAACATAGCTCAAAATTCTTGAAGTTAATTCTCTTAAACGAGCATTTTGAGCTATGTCAATTTTCTTAAACGCGCATTTTGAGTTATTTTCTTTTTAGTAAACATCAATATCCATTTTCATAAACGCCCATCTCAAATAGGATTGGGCG